CTTACTTACTTAGCTTTACTTATATTTTAAATTCGCGTAGTGCTGCTCGCAACATAACCGTGAATCGCGCTCATGTATAAGAGCTTCGAATTCAAAACTATTCGGTTATTTCTGAACGTAATAGTTGTTCAATTTACGCCTGATTTACTATTAATGTTTATATTTATCCATTTAAAAAATTGTGATTTAATTATACTGTATTATTGGGGATTACTAATAACTCTACGTGAGTTCATACTGTCTAATACTTGGAATTAGAACTTAATAGAACTGTCATATAACTAGTTGCCGTAAGAAATTTCTGGAAATCTTTTCTTAGCACTCGCCTACATTTACAAAGGAATGCCAACACAAAATTTCATACCAGTACCTCTAGAAATTTTCGTTGCATGTTGAATTTGTTGAAAAAAACATTGTATGACAGTTAATCAGTTAATGGTTCAATATTTTTTACATAGTTAGAGAATAATGCCATATTTAAAGTACTATTACTACTTTGATAGTATTTAAATAAAATAGTTTTTTTTTTAATAATTTATCTATAATACTATATATTATTTTTTGGATAATTTACAGTAGGTGGCCAAATTATTATACTCATCATGATTTTTTGATGTTCATTCGAAGTATTCCACATTTTCGGTAATTCACTGGTCTTTATTTTTCTTCTTTCGGTTATTTTCTGTTACTACGGACTTACTTCTATATTTTGTGATATAATAACATTTGTATTCATTAAAAATTTTGACATGGCAACACCATAAATCTCGGACATCACGTCGCCCATTTCTTTCCGGCGTTTGGCGCGTGTAACACAAAGTTAGAAAAGGGTGTTTTAAAATTTTTTTTGCTGTGAAATCTTTTGATTCAAGGTAATATGTCATATTTCTATTATTATTAATTATAAATAGTGGATATAAATTTTTTTTTTGTATTGTTACTTGGTTTTTTTATGTTGTTTTGTCATTCTAACATCAAATATCGATTATTTTAGCCATGGGAAAGTGTTCCGATATTTCACCCAAGAAAAGATCGGAAATAAAGACGCTTTTGTATCATACAAATCACTCACAACGAAAAATTGCGGAATTAGCAGGCGTTTCACAGTCCACAGTTAGAAATATAAAGAGAGTGACAGACGAAAACAAATCTTTATCACCAAAACGTGCTGGCAAATGTGGAAGAAAACGCCTTACGACGCCTCGTACAGAGAGGGAAATAAGGCGTGTTACTATAGAGAATCGCAGAAAGCCCCGAAAAGTTATTAAAGCTTTGTTAGATGACGCTGGCGTAACATTGTCTGACAGAACGTTAAGGCGAAGACTTAAGGAGCTGAATTTCAATTGTTGCCGCCCTTTGAAAAAGCCTAAGTTGACTCAGACAATGCGTGCTAAACGATTGGCATTTGCTAAAATGTATAAACACTGGACTGTGAAAGACTGGGAGAAGGTAATCAAGTCATATTAATTGTATTTTTTTCAATTTTGATATGAAATAAGTGATCCTAACATGAATCTATTAAATTTACAGGTCTGCTTTTCCGATGAATCGTCAATTCAAATTCTCCAGGACAATTCCCAGTTTGTTCGTCGCAGGCCAAATGAAAAATATGATGAAAGTTGTGTTGTGGAACGAATTAAACATCCTTTGTCCGTCATGATATGGGGCGTGATTAGTTCAAAAGGGAATGGTCGACTATATTTAGTTGAGGGAACTATGCGTCAAGACCAATACCTACGAGTTTTAGAAATTCGTCTTTTTCCCCAGATGGCCGAATGGTATCCGGACGGCGACTGTATATTCATGCAGGACTCAGCACCTTGCCATAAGGCCAAAAAAGTCATAAAATTTTTAAATGATAATAAAATAACTATTTTGGACTGGCCTGGAAATTCGCCAGACTTAAACCCGATAGAAAATGTCTGAGCTGCTCTTCAAAAGAAATTTCTAAGGAAAAGGTCATAACTACGAAAGTAGAATTGATAGAAAAAATAATAAAAGCATGGTACAATACACCATCACTGCAAGAAATTGCATCCAATTGCATTTCTAGTATGCCGCGCCGCCTACAAGACGTTATTGCCCAGAAAGGAGGTTTCACAAAGTATTAAATAAAAAAACATATTACTAAATATATAGCCTTTTTCGCACATTATAGTTTTTATTTATATTATTTAACCCATAAACTAATATAATTGACAATAAATATTGTTTAAACTAGACATGATTATAGATAAAACACATAACAAGCACGAAAAACTATTTTTTTTTTCAAATGAGTATAATAATTTGGCCACCTACTGTAACTGTGTAAACCTTTACTACATGCAAAGATTTTACATCTTTGTTATAATCACACCAAAGAGCAACGTGATGGTAAGCATGTCTAAAGCAAGTAGCTTTGGAAACGAATCCTTCACGCAAAGGTAAAAAAAATATCCTATAGCAGGTAAAAGTTTAGTCAACGAGTCTCAACGAGTTCGAGCAAAAAAAAGGTTGAGAATTATAGAAACCAGAACCTGTAAGCAAAAAGATACAACGTTAAGGGAATGACAAGTTTCTGTAAATATTAGAATTTGCACCTAGCTAGTTTGATAAAAATTTCAAACTACATATTTTGTTTAATGTTGAAAATTACTTAATTCTTTTTATATTAGATGTCGTACGTTACTTTAGTACAATTGATAAGTGAATAAAATGATGGGAGTACATCACATAAAGAGATAGTGCAACCTGCAGCCTTGAGGTCGTATATGTTACTTCAATGACCTGCGGCATCTAATAGCTGCTAGTAAGTGGCGAAAAATCTATGGCGTAACTACAAATGATCAAGAGATAATACTGACTCGTTCATTTTAAACTGTCTTCTAAATGAGGTTCTCTGTTTGATTTTTCTTTTTTTTATTATATGTCGTGTTAATGTGTCTATTTCTAAGTTTTTAAGAACTCGACAAGGTTTATACCTGCGTGTCGATCAACATTATTTCATGACGAATAAAGTCTCCGCTTTTGTGTGCGGAGTAAAGAGCCGTTTTTTACAAAGCAAATTCTACTTATTGAACCTTAGGTGTTACGAAACATCTCGTTTTGGATCTTTTTTATGTTTTCTTATTTATCTTATGATAGTAGTCGCTGATTTTAAACGGTATAGAATACGTAAGATCAACAATTTTTTTGTTGTTTAGGAAGAGCAAAACCTTCCACCGATTGCTGTAAAATGTATTTCTTGTTATACCTAAATTAATAGATATTTGCTTACTCTTGAATAGATGGGCATCTGTGTTTTCTATTTCGACATTCCTAACACAAGACGCCATGCACGATATCTAAGCAAAATGTTATTTGGGGTCCAGCGATAATGTTATCGGTCGTCAGCTCATGTTTCTTCATCTAGACAAGTGGGTGAGCAGGAGCACGGTGGTACAGTTAACCATACATTATGTTCGTAGCATTGATCGTGCATATTTATGCGTAACGTGTCTGCTCTAACGGTGCCGAAGCAAGGACTCAAAAGAATACGTGTTACAATGACTTACCAACTTAATTCAGTTTCGAATTAAACTGGGTAATACTATATATGCAACTTTAAAATATGTATCTATAAGTAAGCACCTATTATTGGTCAATCTTAAAAAATATATAAATTTTGTACTAGATATTTTATTTATAATGTTTATAAATATATATACGCAAGTATAATATTGTAAGAACTAAATTATACAATCGATTTCAATATTTACCTTGATATTTTTTAAATTCATAATTTATTGCTACAAAACAATGGACAATAAAAAAAATTACAACGCACAGTATTAACAATCATTTATTTCCTTTATTTTATATAAAAGTATTCTCCAATATGTTATCATATATGTATGTGTAATTATTATATTATCCTTTTAGAGTCCAAAAATGTAAATATATCAGTAGTTACCTATATGGCCTTGGCTTCATAAAATAATAATTTGGTGAGGTAGATGTAGACAATAATTACCAACAAGTGAATAGGTAGATACTTGTTCAATAAGGTAGGTACGTTGCAACAGATTCTCTTGCCAGCAAGTCAGCAGTTGTCAGCAATATTAATTAATTACTAGCGTCTATTTAATTATGTGCCAAATCTAAACCACTTGTAATTTATGAAATTTACATCATATACTAATTCACGCTATAGCACTAACTATCTATTACAAGAATTTATAAGTACAAAGAAAAAAAATATAACATACCTGTATATTACTGCGTTTTACTTCTATGTAAAGCCAGTTATCTGTTGAAAATGCTATAGCCATTAAAGCTGCAGCCACGATTGCTGTAATGGTCGCTATAGACAAAGTTACCGCTGAGCAAGGCATTTTTTAAATCTTCTAGAGACAGTAAGATAAGAATATAAAGAGAATATCACAATCACAACACTGTATAATAGAATTGTTCACCTATGAAGCATTTTCGTAAACACACAGCGAAACGGAGAACTTGACAGCACACTCACGATATAATAAAAACTCATATGAATGCGGTCATCGCCTGCAGCGTACCGAGTTCGCGCGCGAGACTTTGCCTACTTCGAATTGCCTTGCTTGCCTGCTTAGCCGCTCTCTTGCGGATGTGAAACTTTCGAAAGCGAGACTAGTCCTCCAAGTGGCGGGAATGCAAATTAAAAAAACTGGTTTTAGTGATGCTAGCACTAAAATCGTTGGTGTAGCTTGGCATCACAGAATTTTTTTATAATAACATGTATAGTACTTACGATGGTAATTATTATTCTACCTCGTTTCTATTTTAACTCTATTATATCAATCTAACACTAATTGTGAGAAAGGAACAATTTAATTCTTAGAAAAATTACTTCCTTTTTAATCTATATATTAACTGTGCATTCGTCTGCGGTCTGTGGCTATATTTAATCTGTCAACTGTCTAACTTAGCTGTCATAATAAAGAATTGTTATTCCAGACAAATTATCTTTTTGAAGACTAGGCAGCATGGTCTCCGACCTTAGCCTGTTCCAAACGGAACAAACGTACTAAAAAAAAAAAAAAAAAAAAAAAGAATTGTTTTTAGGTGTCAACGTTTCCTGATGTTTGCTATTCAAATAAATACGTATTAAATTTGCATTGTACTATCCTTTTTGTTTTATAAATTGAAACTAGTGTTCCTACGATATTTCCAGTACTAATTAATACCTAGTGATGGCTCATAGCTTCGATAAGTATGACGATGTACTATCGTCTATTCTTGTTAATGAAAAATCTATATTAGGTTTTTTGTCGGCTATATTTAATTTTTTAGCTAGACGGTAAGTTAAACAATTTTTTTAGCTTTTATAAACACTAATACAATAAATATGTATTAATATTTATGTATATTCTCTAACATTCTAGAACGGATTTCTATCTAGTTCCTGAAGGGCCTTACGAGAACATAGGTTTTCCACCTGGAGTTGCAGAAGAGCTTGTGTTAAAAGTTCTCAGAAAATGCGACCCAAAAAACTATAATAATATGCCCAACGGTGCTCGAAAGCCTGATTTGAATTCTGATTTAAACAACGAAATTATGTGCTCCACAGTAGCCCAGGAAGTAGAAGTTGTTGCCGACGAAGTCGAGGAAGCTAATGCTGATTCAATATCTAACACTGACACTGAACAGAGCACTGACTTAGTTGACAATACTCTAGCATTACCCCAGGAACCTCCAAACCAACCACAATCCAAAAAAGTTGTAGAAAATCAGCCAAAAACAATTCCAGATAATTATACTCCACCTGTGATACCTACACAAAAAAATAGTGAGACTTATAATGGAGCAGATAGAGAGAAATATTGTTGGTCACAGACTATTATGGAGTTGGGTATGTTATATGTTTTTTTTATGATTATAAATTAATAATTGTTTGAAACACCAAGACAAGTAACAAACAAAATTACTTTCACATTAATTATTATTATTTAGTAAGGATATCTAATACTGTAAAATAATTATTATTATGAAGGTAGTAAATAGCTAAGTCTTACACCCAATACATTTTATCTACTATCTGTAGCTCTGCCTGTATGAATCAATTTATAAAATATCCTATTTACTAAGTGTATCAACTTAAAATCTATTTAATATTTTTTTTGTGTGCAAGAATAACAAACATCCATTCATAGTCACATTTATAATAGTAGTAATATTGTGGCCTTTGATTAGAGTTGAAGTGGTACTATGAATTATTATATCCCACACTGTCTAAAAATATACTATTTTAATCAAGGATAATTGCTGTGTATCAAATAGTAATTTTATTAAACATTATCTACTTGTTTAAACACTTACTCCTAATGAAACATTATCTACTTAGATTAATATAAGTTAGACATATGCTTAGACTATATTGCTTGCAACCCCAAGATTGTTTTATACCATGAAGGTGACAAACAAGCCCAACTCATAGTAAATAGTCACTGTAACCTCTGGTCTATATATTGATATATCTATTTCATTCTTTAGATGTGATAGTGAAATTACCACCTGAAATAAAAACTTCTAAAGATCTCAAAGTGACAATCAACGCTGCTGACATTTGTGTGGCCAGCCGAAGTGGTGAAATAATAATTAAAGACACTTTACCATATAAGATTAAAACAATTGACAGCTTCTGGAGTGTTAGTGAAAGGAAATTGCTTATACATTTAGGTAAATATAAAATTGTTTTATTAATGAACAATTATTATGATTTCATACATTTGTATATTAGCATTTGCTAATATACAAATGTATGATATTTGCATCATAATTTTGTTCATTTTTTATTTTTTCTATGCCATTTATTATCAAATAGTCAATACTCATGTAAATAACAACTTTGATTTATAATTTAGTTTGTGTATTCAAATGTCTAACATTATAATATTCTTAATAACAATAATTTCAGAAAAAGTGCAAGAGCGCTGGTGGAATAAATTATTAAATAATGAAGAGCCAATTGATCTGTCAAAAATAGATTGTTCAAGACCTTTAAATGAACTACCTCAAGACCACATAGATAAGGTAATATTGAAATTATATTATCCATGTATCTTATAAATTAGTGTAAATAAATATTATTTCACACATTAGCTTTTATGTATGGCAATGCAACAAAAATTTTATTAATAATTAATTTGATATCACTGGTTATTTAATTAAATTATTTTGTTTAATTCTGCTACTTTAATTAGTATGTGTGTGACTGCTAGAGGTGTCTTAATAGAATTAATAGGAGCCAAAACTATAATTTTTGGAAATTCAGCCTGTCTATGTATTTGTTCTGGTATCAACATCTGGTATGGTAAGTTGTTAAACTCCATCATATTTAACAAGACAAATGTTTTACTATAAAATTTTAGGTAAGAGAGCTACAATGGAATCAGGAACAAAAACTAAAGGGTCTACCGACTAGTGACGAAATACGTAATATGGAAATACTAAAGAAAGCTTGGAATGCTCCTGGATCGCCATTTAGTGGTAAGGAATTTGATCCAAATGTACTCAATCAGTCATCAATCAATAATTTTCCAAATTAATAAAGTGAAATAAGAGCAGATTTATTTCATGTTTTATTTATTTTCATATATTTCTTAAACATTATAAGAATATTATTCGATTATTATGTGTTATGTTGTTCATATAAAGCACAATAGCCAAAATTTCTTTCTTAAAATCCAGACAAAACCAGTTTCCCAATTAAATGTTGTTCTTCCAAAAGTCTATGAGCTTCTCTTAAATTTGCTGCATTAATTGGTTTCATGACTTTTGTAAGAGTACATTTCAATTCTCCTTTTTCAAGCATCTGTGAAATTGTTTGTAAAATTTCTTGATGTCGAGATATATCTTCTGTTTGATATTTGATCCTTGTGCCCATCTGTTCTGAAACCAGAGTAATACTTTTCTCTTTTAGTGGCTTTATGTCAACTAAACCACTGCTGTCAACTATCAAACATATCTTTCCTTGGGGTTTGATTGCTTTCATTAGTGTATCCCAGTATGGATAAGGGTCATAATTAACTAGAATATAATCTAGTCCATTACCATATCCATTAGCTTCTAACTGCGGCAACAAATTTTGAGTATGATTGAGTACTATGTCAGCCCCATTATCAAGTAAAAATGCTTTGGTTTCTGATCGAGATGCAGTTCCAATAACTTTGAGTCCCAAACGTTTTGCCAATTGTGAAGCTACGGAACCCACACCACCAGCGCTGTTTATAATCAAGATTGATTTCCCTCTGTCTTTGTCGGATATCAATAGACGGTCGTATAAGGACTCGTAAGCGGTTACACTTGTTAACGGCATAGCAGCGGCTTGTTCGAATGTCAGATTTGTCGGTTTTCGTGCCACATGAACTTCATCAAGAGCTATGTATTCTGCATTAGAACCATTTCTTCCTAGGTTTCCTGTGAAAAATACTTCATCACCTACGTTGTATAATGCGGCGTTCATTGCTTTCGCCACTATCACCCCAGCACCGTCCCATCCTAAAATTCTTGGATTTGTTTCAACATTAGGCTTCGGGGCGCGTTGTTTGGTGTCAATGGGATTAACAGCAGTCGCTTTTACCTTGACCAAAACATCTCTCTTCCGCAGTTCTGGCAAGCTCAGTTCTAAATCGAGAAGACTATTCGTATCAGTGATTGGTAAATATTTATAAAGACCAACAGCCTTCATTTTTGACGGTAATTTATGTGCCATTTTTTCTGCTGTTTCTTGAGACGCACTTATCTGGTTGACAAACGCCACTATCACTAAAAGAGAAATAAACATAAGTGCTGTTTAGGCACCTTCGTAGTTTATCTAATTTTGTTATCACCCGCGGTATACCCAACGAATTACGCAATCACGATCACTTTGAATGTCGTGTCACGTGTCGATAGTTTGAATGTTAATATAAGAATGACTCTGCAATACGTCCAGTGTATATTTTTAAACTCTTCAAATGATTATGATTCCGGATTGTTTACTTAATTTAAATATTGCCTACTGCTAAGTAAGTAATATAAAAATGATGGATACGCCACAACATAGCATGTTATATTGTTATAACTGGAATAATAGATAATAAACTCCGAAAAAGAGGGTAAACCCAAAATATCTTCTTAAAGCATTTTAGCAAGCATAAGACTATGATATTTGCAACATCACATAGATAAATTATCTTATTAGGAATCAGGTAATTCATTACTATTTATAGACAATTTATAACTTATAGATTACACATCTACTGATTGCCAGTATTCATTATATCACAATATTACTAATTAGTCTAATGTAAAAAAAAGTACGGCTTAAACAGCTAGATTATTTTTTTATAAGTGTATCTCAATAGTAAGAAGATAGATTCAAAAGATCTATAACCCATATTACTGTGTGGTCTCGGCCTAAAATGGGCTACCTCTTTCTAATCCATGAGTGTCGTATGAGGCGACTAAGAATTAAATGGTCAAGGGATAGGCAGCAGCGTCCCTCTTCAAACATATTCAAAGCATAACTATGGTTGCCAAAACACCTGCCAAGTGTGGTAACTACTGGTAAAAACCCCCATATGGGGAGACCTATGTTCAGCAGCGGGCAGTTAACGGCTGATATAATGATGATAATTGAAAAGCTATATGATTAACGGTAATAGTTTTCAGTAATGGTATGGTACTATAATAATAACCCATATATTTATAGCCCACTAGTGTATTGTTGCAAGTAACACATAAAAGGAATATTCTTTAGCGGGGGAAGGGATTGTTAGTAAATCGGACTACCAGTCTCATTGGTAGTAATATATCTTGTCATGTCGACCTCCCCGTGGCCCCCTGCATTATCAACCATTAAACAATATACTTTATCAGGATACGTTGACTTTACGTTGAGCGTATTGAGCCGACTTCCTTCTCAACGTATACCATAATATACAGACGAAGGTTACCATTACATTTTCATCTCTAAAAAATCAAGGAACAATAACTTGTTTAACTACGACGACCTACGTGAGTTTTAAATATAGTTTTTAGAGTTCCTTAGCGTAAAATCTAGAACTTTATACATTTATCATGTTTAGTTCATTCGCAGATTACAATAGTTTAAGCATTTATAAATTATTAGTATTATAGCGCTTGAATTGAAGCATTTGGCGTTCCATTGTTTCTGCCTACCCTGATAGGAGATAGTCGTGACCGATGTATATGTATGTATAGCACTTAATTCGTTACATACCTACCTACCTAAAACGATACCCCCTAACATTAAGGCTACAATATTTACACTAAATATGGAAAAGAAAGTATTAAATGAAAATATAACCTATAATAGTTTTTGGTCTTTTTGTTTTGACTTTTGAATCTGTCAAATCTTCACTATAGACTAGACAGAAACTGTCATCTACCGTCGGTATTAGACTAATCTCTGGCAAAGATATTTTTAGAATGACCTAATAAAATATTTGTCCTTCACAGTCGGTTGATTTAATTAAACAAGCTATGGTATAACACATTAAAATTTATATGAACAGAATAAACTATGAATTAAAATCTGTAAATGAATCGATAACGCCATCTAGCATGTTATTATGTACTCGAGTTTACACATGCGCATACTATACAGCATGGGCAGCAGCGTCCCTATTAAAACATCTCTAAAGCCTAACTGCGGTCGCCAACCCGCCAGCCAAGTGTGACAACTATGTACTGGCAAAACCCCCTAAGGGGAAGGCTTATGTTCAGCAGTGGACAGTTAAAAGCTGATATGATGATGATGATATTATACTAGACTACCTAATTAGGCTCATATTTTGAAATATAAATACCCAATATTTGAATATACCGCTCATAATACCAAAAATTTTCTATCTATATGTAAAATATTTAAGCGTCAAATACCTATATAAGACTATGGCGAGATTCATTTATCAGTTTACAAAATTATTAAAATATTTTTAGCTTCCAGCAGCACACTTAATAAACTTCCCTCGTTTATGTATATTTTTGGAAATTTTATTTCCAATTTAACTATAGCAGTCTATCTGCAAATGCCTGTTACTATCCTATAAGAGTTATAGTTTTTGTTATTTTTATTAGGCTTAAGATGAAGTAAATGAAAACGAATGAATGCTTGCACATTTATTTCTAACTAAGTATATAATTATATATTCCATTCCATTATTAACTTTTACACAATATATTACAAGCAGATCAATAATACATATATCACAGTACGCGTAACAATTCACAATATGCGAAAATAATGTCGTATTCACATAATAAATGAAAAAAATTAAAATTAACTAAATTAAAAGTAACATATTTCCATATTAACCTGAAGAATGAGCAAAATAAATCACCAGTGAATAATAATAATACTTAATCACACCAATCGCTTATTCTTCCAGCTAGGATATATGTATTATGAGGAACCAACGAACATCTGTGGATACAACCCCAAAATATACAAACACCAGCCAATTCAGAAAAGTTCGTCTCCTAAATTAGCCCGACCGAGAATCGAACCCGGGAGTTGTCAAATGAGATTTTGCTTCAAGAGTTGCACGTTTATATTCAGCCGATGACAGGCATCTTCATGTTTGTCTGCCAAGCTCGTTAGAGAAATAAAAAAGACAGAAAGGTGCTCCTATCACGCAGCTATCCTACTTCTATGCAAAACCACCCATATTTGCTGCATAGGTATATTTTATTCGTAACGATGGTAAATAATTATTTATAACTTGAATATAAATAGTAATAATAATAATACGCAGAGCAAATTTATTTTGTAAACAATAAACAGTAAAACGAAAAGTATATAGAATTTTCTAGAAATGTACTATGAACTCCATACTTTTAGCATAGTACAAAAAACTACTTTTTACACTGTGATTTTGGTAACAATTAGATAAATTATTAGGTACCCATATTAGAAGTACCTATTTGAATATAAAACTTCGAGCCTGTTTCTGTAGCGTTCATAATATATTCGTGTTCATAATATATTTACCTAACGCAATAACACCCTATTTTGTATTGGATAATAGTTTCAACATATACCTACATGGGAATTTAAAAATACGAAACCTATCTCCTAAATTAATAGGGTTGTATTTATTTTTTAGTGCCACATTAGTGTCATAAGGCAAAGTGCGGCAAATTCTTGATAAACGAAAGAATCAATATTTTATTTATTTTTAATTTACCATTTGCCTGTCTCGGCACTTGGAAGGGGATTATTAGTAAAATTATATTAGTACAAATTAATACAATTTGTCAAGTATTTAGTTTTCAATCTTCTACGACTAGAAGCCAAAGCATGACTACATCTCATTTCAACAGGGAATTTTTATACAAGTCATATTTTATACATATGGAATACGTTACAATCTTATACAATTATTACATATAAATTACCATGAATGGATATAAATTACATGAAATATCATGTCTATTTATTTCCCAAATACGATATCCCTCAAAAAATTTCCCATTATTTAGGGGTTAGTACACCATCTTTCTTGCCCATTGATATGATTCAATTGTCCTTAAACGGTCTAGAGAAACATTTGTATACAATTTTATAAACGAGTACATTTGTAAATGTACAAAAACAATGTATTTAAATCGTTACCTAGGTAAGTAATATATTACATGTAATTTTTTGCTAATTATGACTATTTGTTTCAACGATCAAAGCAAATGTGGGCTTAGGATTACGTAATAAGTCTGTAGATTCTACCTTTTCGATAAATATGCAACTCAAGCTTTGTTTATAACCTTGTATATTATTATTCGTTCAATTTGATACTTACCTATACAACTTGCACATTGTCCATTTTATTATTTTCTCGATTACAGCTCATTATAAATCGGACCAGAGCCGTAGCTAGGCCCATATTTAAGCGAATCTGTCTAATTTTCTTTGGGCCTTTCATTTTAAGGTAGGGCATTACCCCTCAATGTCCCCTAGCTACGGCCATAAATTGGATACTTATATACTTAACCATACCACGAAATGATGTCATACGATTGTACTGTCACGATATAAGTAATAATAGAGTAAAATGTATACAATTTCATTGGAGAGTATCTTTAATGGAAGTTCATAAAATTGTTATTCCGTATATATTGTCATATTGGCGCAGAAAATTAATTGGCTCCTAAGATGTTATTGTATCATTATAGTTGCCGTCATATAAGTAATAAGAAAGCTAAATGTGTACATACAATTGCATAAATTTTGCTCTCTTGTTGCATCATGACCGTAAAATCATACGTAGGTACGGTAAAATATGTTTCATTCTTATCATTACAGATTTTGATATTATTTATTATATAATCAAAGGAGCTGTCATCGAGATTTTTTACAGTAAAATTTTTATTATGTACAAAAATTACACCATTTAAATATTAGTATGTATATAACAATGTAACCCTTTAACATGTTGGTAAATATACGTTCTTATAAATAGATAGGTACTTACAGAACATATTCTTTTCATTGGTTTAGATACAGAATCTTCTAATTCTTCAATTTATCTTCATTTTGATATGTTCTTTCAATTTGACAAAATTTGCATTACAGTAACATAGTAGATAAATTAATGAAACATTAATTAATATTTTGTGTAGATAATTCGATAACTTAACTAATATAGATTCAAATAATTTAGTGAACATGAAGCCACAACAAGGCAAAATTTGTCGCAAATGAAAATTTTGCGACATTCTTTGGTTTTTAATACTGTTAATTTGTACTTAACAATTTGAAAATACCTTATTTCCCGAGGTTACATTTTATATATTTTTCATTTTGTACCTATATCTCAAAACAAATTAAACATAGTTTATAATATTTATGCAAATTCAATAAGGTTCTAATAAATAGTTGGCAAAAGATCTTGCTCCTCAGGAGTGGCATCACTGGCATAATAGATATTACATAAAACCCAGATAGATTATGTCTATAAGCTGTGATTATCAGTATCTAGAAAAATATATCACCTACTATTGTCGAAAATATTAACCCGAAAAATAATGTAACGTAGCCTTCTTATCCTAAAATATTTATTATGTTGGCAATATAAAAAAAAAATATCTATGTAATTTTTTTATGTTGGTTACGCTGTTTCCTCTCTGTATTCTGTGATAGCGTCTATCATTTTGAATTTTTGTTGTTTCTGTTTTAACTGTTTCATAAATATACTACTTGAAAGTGTTAGAAAAATAAGCCAAGCACATATATGCCACAAAAGCTGTTTTTCCTCGATCCATAACCATAATATCATCTAGAAATAAAGATTAACCTAGACAGACCTAAAGAAAAAATAATAATGTAACCTATCGTTTATAACCATTGAAAATGCCATGAAAACAGTAACTTATAGTTTATACTGGATTGCCTATAGGATATCTATGGGGTCACCCATGACACTCCTCGTGCATGCCGTGTTGCCCCTCCTGAGAACGGAGATGTTATGCCTCTTGTGCCAATAATTATCTTATATTTTTAACCGAAACGACTTAGCTCTTCACAACATAAGTAGTAATACCATAGCCACGTGAACCAAACATAATTGTACCACACCAATACTGTAATGCAGCATACATATTGCAACTGTCAGTTGCTCTGTCGATTCCAGCACTTGTGACATACTGCATTATCATTTATATAGGATCATATCTAAGGAGTCTATTACACTATCAAAAATGATCATATGTACATTTTAGTCATAAATATAATAATAATGTAAGCGACATCAGAAATCTTCGAAACTTAGGAACAACACCAGAAGATATCACATAAGTAGTAAATAGTAGTTCAGAAACTACCTAGTGGAATTAATTTGCTTTTTCAACTTATATTTATGATTTTAATATACATGAATACAGTACCACATATCGAACAGTGTAATATGGCCCTTAATATTTACTGAACAGCATATTCGCAAAAGTCGTGGGCGCCGTTGCATTCCACACTTGGTCTATGCGTAGAGTCCCATATACCTGGCCCGCAGCGTTGACACATGCCGACCAATGTGCAAGGGATCCTCACTAACTGTCTGAACTGGTGTAGGAGGCCGCGCGCCTTGCGGAGAATTAGACGACCGTCCATGTACATTGCTGTAAGAAAATTTTTATTCTTATTATTATGTGAATTTGCGAATATTACAATATTAATTACTTGTAATTTAATATTAATTGAGGGATGGGCAGCAGTGGACAAATAATAGGTGATATGATGATAATTATAATATTAATTACATATATATCACAGAATTACAAGGTATACAGACATAACACTAGTTCTTAGAATTAGAACCAATGAAGGGAACCAAGGGCGTCACCATATACATGTTTACTAATGCCCAAGGCGCTGTTCCTGTTTATAAGAGACAGTAAACTGCACTCAAGCCAAGTACCTGCAGGCAAAACTTCAATCGAAAAAGGAATTTCCAATTCATCTGTATGTACTTATTTATTTAGGTATGTATGATATATTTTTAAATTCTATACTAATTTTGGAATATCGAATATGGAGCCATAACACCTTTGTCTTCAAGATTGGCAACGCATAAGGGTACCATCTTCAAACAACAAAATGGCGAGGACCAACAGGAAAAAGAAATGTTGGAAGGCAAAGAAAGAGATGGGCAGATGACATAATAAAGACAGCAGGAAAAAACTGGACAAGTATTGCTATAGTTAAGGAGAAGTGGAAAAAGATGGAGGAGGCTTTTATATATTATAATAATAATAAAAGGGTACCATAGGCATCACAATGTGTTATTTTAAGTCATGTCTATAAGTGACAGTTACCACTTTCCATCAGATGGACCATCAGATTACTAGCGAATCCATATCCCATAAAAAAAATTTAACCAATAAATTTTGCATCCGTGTTGATTCCATATTACAAACTGTTATACCCTAGCCCTGTACGGGCTAGTGCTGCGTTGGCGCTCTAACCCACCTTGATCAGCATTTCTGCTTCCCTTAACGAGCAATGGCCATTTTTAAGTTAGTCTGTCTCGAGCCTTCAAAGCGAACGGTTGCCTAAGGACATACAAACTTATTTTGTCCTAAGTCCTTTATTTTAATATATCGTGTGTGTAAACAATTCTTTTTTTTAAAAAACCCAATTGAGGTATTCCGCATAACAGAACGTAGTCACTATTTTATTCACCAGCAAAATCTTAAATTACAAAATTGAAAATGGCTAACAAATACCATATATACTCCATACGGTATGTATTTAACCTATGGTAGTTAATGGTATAAGAATTCATTGTCATCTATTAATTACATACCCAAAGAGCTAAAATGTAGCAACATCTCGTCAGTATTGAGGTCCTGTGCGATGACGTCATCAGCATACACGGCAATTATAGCGAGGCAAAGGAACAAATGGAAGTAGTCCGTTTGATAATTTGCCCAGCAAGCCTCCCACATACGGAGCGCGACCGCTTCTGTGAACTCGCGTTTGAAACATCTGAAATATAAGAATTCTTATGTATATAATGATTATATTTCACTACTGGGCATGTGTATTCACAGGGTACAGAGTAGCAACACCTGAGTCTTCAGAAATGCATGGGGGGTATCATGGGCAAAACAGTTACTCTTTACAGTATACTCTGTTATGTCCATGGTACTGCTCATGTCTATACGCGACGGTTACTATTCTATCAGGTGGGCCTTCAGCTTGTTTGCTATTCTAAGTTGTATAAAAAGAAACTTCTTAAAATCAGAAAAGATTCGATATTTTTGAACGGTTTTTTGAATAATTTATAAAAGTATTATTAAACATTCAGATTAACCATTCTGTAGATGCACGAACCTCTTATAGCTAGTTGTAACTTTACCAAATCCCTGCGAAGTCGAAAGAACACTAATCGATTACTATAAAGTCATGGGGTCATTGTTTGTAGAATGATAACGGTATGAAGAAGAAACCAATAAGAAAATAACTGCTTTCCATCACTACAATTATATAATTACAAGTTCGTAATAAAATTTTGGTAGAACCATATTGATATGGATCTTTAAATATTCTTCCATTATTTTGAAATGTGAGAGTGAATGAGAATTGATTACTTACAGCAGTATCCAGCGATGGCAGAATAGCAATTCCATTGCATCCATGTGTTTCTCGAGATGTTTGTAGAAATGTGGCAACATGATCCTGATCAGCTCTCGTAGATAACTCTGAAAATGAAAAAAAAAACAATTTTTAAAATTCCTTAATTAATTAAGATATTTTAGCAACGGGATGGTAAGTAGTTTATAGCATAACAATATTTTACGTAGTTATTATGTAATCTGTGGTTTAGGTATATCAAAATGTTAAATTAATTCATTGTAAACTCATATACATTTAAGAACTTGCCAATATTCTGTACGGTATAATAACAGAGGGATGCAGGTTTGAACCCTAATTGAAAGTCATGTCACGTGCAAAGTACACTTATCAAAATAGTTTGATAATAGGTAACTAATAGGCAGCGTAAATAACAACTTCTAGATAAATATACATATATATAAAATAGATATATGATTAAGAGATAAATTGTAGGCATCTGAATTTTCAATGTAAATAAACAAGTATAAGTAGTAAGTAATTCTGGCAGCGGCAAGGTCGTTTGTATATTACTATACAAACATTAATCAATATTAATTATTTGTCTCAAAACAATGTTTACAAGGCGAAATGTTTTTAAAATTCTATTAACGTGTTTGCGTTTGCGACTATGATCTGAAAAAGAACAAAAATAAAATACAAAAGAAAAATTCCTATAAAACTTACAAGATTATTATCCATATCGTTGTCTGTAGGTGTACATACAAATATAGCCCTCTGCATTAATCCTACGAAGCACCAGAAAGCCTCTGCCTCGCATTTAATCTCGCACAAAACGGGCGCCAAAAGATCACTCATCCCCTGCGTGTACCTATCAAAGAAAGAAGTTACATCTTGTATTTCCAGGTCTATATCTAATAATAAAAAAGTACCCAAACATACTAGAAATTTTAACCAAATAGTAAATGGCAATTGAAGCCTGTAAATGTGAACATACCATACCATAATACTCTCATAGATACAAATTAGAATTTTTTTTTTTATACAACTTCGAATGGCAAACAAGCTGACGGCCCACCTGATGTAAAGTGGTAACCGTCGCCTATAGACATGAGCAGTACCATGGACATAACAGAGTATACTGTTTCGCCCATGATACCCCCCATACATTGCCATTCCTGAGGACTCAGGTTTTATTCCTCTGTACCCGGTAAATTCACGCCATATCCCACCCTTCAAACCGAAACACAGCCATGCAAACACAACTGCTTCAAGGTTGAAACACGAATGGGACAGAGGTACCCAAGCAATCGACTTTTGTACAAAGTCTCCCTCTGGTAAATAATACAAGAGTGACTACATTACTACGGCTACGACACTATTACATGATATGTGTATAATATAATGGAATGGGAAAAAGGAGATTGTTAATAATCGATATAGTATTATATTATCTGTGGTAACGAGGTCTATTAGCTCAATTGCTGGCAATATAACCTATCAGATCTACCTCCACGCGATTCCCTCTGAAAACTATCGTAATTAATTCTTTTGGAATTCGTCGCGATGATCTAACTGACCTGAATTCTTCCTCGTCTATCATTCCTTATTAGAACCCTGTCAGTGTATATACAATGTCAAGTTACCATTCCATTGTTACCCATCAAAAAAACATCTTACAATAGGTGGCCTTTCCTAAATTACGTATTTTCTGACCGACTTCAAAAAGGAGGTGGTTCACACTTCAGTTGTATTTTTTTTTTGTTTGTTCGTTATATAACTTCGTCAGTTGTATACCGATTTTGAAAATTCTTTTTTATCTGAATTAAATCAAAATAACAGGTTTTGTCACAATAGAAGTGATATTTTTTTTTGTGGGAAATCTTAAATTATCATATGTAAATGATTATTGAAAGTGTATTAAATAAATACTCACCCTAATACCGGATTATAAACGGCATAATTTAGCAAAATATTCTTCATTATTTCTATGTTATAATTATTCTCTCCAGCGAAAAACGGGTTGCCTCTGTCAGTTCTAACTACGTCTTTCTCTATCACACATTGTACGGTCTTCCAAAAGACTGCGTGCTGCTCAGGCGTCATCTTCTCCAATCTCCTTCGTGTGATCTCATCGTACTCTCTTGTTCTGATTTGTAAGATTATTTCCCTTTCATCGTAGGTAGAATTATAAGGATAACAATGTAAGAGAAACGGCCAAACTTCTCTTCTCAACTCCTTATCTAATCCCCCAAAGAATACGCATTTCCTCAAAAAGAGATCGTCTTCTATAACTCCCTTGCTATTCATGACCTTCCCATAAAATAATTCAGGTGTAATTTTAGGTGGTTTCCCTTCTTCAGGGTGTTGTTCCGATTTTTGTACTTCTGGCCGGCACACCATAAAATGACGATATGGTAAATTTGGCTCTTCTGAACCTGAAATGTGTAATCAAAATTCAAATCAACAATTTGTCTTCATACAAAATTTTTTTCATGGAGTCGACTAACGACTAAGGGAGAAAAATGCGAGATAATTCCCATACATGCAGGTACTCGTACTAAACTCCGTAATTTACATAATAATACACTACAATTCACTTCTCCCTTCTTTTCTCTTCTTATATCAAGATAGATATCTAATTATTTTCTCGTGTAAGGTTTAACATTGTGTGTACTCTTTACACGTAGATACCTAGGTAAGTTTTTGCACAAAGTTATATAGTCTTGGAAGCAAACAAATTTTTATGTCTAAGGATCTACCAGACCTTAGACATAAAAATTAAAGATCGACCAGTGATTCTCAACCACTGTGCCGCGGCACTTTTGTGTGCCGCCAAATTTTAAAAGTGTGCCGCCAAAATTTTTGAAATATTTAAAACTTTTTTAATAAAATATTTATGGAGTGTGTTGTATTTAGGTAATAATTTTTATCTTTTTCTTTGTGTGGTCAAGTCTAAGCTGATCTGCATTGAATGTTGAAAAAAATATATTTGAATATTAAATATCACAAATTTTACCTGGAGTCAATTTAATGTTATGTAGCAAAGAATGCCACCTATGCAGCACCTGTGCGAGGTGATCTAGACCGCCATGATGGAAATGCAAGATCTTATACTGAGATTCACGGGACGCCACGACCAGCTGACCACATGTGCAGTTATCATCGTTGAAGAACAAACGCAGGGAACGCATCTGACTTAGATCCACTGAAAATCTAAAAAGGAAATATAAAAATATTGTCTTGTAATGCTGTTTTCTTTATATTATTTTTCTTATCTATACACGTATATACACTAATCCCCTTATTCATAAAAATGAAACGTACAAATCTATTTTAAATATTACACTGTTTTGCCATTTTTTAAATTGGTAATTTAGCATAAAAGAAAGAGACAAAACAGTTAAATAGCTTAAATACGTTTGAGAGGTTGACGTTTCTATAAATAAGGGTGCAATATTATAAAGAGATAAGATTTTATTATACGTTCATAATAAATGAACTAAAAAACAACTCGACCGATTTTAAAAATTCGTTCACATATAAAAAGCTACATTGTCAACGAGAAACATAAGACATATATTATTTAAAAAAAATTATCTATCCATATGAAACCTGGCCGGATCGTATTTTTAACTTTCTTTGATGGAAACAATATAATTTTCAATCAGTTCATAATTTACCAACATATCACATACTTGGTATAGATATATACATATCCCACTACAATACTGTATTATGTCTCTTCCCATCGTGAAAAGGAGGGTTTTACCTTATAGATAACTCCTCAGTTAAATTCAAAATCTATTATTATTATTTTTCAAATTCGTTAATTAATATAATTCTGAATACAGAATTAATGTAGGTATTTTGGAACCATTGATTCAAATTAATATTCCAAAAATAATGAAGTAAAACACAAAACCCTATAGATTAATAATTGAAAATGGATACTTTAAAATGCGTAGTTAACCGTATTTTCGATAAATCTAAATATTTAAACTCTAAGGATACGTGTATTATTCTCAATTAAAATATACATAATTCAATCCGGTTATTCTTACAAAAAAAATATAATATATACTTAAGTACAAAACTTTTAACAATAAAATACTAAATATTAACAAATTACCGTAGAGTAATTTACCAAGGCCAAAGCAACTTTTTTATGAGAAGGTATCCCCAGTAGAAATAGAGTTAATCGATTATAATCACGATAATGATGATTAAAATAATAAAAACCATTTTAATCCTTGATAAATAAATTATAAACTTTTGCATAACAAATTGACTATGAGCAAAGTATAAAATTCAAAATGCCTTTAATATAACCTCGACTATAGAACAGTGATCCCCTCATAATTACAGGGAGACGCGAGAGCAATAATCGAGTGCCAATGTAAACGAGGGAGGAATGTAGCTCCCGAAGGAGACGAGATCTAACTATAAAGTAAGTAGATATATTAAAGGCGACACTTATACGTATAACGTAATATTGTGTATAGAATAATAATATATATTAACTGAGATTATAGTATGGTTCCGAAAATATAAGGTGCTATTTTTTTTATACAATTTAGAATGGCAAACAAGCTGACGGTCCACCTAATGGAAAGTGGTAACCGTCACCTATAGACATGTGCAGTGCCATGGACATAACAGAGTATACTGTTTCGCCCATGATACCCCTTATGCGTTGCCATTTCTGAGGACTCAGGTGTTATTCCTCTGTACCCAGTAAATTTACGTCATATCCCACCCTTCAAAACCGAAAAACAGCCATGCAAATACAACTGCTTTTATGAATACCCAAGCAATCGTATAAGAATAATAATAAAAATCGGGTTTGCTTATGATGATATGAAAATGGGACACATTTTTATGAATGGTATTTACGAATACATTATTTATTACTTAAACTTATTGCACACACAAATTATATTATAATGAATGTATATGAACAAAGATGTACCTTTCAAGTTCTCATCCAGCGAACACAATCTGGTAAAAGCATTGCATATAAATGCATATAAACATTACTTATTATATATATATATATATATATATATATATATATATATATATATATATATATATATATATATATATATATATATATATATATATCCAAATATAAACAAACGTACATAAAGAAAATACATAAAAAAGTAACATAGTTATTTTTTTATATATTTTTAATAATTGAATCGTCGTATTTTAAAAGTAGATATGAATCGTCTATAGTAAGTATTTATAAGTACTTCTGTTTCTATAATCCATTATTGAATACCTCATACCCCCGACCTTGTACATATGACATTTAGAAAGATATATTAATAAACTTCACGCCAATCCCCAGGCACGTACTATAATTTTAACTGTAGTCTATTTGAATAGAATTTAATTAAAAGTTAACCAAGTTTTATTGAATATATCGTCATAGTCGTAGAATACTGACGGATCTAACAAAGATTACATATATAGATCCGTCAGTATTCTACGACTATGACGATATCATAGAGAATACTCTCTAAGTAAAATTAATAAAAAATAGAAACATTCAATTAACTGACCAATTTTTTATTTTTATTACATCATCATCATCACATCAGCCTTTAACTGTCCACTGCTAAACATAAACCCTTGGGGGGTTTAGCCAGTATTTGCCACGCTTTGGCAAGCGGATTAGCAATCGCAGTTAGGGTTTAAAGATGTTTTAAAAGCGACGCTGCTGCCCATCCCTTGCTCTCCCTTAGTCGCCTTTTACGACACACACAGGAAAGGAAGGAGTGGCCTATATGCCGGCACTACACGACGATTATTACATACTATGTAAGAAGTCAAGGATATCCTTATATGTAATGGAGAGACGATCTCGACCGGTTCACAAAGACTGGCACAGCTTGGCCAGTAATTGTGCAAGATGGAAGCAGTTGAAGGAGACCTTTGCCCAGCAGTGGAAAACCTTAACTGGATAGGGGCAGAATGTAATATGATACTCAGTTATTTGTTTGTTTACATTTTTATTAAATTCTATCAAAACTGTTATTCTATATCCTTTGCTGAACAAATAATTATTATATTTTTAAGAACCCCTACTTTACCAGTGGTCGGCATCAACGCCAAAAATTCTTAGCTAATTACGCTGATTACTCAATGTGGAATTATACAGATGTTCATGTTTATTTATTCTATATCGCATAGTTATATACTAGCATACTTTTATACATGTAATGTGTACGTTCATTGTCTTATCACAAACTATTGGACGTCACCAAATTATTTGTGTTATTAAGAGTTATTATGAGTTACTATGGATTTAGGTTACAATAACACAAAAGTACGAATATTATACTGAAATGTACCAATTAACCAAATACTTCACTATTATAAATAAGTATATAATTAGACTCATATTCTCCAAAGTATATACATATGTTTATGATGGTATTTATTTATGGTTTTTTTCGTAAACAACAACTAAGATAAAAATTATATACAACACAACATATGAACATATATTTTGCCTTTTATTGCCTAGACAAGTAGATTCAATTAAAAGTCAAGCAAAATTTTACTCCGTGAAAAAAAAAACTGCTATCATGACTAAATGGCAACACAACAATAAACATTAAAACTCTATGGATCATCAAAATCAGTTTAGAATTTGTAGTGTCACATAAAAAATATATACCTTGACGATTAGAAAACTTTTAAAATAATCTTCAAATAGAGGAGCCATTTAGAAGTTACTGACAAAATATCTACCGTTATCCGTTAATGAACGCTAATTTTTCACTGTTTATAGAACTAGTAGTTCAGTGCCTTTAGGTAATACATTGAACTTATTACCTCTTGATGGTACAGAGTATGACATTTTTCAAAGAAACTAAAAGAAAATAAGATAAATCCCATAGTTATCTTCATCCCGTTAGTATTTATAAAAATCTTTTCGTGTCCTAAGTCCCAAAATGAAACTTCTACTCGTATGTACGAGTATATTTAAATATAAACTTTAAATTATTGACCCAATATATTTTCTTATGATCTCATATCCGTTAAGACATTTGCCTAACCATCAATCTCCATAAGCATAATTTTCAGTGAAGAATAATAACTTCATATGAATTAATTTCCTACAAGGCAGTGAATTTTCTTGGAGTGGACTGAACCAATACTGCATTGGCGTAACTTCACACAAGCCTATAGCTAACGTTCATTTTCCTAATCTCTACAAAGAAACAAAGAAAAACTACAAAGGCGCTTCGCACCGTCTGTACGCTTATATCTTTTAAACTTCGTAACGTATTTTAATGCTGTTTTCATTAATAGATAGAGTGCTTCAAAAGAAAGGTATAGTATAGTTTAATATTCATCGTCATACCAGCCTTTAACTATCTACTGGTGAATGTAAGCCTCCCCCTTGGGGATTTTGGTAGTAGTCACGCTTGGCAGACGGATTTGCAACCGCAGTTAGGCTTTGAAGATATTTTTAAGATGGACGTTGCTGCCCATCCCTTTGACGACACCCACGGGAAAAGAAAAGGTGGCCTATTCTTTGCCGAGACTATTAGTAAGGATATAACCTTCTTAACTTTATGAAATGTATATGATAGTTTTATATTATTTTGTGTTAATATATTAAATTATGGCGATAATTGTTTAAGACGTCGGAAGAAAACAAGTTGACTGAGAGCTTACATCGAAAACGTTGCTTAATCCGTTTGAGATATAACTTAACAGTGAATGGTGAGATTTTTATTTATAGGTCTACAAAATGGTCTGTGTCGGGTATAGTAAGCTATTTAGCTTACTATACCTATCTAACTCATACTCGATGCAACAAGCTGATACAAAAAATGCAAACATATATGATCTACTACCCGTACGAAGTTGGAGCAAGGCACTAGTCATTCATAGATAAGTTTCATATATCGTAGATATAGTTCGGTGTATCTGATGATTACCACGATGGAATAAGATAATATTTTAATATATTTGCATCCTTCTACTTTTGCGTTGTATTTGTTGTTTTATATTCGTTCTCTTTCTTGCATCTCATCTCCCGTTTACAGCAGTATAAAATAACCATTATTGATAGAAATTCTAACGCCATATTGCTTCATTATAATTCACATAATTTCAACTATAGAAAATCTTTGGAATGTAATTGAGTACCTGCTATGAAGTATTGATGAAATTTATAATAATAGAAAAGAAGTTTATAATAGATCTCAACCTCTCGTTTATATTCCGAAATCTGATTCTTAAAATATTTAGGTAAAGAGTAGTAATCAAAGAGAATAAAAGATTAGGATTGAGCTTGTTAGGTACTATAAATTCTATTTCTGATATAGACTCCTGATTTGAATATCCTAACTAATATTATAAATGTGAAAGTGAGTTTGTTTAGTTCCTTGTTACGTTAAAGTGTCTTAACGGCTTAACCAATTACTACGAAATTTGTTATACACCTACTATATGGATTACTTTTTATCCTAGTCAGTAAACATACCCCGGTCACGCGGACAAAGTAATTAATAAAAATTAGAATACCTATAATTTATGCATCTGAACTAAGTAATTTTGCGATAAAGGTGTTGACATAATTTAGTCCGTAACACACACAACTGATCGATTACAAAAAATACATATCAATGCAAATAAATAATGTATACCTACTACGAGAACGTATGTTTACACGATGTTTCATTTATAAATTCTCAGCCTAATCCCCTTACTCGTACAAAATTAAAAGATCCTATAAACCCATTTTGAATATTGGATAATTAGAGCTTTTTGTTACTTTCTTTCAAATTGAGATATCAACGCAAAGGAAAAATACAAAACACTTCTTCAATAGCTAAGGCGTTCTTATGAAAAGGGGGCAAATATGTAATCATATTAATTTAGACATAATTACCTGCGGCATTTGATAGGAACACGTCGCTGCGGTACTGGTGAACTGTGGACGCTGTCGGGGAAAACCAAATTGTGCTTCAGTGCTAAAAATTCTGGGGTGCTCATCCAATTAGGATTACCCTCGTCACATGAACTCATCGAGAGTGACCTTATAAATCTATCTCCAGACAGTGAGTCCGGCGTTAGGTCTACATTTTCTATATTCGGGTTAGCAATCGTTATGTTAACAGATGTCATCGATTGGGACCGCACGTGTCTGTCGTATAAAAATACTTCATCCTTCGACTCATCCTTTTCGAAGCTGCCGAATACGTTATCTTTTGTGGACTCAATTGATTTAACGGTCGGTTTCGAGCTAGAGGTTAACTCGTCCTGCGTTGTATCATTCTGTGTATATCTGGTATCAGACGATTTAATACTTTGCTTATCGGAATTAGAGTTTAGACTTGTCGTTTCCGATGAATCCGAGAATGCATTTTCATTATTCGAATCTACTTTAGGTGTTCGATTATCATTATGTGGCTTTAAAGTTTCTTTGGCATTGATGATAGATATCTTGTTTGTGGCGCACCCAAGCTCGTCGCTTGGACTAGTTTCAACTGCGGAAGGACATCTCCGTAATGTAGAGTTCGGTATCCAGTTGAGGAAAAGCGTAGGCCGTTTAGAATTGTTGTGTTGATCAGTAAACACCTTTGTGGTCACAGTCAAATATCCTGGATGATGAACAATGTCCAATTCGTGGCGGGCGATGGTCGGCGGGTGTACACACACGTTATTCTTGCAAAATAAAATTTCGTTGTCTACGTAATCGGGAGGTTCCTCGTTCTCGTCGAACTCCAAGCCGAGGAAGTAGCTCGAAGCTCGTTTCAGAAGGTCAGGCAGAGGCATGTTAGACTTGTATCTTGTTCACATTTCTTAAAATACCGCGTGTTTGTCATTTAATACAGGCGTATTGTCTCACAGACGACAAACTCAATGGAGCGCGGTGCGTGCACTGAGCGCATGTAAACACCTACACAGCTATGTTGATAAAGCGGTATTGATCCGCGTGGAGAGCCGGTCATAGCATGCGACGTCACAAACGTAGTTACCACACTCATTGGTTGCGAACGTTTTATGATTGTTACAACATCATTACATCTGTTCCATCTTTATAAATCTTTATTGAATTAATACCGAACCAGAAAATTAGCTCGAATAACCGTTGGGCATCATCTGAAAGTATGTTAATAAACTAAAGAAATCTCTTACCGACGACCTAACACTATCTAATAGAAAGGGGAGGGATTGTTAATACCAGTCCAATTGCTAGCAATATACTCTATCAGGTGGACCTCCACGTGGGCCCCTCTAGAAACCATCGGGCTGGATTCCAGGAGTATTCGTTACGATAGGCTTATTGACCTGCCTTTTAATTCTCACCTATCATCCCTCACTGGTGCCCTGCCAGCGTATACTGTTAGTGCAGACGGGGTTACCATTTTATTTTAAACTCAAAAAAACTTTGTCAACTAATGTACAGATAGATATGAACATCACCATATAAACATACAAATAAACGTGAATACTTATTATCAATGACAGATTTCATGTAGATATTACCCGCATCCCCTGAGGACTAAGGTTAATGATCTACATTTTTTAAATATCAATGATTAAGGTCATTTCGGCCTTTGAAAAATTGAGTTATACTATCTTTACGATTTACTACTACTATGTAACAGTTGCTTCTTATCTTTTGGGACAAAATAGCAACAACGTAAGCATTACCTGTTTAAGACCAGAAATAGGTTAGACGGTGACTTCTAACCACGGTACACTAATCTAAAGAGTAAACTCTTAAAACCAAATACCATCCCTAGCTTAAGTTACATGAATGTCTTCTACCAAAAGATTACTTTTATTTTATAAATAATAAAAAAACGTCCTAAGCATTTCACATTAAAGATGAAAAATAATTGTATTTAGTCAATTTTTCTAACCCATAATCTAAGGCCATAACATTTTTTTTTCTTTTCTTTATTTAGAGCCTTATGTTTGATCGTAGGTAATATATAAATAGATAGTTCGGTATTAAAATATTTGTACATAGGTTGGATTTGGTATCATTATTCAGTCATTGCTGAGTCTACACTTGTGATACTAGGATCATTATTTTTATACAACTAAAAATAATAAATCACACTTTCAAATATATGGTAAATAAAATATTACAAGTTACGAAGACGTAATTCTACAATTTTCGGGAATGGCAATACATGTCAACATATAGGGAATGTTATAGGTGTTACGGAACTATATATGTGCTTATTTATGTTTAGCTACCTACCTACCTATTTATTCTTTAATTCCTTCTACCCAATGGTTGTCTGGAAGAGATTACTTAGCAATAAGACCATCTTTTACACTATACTTATTGAAAATCCTTCAACAATTCATGTAATATTGGTGCAATAAAATGTTAAATAAATTAATTAATATCCTGAGTGCATTTCATGTCTATAGTGGATAGTAATTATTTTCCATCAAATGGGCTGTCAGCTTATATGCTATTCTAAGTTGCAAAAAAATACTGTCTGTCATCCTTCGGGGCACCATACATGGGAATCATAAAATACATTGTAATTCGTACATCGCCGTTCCTGAGGACAAAAATCTTTCATATCCTCTAAAGACACAATATCGCATCCTTAAAATTGAAATACAGGTATTTGGTGGTAAAAACTGGAATGGGACACAGGCAGAGCTGAATTATCCATCAGACAGTGTAAGCAACTACCTAGGGGCTTCCATCAGTTAAGGGCCTCGCGCACAAAAATTTTTTCGTGATATTTTCTTTAATTGAAAATTACATTTAAAGTTTGTATTAAATTATCCCATAATTAAAATATTGTTATCATGTTATAAGTCATTCTACATAGAATACCTAATATTAGATATAGAAATTTTGTGCGTAACACTTGCATTCCCCCGCTATGTTTACTCCGGCACTGGGCACTTGCCCATACAGACAATGTTACTTTAGTAAAATAGTCATATAATCTAATTTATTCAATAAAACTATTACGCCATTGTTCTCTATGAAGCGGCGTCACTAAAGGATGTGATTGGCGCAAAACAGGGTAGGTATAATGATAAAACGATAATGAAATTCCAGTACGCAAATAAAACAGTTTATCAAATCGGAATTTCTGATGACGCGATAAATCAATTGCACTGTACCTAATTATATATTGAATAAAAATAGATTACTTACCTACCTCGGGTATTTACCTTGTAGTCTAAAAGCCTACCATGAAATGTTTTCCGAAATTTCGGAACCAAACGAAACAGAAATTTGATATTAAAATTACATAATACATGCCGTTTGGAAATATTAAAAATGTTAAAATATTGTTTGACTTTTATGATAGGATGTATGACGAACGAAATGTTAAACTCCATTTATTGGGGGGAAGGGATCGTTAGTAATGCGGGCTACCAGTTCCATTGCTAGCTATATACCCTGTCAGGTTGACCTCCACGTAGTTCCCCCTGGAAACCATCGTGCTGAGTTCCAGGTGTATTCATCACGATGGGCTGACTGACCTGCCTTTTTTCATTATTCACCTATCATCCCTCACTGGTACCTCGCCAGCGTATACCGTTAGCGCAGGCGGGGTTACCATTCCATTATCATCCATTAAAAAAAACTCCATTTATTGGTCTGATTTTGGTATAAACAAAAACACGAAATTGAGTCCGAAATTTCGGAATTTCATTTCATGTTAGACCCGCTGTTACTACGAGATTTATTTACCTATATTTATACAGATGCTTGTCGTGTGGTCTCCGCACAAAATGGGCCACCCCTTCCTTTCCTGTGGGTTTCGTAAGAGGCGACTAACAGAGGATGGGCAGCAGCGTCCCTCCTAAAACATCACCAAAGTCTAACTGCGATTGCCCATTCGCCTGTTAAGTATGCCAACTATTGGCAAAATTCCCCTTATGAAAAAGGCCTATGTTTAGCAGTGGACAGTAAACAGCTAATATAATGATACAGGTTGTAAAGAAAAGACACAATCAGCCTGAAATATTATTATTTATGAATCTGAACCCTAAAGGACAAGAATCGAAATCCTTACTAATCTTACTATATTAGTATAATGTGGAATTTATTATATATTATTACTTCTTGACGCCTTCGCTTCAAGAATCAATTATTGTGAATTTTTTTATAAGTTACTTTTTTTTTATACAACTTAAAATGGCAAACAAGCTGACGGTCCACCTGATGAAAAGTGGTAACCGTCGCCTATAGACATAAGCAGTACCATGGACATAACAGAGTATACTGTTTCACCCATGATACCCCCCATGCGTTTCCATTCCTGAGGACCCAGGTATTATTCCTCTGTACCCTGTAAATTCACGCCATATCCTACCCTTCAAACCGAAACACAGCCATGCAAACACAATTGCTTCACGGTTGAAACACGGATGCTGTGTGTGAACAAACTTAGTAATCACACTTATTTAATGAAAAGACTATATTTTCTGTTTTTATAACTCACTGCTTTAATATTTATTACTGACCTTCTTTTATAAAATTGAGGTGGCAAATAAGCATACGGCTCACATCGTTGGTAAGTGGTTATCGTAACCTATAAATACCTATAATACTAGAAACATTAAGCGTGCGTTGCCGACCTTGAAGAACCTCATTAGCCCTTTTTTTGAAGAACCTCATGCTGTAACTGTAACTCTTAGAAAAACCTCTACAGGAAGCTCATTCTATAACCTGAGCATTCGTGGGAAGAAACATCTCTGAAACTGCACTGCACGCGACTATCCACTCCCTGCCGATATAACCTTGTATAAACAAATATATGTTACATTTATCTCCACAAAAGAAAAAAAAAGGTCTTCAGAAAAGTTTAAAAAACCTTTTGCTACAAAAACTAACGTAAATTAAATCTTCGCAATTAGGTCACCACATGTCACGCAAGTAACACACACTACAGTGAAATTTAGTACCTTTTTAAAATCAGTTAATAGATTTACATACGAAACGTGACTATATTACTTAGACGCCAGAGAAAGCGGAAGGTTGCTAAAATTTCTTGTAAAATTCTAGAACGGCACGATATGAAAGTGGGTACCTAGTATCTATATTAGTATAATTTATTGTGAAGTGTTCCTGTTCACTTAGCTGTTAATTTTTGTAACCATGACTAAGAAAAATGTTTATACCTTTACTGTAAAATCAAAATAATAAGTATCTTTTCAGAGGAGTGTTCTACCAGGAAAACTTAACATTTCTCTCAACACTGGGGTAGATTCTAAGATAGTATTAAACTTGTCAAAATTGTAATTTGAGAGATTTAATTTAAGAAAAATAGTCTTATTGAGAATTAAATGTAATGCAACTCTATTAAAAATAGTTTGTACTAGTCGTCAGAGTAATCATTTCTCTGTAATATCAAATTGAAATTTTAATTTTGGAGATTGGCACCTACAATAAAAAAAAACCTTCTCGTAATACAGTCGTATTCATTTCAGCCGTTAACTGTCCACTGCTGGACATAAGCCTTCCCTATAAGGAAAGCTTTGCCAGCAGTTGCCATACATAGCAGGCGGGTTGGCAATCGTAGTTAAGCTTTTAGACATGTTTTAAGTGGGACAGTCGTATTACCCATAATAAAAATAAGGTTTTATTTCTTAAAAAATTCTAATCACCAATACAAACCGGTACAAACCTGGCAAAGATACCAATAAAAAAAAAACAAGAGTAAACACAACGTTCGATTCTGTGGCATAATTTCTATAAAGCTATTTCTTAGATTCGAGAAATTACTGCTTTATGAAACATTATAAACTAAATTTGTAATAATTTTGCTTTAAATTTATTAGTTTAGTTCATATTGAACCTAAGTATTCTTTGATTGATAATATCAATCAGAAATTTTAATTTTAAAAGTGGCGCTTCAAGACATAGGTTCCATTGTTACTACATTTCATACTTTGTTCATATAACAAAAACAAGCCTTGAGAAAAATGACATTAAGCTCTCCCTTTCCCACCGGAAATACTTGTTTACAAAAATAGGACTGTGACTCACAGCTTGTAATAGAAATATTTATTAAAAATATTTCTTCAATTAATGGGGAATTCCCTCAATTTCGGATAAGAAAAGTAGGCGATGTTTTTAGTGCCACTGCGCTACAAAGTACCTTAAAATATAGAGACACCCCTGCCTGCACTCATAAATATTATATCTTCTTAGTGTGCTGTGAGTGAACAAACTTAGTAATCACACTTCATAACGGGACTATATTTTCTGTTTTTATTACTCACTGCTTCAATACTTATTACTAACCTTCTTTTATAGGGGGGAAAGGGATTGTTAGTGATGGAGACTAAAAATCCCATTGCTAGCAATATACCCAACCAGGTCGACCTCCTAGTAGTTCCCCCTGGAAACTATCATGGTTAATTCCTGATGAATTCATCATGATGGGCTAACTGGCCTATTTTCGTTTATCTGCCTAATCTGTTATTTCATGTGATATTACTAACCTTTACCTTTCTCATCTCAAATCAGTCATAATTTTAAAGAAATAACTCTATAGAACTAACAAGCCCTGGTGTAAGCGGTCTACAACTTTCATATAACAAAGATGAAGAAAAATTAAAATTTATAATATTAATAACATTTTACTGTGGTATCGCTGAAAATATACAAATAAGTAAATAATTTCAAATTAATATCGTGTAAATCTAATTATTCATATTTTCTAAAAAAAAACTTTACTCTTTTTTTTAAATAGATTTTGTTTAAAATAACTGATTACTTCGTTAATCGGAACATGACTTATTTTCGGCAAAAAATCCCGCAAGATGTCGTTTACGTTGCATTATTTAATTGACGCATGCGCCACACATTGCAATCAGCTGTCAAAAAGAACATAATCACCTAAAAAACAAAATTATTTGTGTCTTTAGATAATTCCCGTCAATATGGCGGGGCAAAATCCAGGTTCGCCGACTGACTTTCAATATTTTTATGAGGATGAAGTCTATAAAATCAACAACCGTGGTCAAGTCGTCTTCGGTCTTGTACTTGAAAACTATGAAGGCATCTCAAGCGACCAAGAGAGCGACATTGAAGCAGCTGTACAAAAAGGCGAAATTCGTGTTGTGTGGCACCCCTCCGGCACTGAACGAGTCATATCCGAAAAGACGGTAAGCATGGGATGCCTTCCAGAACGGTCCTGACCTCGAGCAGTCAATTTCACTAATGTTTTAGCAATTACAATTATAGAATAATAAATTGGATCTTATTAGTAGTGCATCAACCCCTGACTTCGGGTTAAGGTTTTCATGATGACCTGTATTGGATGTAATATGGTATGAATTATGCTGTTATTCCTTGAGGGTAGAACAATAATTGTATAGGTATTACCAAGGTACATTTTATTAATTACATCCTAAAATAAACAATACTAATTTTGTGTCTATGCAATTGTTAATTTATGAAATTGGAATGAAGCCAAGCAAATGAACTCTTCAATTAAATTGTAGTTACACTTATCTACTTCAAAAACAAATTTCCTATTAATATAATAACACATTTCTGGAGTAAATGAACTCTACAAATTATAAATTATTTTAATGTTCAAGTGCATTAATATTATTTACATTTCTAAATAGTATTGTAATAATACTTCTTTTTAAATCTGCCATATTTGTATTTTGAAATATTAAATGTAGTATTAATTTTTCAACTTAAACAGTTCACAGCAAAAGGATGCACTTTATTGTAATTATGTATAATGACTTGTACTTAATCAGTTTTACTTGGTATATTTATTAAACAATTAAATATGCATGTGTTACTAAATAAAAACGGACAATCTGCAATTATACACAACCAACATAAAGATATTGTTATTTTTTAGGTTTGTTTTATAAATGAGATTTCAGTTAAATAGTACTTATATACTGTTTTGTTTTAATCCCTAAAAATGAACTAATTAACTATTATTTGGATTAAAAAAAAAGACTATTAAATATGGCATGGAAAACAAAGTGTGATTTATTTTGTTTCTGAACAGTGTTTTATATACATACTTTCAGTATTTTTTTTATTCAGAGGAATGAAATAAATAACTAACATGTTCTAGAATCATCTTCCGTTACTCAATAACAGACAGTTGTCACATTCTCATCTTGAAATAATACGAAACATTATTTATCTTACAATAGATAGTAATATAAAAGACTTTTTTTATAGGCATAAAGCATTTGTTTGTATGCCTCTAAAAACATAAATTATCTATTATATTATGTAACATAAACAATACTCACCTTTTTATAACAAAGACTCAGTTGATATTTTAGCTTACTGAAGTGTAGCAATGTTGCAATTATATGTAATTTTTTTTAATAACTTTATTAACTAAATGTAAATTTAGAAATTTAACTGTACAATACAAAAAGGCAGACTTAATTCTAGTAGCATTCTTTACCAGTCAACCTTTTGGATTAACAATTATAAACAGGTACTTCATTATTGGGTTAGGTAAAGAAAATAACAGCTAATAATGTATAACCACAATAAATAATATATATATACATATATACAAAAATAATTGAACAATTTTAAATGTTTTTAGTTGAATGTATAAAAAGTGTTTTATTTTTATTTTATTAGTAAACTAAAATGTTTTTCACAGAATATATTTCATATGAATTTACAAACTTTGTATCTACTTCATATTTTGCTTTGAAATGTTTCAATTACTATTTTGCTTTCAAAATCCAAATATAAGTGGTCCTTTAATAAGAATAGTATTGCATGATTAATTTTTTTTTATACCACTGAGGTGGCAAACAAACAAACCCACCTGATTATAAGTGGTTACCATAGCCTATGAACACCTGCAATACCAGAGGTATTACGCGTGCATTGCCGACCCTAAAGAAACCTATTTAAAGTATACTAATACATTAAAGAGAGTTCCCTAATAAAACATTTTAAATAGTCAATCAGAAACATCAAAAATTGTTTTTAGAAATTGACAGATAAAGCTGACCTTGCCACATTTCAGTAAGCTAAAGTATCTTAAAGAATTTTTGTTATCTAAAACCTTAACAATCTAACTGAGCTATTATATATATATATATATATATATATATATATATATATATATATATATATATATATATATATATATATATATATATATATATATATATATATATATAATATTGCAAAATTATTGATGCAGGTTGGGCTAGCTGATCGCTCGCTAATGCCAGGAGACGTTGTTCGACGCCTAATAGCTGGCAAGGACACCCAGAGGGGATACTGTAGAGATATTGTAATGACTGCCGCCCTACAAATAGTTGGTACCAAACATGTGATTCCAAGTGTAGCCAGTGAGAGACTGCAACCATTAGAAGAGTTCACTCCTGACCTTGCAGTGTGTCTCGATTCCTGGGTTGGAACCTCAAAGGTTTGTGCCTTTTCTAAATATATGTCCATTATAATTAGTTCACCTTTTTGATCATGATACTAATGATTAATGACCATGTTTCTGAATGTTTGCATAATAGAATATTGAAAAAGTCTTAAAAAAATATTCAATACACTTTAATTAAATAATTTATTTAAAGAAATTATATAGAATTGTCTGTTTCAATAGACAGATTTCGTAATTATTATCAGGTGGCTATGAAATCAATATTTGTAAGTATTAAAAAAAAAGGAAAAAAATCAAGCACTGCTGAAATATTGTATAGTTAATTTAAAAAATAGTTTACATAATAAACAATAATTTTCAGTTTTCATAAAATTATTAAGGACCCTCCTAAAACTAAATCCTTAAAAAAATATATTAAACTTGTAATCTTTGGAAAAAACTCTTCTATTTTTTAATTACTTTAAAAGAGTATTTATTAAGAAATAACATTTACAAGAGGAACAGTTTATTTATTGTAGTTTAGTTCCGCAAATAGTGTAATTAACTGAGTGGTTGATACTCAATTTAACTTAAAACCAAGTATTAATTTCTCGGTTTTAATTTATGATTTAGATTTATGTAAACACTTAAATCTGTATCATTAGTTACTTATTTAGAGGTGAAATGTATGTAGAATAAATAATGATCTTGGAATGATAGAAAAAAGTATAGAGCCTTTGCAGTGATAAGGTCTCTACATCAAATGTTGGTATTTCATACCTTTATACGGTTTTGTTTTTATTCTAAAAATTAATGAACTATAGCTGTATAGACCTCGACGTAGACTAGACCAGCCCTTCCTTTCCAATGAGTATCACAAGATGCAACTAAGAGAGCTTATGGTCAAGGGATGTGCATGTGCAGCAGTGTGTGTTGCCAACCTGCCTGCCAAGTGTGTAAATTACTGACAAAACCTGAACATCGCCTCCCCCTTGAAGAGTATGGGAGAGGCGATGTTTAGCAGCGGACAGTTAATGGCTAATAATATGGACCATTATTTTAATTAAAAAAAAGGATTATTTATTTAATATTGCAAATAAAACAAAACAAAGATTTAGTGCGTGAGCAGTGCTTATATATACATCCTTTCAGTTCATTTTTTAGTAATAACGAGTTCTAAAATGTTGGGAGCTATATGTATCATAATAGTAATGAAATAATGCTTATCAAGTAACCAATACTTAATTTTCATATATATTAGTCTTTGTTGTATCTAAACTTCTATACTAATCTTAATTTTTTGTTACAGGCTGTGCATAGTAAATTGCGGCTCTTATCAGCCGATGGCTCCCGCCTTGAATACCCCGACCTAGACAGTTGTCCACTGGAGGACTACTCCATGCGGCGACGTCGCTCCACACCATACTCCTCATCAGAGTTTTACCCCGGCCAAGTAGTGTACGGTCCGCTTGGTTCCTTAGACAATGCTAACTGGCTTCACATGACAAAGGAGATGAAGGCTGCCAGAAAACATAAGAATCATGATCATAAGGTATGATTTTACTGTAAATACATTATAATGTAGGTAAATTTCGAAAAAATATTTATTTTTAATTCTTTAATTAAGTTACAAGTTTTGATCGGAATTTTTTTTTATACAACTTAGAATGGCAAACAAGCTGACGGCCCACTTGATGGAAAGTAGTAACCGTGGCCTATAGACATGAGCAGTACCATGGACATAACAGAGTATTCTGTTTCGCCCATGATACCCCCCATGCGTCGCCATTCCTGAGGACGTAGGTGTTATTCCTCTGTACCCTGTAAATTCACACCATTATAACTCCATATGAAGTTGCATTTGTAGTTTTAAATCTTAAATATTGAAATCTGTTGACAGTAGACGAATTAAATTTTCCCCACATTTAATTTAATTACGGTACTTTCCATCACACAGAATTTTTTGTAACAGCCTGATTTGAAATTAGATCTGTATGGTTAAGAAAAGCCACTTTTTTCAGAGGATATATGGAATAATATTTCCACCTGGTTTTTACTTATGTAATACCAATGTGTCTACTGGTATATCATGACGAAGTTACCAGTTTTCCTAGGGGATTACATAGAGGTCAACTTGACCTCATGATCATCATCATATCAGCTTTTAACTGTCCACTGCTGAACATAAATCTCTTCCAAGAACGTTTTGCTAAGTACTTTCCATGCTTAGCAGGTGGATTGGCAACCGCAGTTAGCCTTTGGAGATGTTTTAAAAAGGATGCTGCTGGCCCTTTCCTTAGTCGCCTCTTACAACACCCATAAGAAAGAAAGGGGTGACCTATTCTATACCGGAACCGCACACAACTTGACTTCAATCAATTTCATTGTACACAATCTAATCAATGTAATTCTACTGTATTTTTAATAGTTATTTACATTTAACATGGTGTTTGTGGCATCACAGTTTACAGTGGAGGCAGTGGTGACGGAGAGCGTCAGTGTCCACTGGCAGTGCCGTGCGCTCTGCACCCACGTGGCGGATGCAACCGCCGCACCTGCGCAGCCCAAATTTCTCGTTGAAGGTACACTAATTTTTTCAACCCACTTCAAATCTCAATTTTTTTTATTTGTTTGGTACCTCAAAACTCCGTCATTTATTACCTAATTTAAAAAATCCTTTTTATCTGAAATTATATACTTTCTGATTAGTCCCATATAAATTTTATCAAAATTGGTTTAGTTTTTAAGTAATGACTGATTTTGTCATAATCAAGGTCAGTGTTTTTTTCTGTGAAACAAAATCTTTATACTTTGATGCGCATGGATCTCTTCTCAAAGAGTGATATTTACTATATACACAGCTAAATAATCAAACACCGCAAATTTTTATTTCAATAATACTGGAATTAAAACTAACTTTAAATAAAAGTGGGGTGAAGAACTACCAAATTTATAACATGGGCTGATCTTGCTAACTACACCATAATATGTACACATATATAAAACAAATAGTTTTAGAGGGTTGGCCGAGTGGGCCTTGTTCATCCTAGAATCGTCTAGTGCTCACTCCAGGATTTGAGAAAAGCTGAGAGGTCAGGCCTCCCCTGAAAAATAATTTAAATATAAATTAAATAAAATAAACCAATACTTCTTTAATAAATAGTAACAGTAATATGGACCATCAACATTTCATAATTAACTTCAATGTTGCGTGCATCAGTAATTAGTATAAATGTAAGATGTAAGCCCTGTATATCAATTGAAATGTCTGCATTTACATTGTTGATGTACCTTTTAAAATAAATAAACTTCATTAGGATAGTCTGGCTAGATTTAATACTTTGTCCCAAAATATATATATTTGTTTACTATATACAATTGTTTTTTAATAACACAGGTGAAGATCTAAAGAACCTCAAGTTGCTCAATGTGTTTGAACCATGCACACTACAGGTCGGTGACCGCAACTTCCTTACTATCGGTCCAGAAGACACGTTCATTAGTAAGAAGCAATGGAGGAAACAACAAAGTATGTAATCTCTTTTATTATTATTTAATTTTTTAACTGTACTGTTGAACATAGACCTTCCCCATGAGGGAAGTTTCTTTTATAATTATCCTTAAAAAAAATAAATCTTAGATAAAATAATTAATTGCAAATTTTTACTCGCCATCTTTTTCGCGTGTCACTTTAATTTTGTTTATTTTTTTTTTTTTATTTATTCATAAACAAAAATTTGTATTTGAATGTTATAGTAGATACAATAATTTCATACACTATATAAAATATAAATTAAATCAAGCATAAAACAAATATTACAGTCACTTAGTCATCTCTTAACATAAACAATATAGGTATATATTCAAATTTACTATAATTAGAATTCGTCAATTGAGTACAGACACCTTTCTAGCAATAATGACTTCAATTTTGTCCTGAAGATATTTAAATCATTCAGTGACTTTAATTCCTTAGGCAGCTTATTAAATAACACCACCGCTTGTTCTGTGAATATCTACATTCTGGATATTATTACATAATAAATTTCCGCACATAGTCCTCGTCGTAGCTCTCTAGAACATTCAAAAATATACTACAAAAATTTGTGTTCTCAAGTCGGTTGTATTTTTTTTTCAGTTATTGTTACTTCATTATTCTTTTATTTATAAATGAATTTAGATTTTATTATCTGAAAGGTTTGTTCTTACAGATTGGTCTCATAGAAATTTTATCAAAATGGGTCCAATAGTTTAGTTTTTAAATCAAAATAACTGGTTCTTTCATGATTAATGTTGGTATTTGTTAGTTTTTGCGGAACAGAATCTATTATTGTCTTAAAGTAAACATGTTTTGTAGTCCTCGATATGGACGAGATAAAACATATATTAACAAGAACAAGTATAAACAACATTGTATATTATCTAGTATATCTCATTATAGATAAGATATTTATTTGTTTTGTTTTTTTTTTTTCTTTTTCGTTTCTATATAAAATACATAATATATTAATGATATTATAATAGGTCAAAAATGTTAGATATAAGAAACAATTAACATTACAAATTTAAACCTGGAGAAAACGCTAAATTTGGTACCTCTTATTGTTTTAATCACTTATTGCTTTTAACTTTTTTTCTAATGTAAAATGTATATAAATTAAATATATAAATATCTTCATAGTACACATAGTTGCTCTGTTCAAAACTGACAAAATTTTACTTGTTTATTGGATGTGTAACATTTCTTTTCTTTTTAATTATTGTGTGTACCTCAAGAAATTTTTATAGTACTATTAAATATTAGCTATATCTCGCGGCTTCACCCGCGTGATTGTACATAAAATATCCTATATACTAAGTTAGAATATAGCCTACCCATGTACTAACAAAATTTTATTCAAATCCATTCATTTTTTGCGTGAAAGAATAACAATTAATAATATACATAAATAAATAAAACCATTCATTCAGTTGTGTTTGCATGGATGTGTTTCGGTTTAAAGGTTGGGATATGGCAGTGAATTTACAAGGTACAGAGGAATAACACCCGAGTCCTTAGGAATGGCAACATATGAAAGGTATTATGGGCGAACACAGTATACTCTGTTATATCTATGGTACTGCTCATGTCTATAGGCGACGATTACCACTTTCCATCAGGTGGGCCGTCAGCTTGTTTGCCATTCTAAATTGTATAAAATTAAAACATTAATTTGTCCTTACATTACAAACTTTTGCATTTATAATATTAATATTGTGGAATAAATCTGGTATTACATACAGTAATCTGCACGCTTTCTTTAGTCCTAGGCTCAAATGCAGAATTTTCATAATCCTTTTTTCTTTTTCAGGTAAATACTATAGGAATCTCCGCAAACAGTCGCGGCCAATTAAGAAATCGTCGAAGTCAGATAACAATTCCACAGACCACATGCCGTCCAGACCCAAGAAGAGGGCTTCGTCACATCGCAAACTGAAATCTGTTGATGTACATATTTTATAATAGTTTATTACTGATTCTTACATTAAATCATATTATAATTTGTTTAATACATTACAGATTAGAAGTGATCCAATATATATATATATATATATATGTATATATATATATATATATATATACATATATATATATATATATATATTAATCGGTCAATAATTTACGCCATGTGTTATCTCGGGATAGAATAGGCCAACTCTTCCTTTCCCGTGCACGTCGTAAGAGGTGACTAAGGAAACTTAATAGTGGAAGAATGAACAGCAACATCCCTCTTAAAACATCACCAAATCCTAACTATGGTTGCCGACTTATCTCCAAGCATAGCGTTAATTGGTAAAACTCCCCTTATGAGGAAGGCCGATGTTCAGCAGCGACAGCTAATGGCTGATATGATGATCAATAATTTATTTGCAAAATGAGGTGTGTCATTGGTAAAACAGTATTCTCCGTTATGTCCATGGCACTGTTTATGTCCATAGGCGACAGTTACTTTCCATCAGGTGAGCCGTCAGCTTGTTTGCCACCCCTAAAATCTGCTTCACATCTTTTTATTTGTGAGTTTTGTAGAATATAACTTCACTAGTTCCAACAAGAAATTTTATCTTATTTATTAGTAACTAACTTTTTGCCCATTTCGTATAGGTGGATTTCCGAAGTAGAAAAATCGATGCAATATACTATTTATAGATGACGTATCAAGATAAAACATCCACCAATTTTTTTAAATTAGCCCTTCAGGAGTACAATTGTCAAAACCGCATTAAATGTGGTTCACTAGTTTTTACGTGATTTAGAATCAAAATACAGTCAGACAAACTTTCTAAAAGTTACTGTTTCTAATTGTTCTCAAACATTTTCCATGTGCAGACATCGTCTCATTACTATTTTATTACATTAGTAAAATTAAGCAAATAATATTTATGGAAACAGAATGAAATGGAAGTAGATGCATCAGATGAGAAGCTAGAGTGCTTGGAAGAAGTACTGAAGGCGGACGCGAACTGCCCCAGCATCAAGATTGAGCCCAGTGGAGACATGTCACTGCCAATGGCCAGTAGTCAAGAAGACACCGTTACAGAGGAGAAAAACGATTCAGGGATCAGGTACAGCATAATATTGTGATACCAGTCCAGGGAATAGCTATTCAGTCTGTAGTAATACTGTTAAGAGCATTCATAACTTGCTTACCGAAGTGTGGTAACCATGTTGTAATTAAATGCCAGTTTAAAAAATAATTAATATTTCTTAATGTACCTGATTGATAATGTAAAAAGTGCTGTGCTAGCGAAATAAAACATAAATTGTAGAATACGTTCCATATAAAAATACTATTAAAAACTTTGCACCTTCATAATTTTCTTGGGAATTTTCAAAATTCAAAATCTAACTTATTTTAAATACACAATCGGGACTTTTAGTTATGGTTACTAAGTAACCACTCTTCAAGTTTAACAATGACAACATAAAGAAGAAAAAAATTAAGGGTTTTAACATTTAATATTCGCAGCCCTGAGCCGACAAAGGAAGATAGCTCACTACTGAACGGTGACAGCAAGTACTCGGACGGCAACGACGATGACTCCGACAACTGGGAGAACACGAGCAGCGACGGCAGCGACACCGACAGGTAACCGCACCCCTATGACATTACTTATTTTGTTATTTCTTAGATTTTATACCAGATATCATTGCCAGTGGGGCGTCTTATCAACAGATAAGACGTCCCATTTGCCTTTCAGATCTATGACTACTAAGTGTAAATAAAGACTTTATTAGAATGAGACACGCAAGCACATAACATAAATCACAAATAGTCAACACTATAAACTTATTGGTAAATAATATTTGAATATTAACTCTGTGTTTGAACCTGAATAACTAAAAGATTCTGTCAGATTGATTCAATCAAACACATAAAACTCCCATCCAGTCATGATAATTCTAAGGAAAAATAATGCACTATTAAAAAGAGCTGTGAACATAAATGTAGTGTAACGTGTAATAGCTGGTCCACATGATAGGGACTTTTAGTCACTTCCAATGCGACGAAAGTTGCTTGTTTAGAGCGGACATAACGGTGTATGTACAGTGGCGCGACGTGGTCGTCGCGGTGCTCGTCGGCGGCGTCGCAGCGCGGCAAGCGTTCGCCGCAGCTGGCCGTGCGGCTGCTGCGCGGCAAGCGGCTCAAGCGGACCGTGCGCCGCGCGCCGCCCGCGCCGCCGCCGCGCCTCGGCGACCGCGTCGTCGTCGAGACGCTGCACACCACCAGCCGCGCCAACGTCGTCTGGCAGGTCGTTACCCGCACGCACGCCACACACACCACACACATACCTCCACCTCCCCCCTCGCTGCACACACTCCGCCCCGTGCGGCGACCGCGTCGTCGTCGAGACGCTGCACACCACCAGCCGCGCCAACGTCGTCTGGCAGGTCGTTACCCGCACGCACGCCACACACACCACACACATACCTCCACCTCCCCCCTCGCTGCACACACTCCGCCCCGTGCGGCGACCGCGTCGTCGTCGAGACGCTGCACACCACCAGCCGCGCCAACGTCGTCTGGCAGGTCGTTACCCGCACGCACGCCACACACACCACACACATACCTCCACCTCCCCCCTCGCTGCACACACTCCGCCCCGTGCGGCGACCGCGTCGTCGTCGAGACGCTGCACACCACCAGCCGCGCCAACGTCGTCTGGCAGGTCGTTACCCGCACGCACGCCACACACACCACACACATACCTCCACCTCCCCCCTCGCTGCACACACTCCGCCCCGTGTGGCGACCGCGTCGTCGTCGAGACGCTGCACACCACCAGCCGCGCCAACGTCGTCTGGCAGGTCGCTACACGCACGCACGCCACACACACCACACACATACCTCCACCTCCCCTCTCGCTGCACACACTCCGCCCCGTGCGGCGACCGCGTCGTCGTCGAGACGCTGCACACCACCAGCCGCGCCAACGTCGTCTGGCAGGTCGTTACCCGCACGCACGCCACACACACACACACATACCTCCACCTCCCCCTCGCTGCACACACTCCGCCCCGTGCGGCGACCGCGTCGTCGTCGAGACGCTGCACAACACCAGCCGCGCCAACGTCGTCTGGCAGGTCGTTACCCGCACGCACGCCACACACACCACACACATACCTCCACCTCCCCCCTCGCTGCACACACTCCGCCCCGTGCGGCGACCGCGTCGTCGTCGAGACGCTGCACACCACCAGCCGCGCCAACGTCGTCTGGCAGGTCGTTACCCGCACGCACGCCACACACACCACACACATACCTCCACCTCCCCCCTCGCTGCACACACTCCGCCCCGTGCGGCGACCGCGTCGTCGTCGAGACGCTGCACACCACCAGCCGCGCCAACGTCGTCTGGCAGGTCGTTACCCGCACGCACGCCACACACACCACACACATACCTCCACCTCCCCCCTCGCTGCACACACTCCGCCCCGTGCGGCGACCGCGTCGTCGTCGAGACGCTGCACACCACCAGCCGCGCCAACGTCGTCTGGCAGGTCGTTACCCGCACGCACGCCACACACACCACACACATACCTCCACCTCCCCCCTCGCTGCACACACTCCGCCCCGTGCGGCGACCGCGTCGTCGTCGAGACGCTGCACACCACCAGCCGCGCCAACGTCGTCTGGCAGGTCGTTACCCGCACGCACGCCACACACACCACACACATACCTCCACCTCCCCTCTCGCTGCACACACTCCGCCCCGTGCGGCGACCGCGTCGTCGTCGAGACGCTGCACACCACCAGCCGCGCCAACGTCGTCTGGCAGGTCGTTACCCGCACGCACGCCACACACACCACACACATACCTCCACCTCCCCCCTCGCTGCACACACTCCGCCCCGTGCGGCGACCGCGTCGTCGTCGAGACGCTGCACACCACCAGCCGCGCCAACGTCGTCTGGCAGGTCGCTACACGCACGCACGCCACACACACCACACACATACCTCCACCTCCCCTATCGCTGCACACACACGCACACACAGAGACACATACATACACATACAGACTATTCTCCCTATTACAACACTCAGTCTATTCCAGTCTTCTCTACTCTGCTCCTCATCTACCTCACTTAACCTAATAAAAAAGTATTCCTTATCACTTTACAAAATTTTACTCTACTCCTCTCTACAGGAAAAGAGGAGAAGAGTGATATAAAAAGGCCTTCTTTCTTTTTACTTTTTATTTCTATTCACTTCATATCCCTTAGTACTCTAACGTATCGGAAATTATATTTTATTTATTTATTCATTTTACACTTTATTGCACCAAGTAAAAATAAAAATAACAAATACAGTAAATATTAATGAGAAGTGTAACAAAAGGCGGCCTTATACCTCATGATAATCCACGTAAATGTATCAACCTTTGAAATTAGATTTCCAATCCTCCGTTTTGCCATGAAAAACGAACAATCAGTATTAAATAAAAGTTATTTTCGACAGGATGGAACCATAGAGATGGGCATACCATCGACCCAACTGTATCCGATACACCATTTGGATGGTCAAGAGTGCTTTCCCGGCGATTTCGTAGTTAGCGGCGCTGCCAATATTGAGGAGAATCAGCAGGTAAATTGCTTATTTATAACTAGCAACTCGCTGAGCTAATGCTGTAAAAAAATATCTAATTGATAATGAATCAATCAAAGTCCATTGCGTAGTTTATGATTTTCTATAATATTGTGCGCAGCTGAAACACAGAGAGTATGGCGTGGTGCAACGCGTAGACCACCACGGCCGCACCGCCATCGTGCACTGGTACCGGACCTACACCAGCGCGGATGAGCCTGTGTACGTATATATTCATGTTTCCAATTAATACTGTGTAGTATCATTATAGGTACTAGTGATAAACCTACTTTTCCATACCTTACTATGTAGTTTTATTACCAATGGTTAAACTAAGTACTAAAAGATAGGTCCGTTAAAGTTTTATATTGTTTATACAACAAACTGACCACATGTCTATAGGCGACGGTTACCACTTTCCATCAGGTGGGCTGTCAGCTTGTTTGCCATTCTAAGTTGTATAAAAAAAAGAGTGATTCAAGAGGAAGGTTTCTCATATGTATAATACATGCATAATATGCGTCGCCGGCCCCCCCCATTACATTACATTAGATTAGAAACCTCTAAAATTATCAGTGTTCCTCTACTATATTATGCATGTATTATACATATGAGAAAACTTCCTCTTGAATCACTCTTTTTTTTATGCAACTTAGAATGGCAAACAAGCTGACAGCCCACCCGTTAGAAACTGGTAACCCGCCTATAGACATGAGCAGTACCATGGACATAACAGAGTATACTGTTTCGCCCATGATACCCCCCATGAGTTGCCATTCCTGAGGACTCAGATGTTATTCCTGTTATTCCAGGGTACAACCCTGTAAATTCACGCCATATCCCACCCTTCAAACCGAAACACAGCCATGCAAACACAACTGTTTAATGGTAGAATCACTAATGAGACAGAGGTACCCAAGCAATCGACTTTTGTACAAAGTCTCCCTCTGGTCTATCTCTCTATCTATTAAAAAAACTCTTCAAAATCCGTTGCGTAGTTTTAACGATTTAAACATACATAAGGACGGACAGACAGCGACAGCGACTTTGTTTTATACTATATAGTGATTATGTAATAATTACCGGTTATAACATTAAAGTATAATGTGTCAGGCTCGAACTCACGTGACAGTTGCTCATGATTAAGGATCACGAGTTAATTCTGAAACTAGTCGAGCTTTTTCAATCTAATTACATATAAGATAAATTCGTCGTTATTGCATTAAAATATGTAATGTATTATTTTCCCTCCAGTCCCCAGATGCTGAACGAAAGCGAAATGAGCGTTTACGACCTGAAGGACCACCCAGACTTCCAATATCGACCGGGGACAGTGGTTATACGAGTAGCCAACTTCACTGGCGAAGACGCCAACTGCACCGCCGGCCAAGTCATAGACAACTTCCCCACCGGCCGCGTCAAGGTCTGGTGGGTGGATGGGCACACCAGCATGTGCTGGCCACAGGATCTTTACAAGGCAAGTAATTAGAGATGTGAGAAAATAGATATTGAAATGGGTGATAACCTTTTATTACGCTGTGAACTTCCAGAAGAATCCGATGTAAAGATATTGGAACAGTACCAATATTATTCATACCTAGTTTTGAACTCTTCATCATCGTCATATCATCAGCCTTTAACTGTCCACTGCTGAACATAACCCTTGGGTTTTTGCCAGTAATTGCTACGCTTGGCAGGCGTTATTAGCAAACACAGTTAGACTTTGAAGATGTTTTAAAAGGGATGCTGCTGCCCGTCCCTAGACTATTAAGTTGAGAAGTTAAGATAAGAAGGTGTGGCCTATTCTATGCCGGGGCCACACAGCAATTTTTCAACCCTTAGAATAAGGGAGGAAAGGGATTGTTAGTAATGGGGACTAAAAATCTCATTACTAGCAATATACCCAACCAGGTCGTCCTCCTCGCGGTTCCCCCTGGAAACTATCATGATTAATTCCAGATGAATTCATCATGATGGGCTAACTGGCCTGTTTTCATCCTCATCGATCACCATTCACTGGTGCCCCGCCAGCGTATCCCGTTAGCGCAGTCGGGGTTACCATTCCATTTTTATCCAATAAAAAAAAACCCTTAGAATAACTTTAATATTCCATTTAGCTATTCTAGTTGTGAGAAAGTGTTTCTAGAACATATCAAAGTAAATGTTTGATGCGATAAAATAATGAATAAATGTTCTTATATGCAGGTGGGCGAGTATGACTCTGAGGATGGCGAGCTGTGGGGCTCGGAGGGCTCCGGCTCGGAGGACTCGTGGGAGACGCAGAGCTCGGCGCACGACGCCGACCCCGCCGACCGCGCCGACCGCGCCGACCGCGCCGACCGCGCCGACGCCGACCGCGACCACCACCTGCACCACTTGCAGCCCCTGCAGCATCTGCCGCACGCGCAAGGTACGGGGCACGCGATTTGTAATGTATCGTATCACAGTACTCTGTATCATGAGGGAGTGAAAATTGAGATCGGCCTACCCGTGAAATTAAAATTTTATTTTTCATATACATAAAAATTAATAAACGTAAGCAAGCTGAATAAGCCAAAGAACCGACAACTAATAAGGAAGAAAGGTTCTTGAGTGATGACCTCATACGGCTAAATGCAGTGTAGGACGACCCCCCAGTAGATGGAGTGACAACTTGATACTTTGATTGACTTAGTGCAAAAAGATGCTAGGAAATAAATGGGGCCTTTCGCCAAAAATAATTCTATGGCTGTACAGGGCTGTAATCAGGCCAATGTTGGTCTATGGTGCACTAGTTTGGTGGCCGAGGACAAAACTATCGACCACTGCCGCCAAACTAAAAAGCTTTCAGAGACTGGTTTGCTCCTCTGTCAGCGGCTGCATGAAAACAGCTCCTACAACAGCAATAGAGTTGGCCCTCAACATAACACCCCTAGACCTGCACATACAGCAGGAAGCGGCCTTAGCCGCTATCCGACTAATGCATCTGGATCTATGGGGTAAAAATCACTACAGTCCCCACACTGCTATTCTGAACCAGGCAATTTGATTGCGGCTCCGTGTGACAGGACTCATAATCATTATATATTTAACAAAAAATACCAAGTACAAATAAAAGAAGAGGAAAAGGACCAATCCGGTGTACATGAATTACGCATATACACCGATGGCTCCAAAACTGAGAACGGTTCAGGAGCTGGAGTTTTTTCCTTAGACCTTAATATAAACATGCACATACCGCTTGGCGACCACAGCTCAATTTTCCAATGCGAATGTGTTGCAATAACCGAGGCTGCTGCAGTTGTACATAAGCTAGGAATAAATGGTTATAGCATTAGATTCTTATCCGACAGCGCAGCAGTACTAAAAACATTACGAAACAACAAGACAAACAACAAACTAATAATTGAATGCCACTATTCACTGGATAGGATATCTTCCAATAACCGTATTATCCTCCAATGGATAAGAGGGCACAGTGGATCTTATGGTAACGATGCCGCAGACGAATTAGCTAGAAAAGGCTCAGGAACGAGGGTGGTAGGCCCGTATCCACTCCTTCCTCTTCCATTCTCACAACTTCGAATGTGGATTCGTCAAAGATCCTCTGACATACAAAACCAAAGATGGATACAGGCTACTGATTGCAGACAATCAAAATTGGCCGTACCTATGTTGAATCAACGACTATCAAAACGTTTATTACATCTAGACAGAAAAAACCTCAAAACAATGATAGGGACAATAACGGGTCATTGTCCATTAAACAAACATCTATCTATACACAATAGGAGCCACAGACAGCCCTCTATGTCGAGGCTGTTTCAACGCCGAAGAAACGGCTGCTCACGTAATCCTGGAATGTGAGGCTGTGGCCCATCAACGTTTAGAAATCCTCGGAACGGTGAGGTCGCTCCGTGAGGCCTGTGAAGAACCCAGGAAGCTTCTGCGCTTCTGGAAGGTTGGCTGCACTAGCCACGACTCATACGCACAATGGCCCAAATGAGAGGCTAAGTGCGGAAAATGGAGTCCCTTTCACATTCACATTCACATTCATGCATTGCAGGGAATCAGTGGATTCAGGTGGCATAGGACCATTCTTTATGGCTGTCTATGGGGAGGCTTATGTCCAGCAGTAGACGGATAATGGCTGAAATGATACATAAAAATTATTATTTTTAAGGATCCGTATGAACTACTTCATAATTGGGCACTAGAATATACTACCCTAGAGCCATCATACGGCTCATATGTGAAAACTGCACAGTGACCAATGATAATGCAGTTATATCACAGCAAATTACTTATTCATTGACTAGCTACTGATTTGTAGATGGTGGCAGTCTTAACACGTTGAGCCCGTCGCCGAATTTGCTGTGCTTTCCGTTCAGCCGGCAACCGGCTAGAGATAGAATGTTGTATGCTATCGCCAAGAGATTACTTTAGTACTAATAAAATAATGAATTCTTTGTCGCGCTATTTTGGACGTTTTTTAGGTGTATATTACGCTGGCCACACGGAAAATTCTAGTGCCGGTCCCCAGGGACCGATGCTGGCCACACAGAAAGTTCGTTGCCGGTCCCTAGGGACCGGCGCCGGGCCCAACGTGTTAAAGTACATGGCGCCTCTTGGAAATTTTAATGTGATTAACAATTTCACAATTCCTTCACACTATTATTATAATTTAGGACTAAACATGATTAATATGTTTCAATTTCACATATCATATTGATGCTTAATCAATTAAGTATATAAATTGGTAATGTAAAAATCTACACTAATATTATAAAGAGGAAAGATTTGTATTTTTGTGTGTATGTTTGTAATGAATAAACACAAAAACTACTTTGTCGATTTCAAAAATTCTTTCACCATTAGAAAGCTACATTCACCCTGAGTAACATAGGTTATATTTATTGCTAGAAAAGATTAGGGATCCTTACTAAAACTTTAGTAACGTAACTCTAGGTATAAAAAAATTCTATAAAATATCTTTCGTCGCGTGCGCTGTGGAAACTATTGGTGATGGAACAAAAGTATGTTCTACAATATTGAAGAAAATATCAATAACTACAAAAAACTTCGCGATAATATATGTCCAACTATTATCGTTATGTCACAAAAACAACTTTTTAAAATCTTGTAAAAATGTCCACCCATGCGAAGTCAGGACGGGCCGCTAGTAAAAAATAAAAAAAAAAATGACATATATGGTAGAGCTAGATAGACAAGAAGTATAAAGTTTTTTTTTTATACAACTTAGAATGGCAAATAAGCTGACGGCCCACCTGATGGAAAGTGGTAACCGTCGCCTATAAACATGAGCCGTACCATGGACATAACAGAGTATACTGTTTCGCCCATGATACCCCGCATGCGTTGCCATTCCTGAGGACTCAGATGTTATTCCTCTGTACCCTGTAAATTCACGCCATATCCCAACCTTCAAATCGAAACACAGCCATGCAAACACAACTGCTTCACGGTAGAAACACGAATGGACAGAGGTACCCAAGCAATCGACTATTGTACAAAGTCTCCCTCTGGTAATGTTGTAATAATTTTAAGTTTTGAACTGGAATTATTTTTAAGTGAATGTAATTGGTTAGTTGGTAAGTGTGATATCACGTAAATTAGAAAAAAAAGGACTACAAAATTGCACATTATTCATGTAATTAAGGTTTAAACATTTATCTCTAAACACAGTATTATAGAACAATCAAAAATATTTAATACAAGAATTAAAAAAACATATCAAATTTAACACATACATAGATAGTTACTAAACGTCCACAAATTAAAATTACTAGAAATACTAACTTTTTTTACAGCTTCAATTCCATATAAATTCAGTACTGTTGCATGCACACATTTACATGAGTGTAACCATTTCTTGTTTCGTTTTTCGTCATTGCATTGCTAATCTATCAGTACATGATACGTGTCCATGCTGATCAGGCGTCACTCGCGAGATTCGCAGGGCGGTAACAAATTATGCGGAATTACATTTTTAATGTTTATTATAATTACAACTTTTTCCCATTTAATGTATTATTATAATGGTCTTTCTTTCTTCTTTTTATTTCAAAGTTTCCTCGTGTCGGTGCAACTAATTCATGCATCTTCTTCCAGCCAGCTCTATTCCAGGCCATATCCTAAATCTCCCTATACGACATGACACCTAGTGTTTCTTTTATCTGTCCCATGTAGTTATTCCTCGGTCTTCCTCTTCCTCTTTTGCCCACTATAATATAATGTTCTATTTTTGGTTATCAAACAGTATTCGTGAACCCCATGCGTCAAGAAGCGGCGGTAGTGGAGACGTTAAGCGTGGGGTCCGGGGCAGGAGCGGTAGCGGGCGCGGGCGCGAGTGCGGGTACGGGCGCGTGCGCGGCAGCGGGCGCGGGCGCGGGCGTGGTGCCGCGGCTGCTGGAACCGCGGGTGGCCGCGCACATCGAACGAGGCCGGGTCGCTATGCGCCGCCTTGAGGAAATGTTCGCCAAGCATCCCACATTGCAAAGTCAAGAGGTATATATATAAATAATATTTATTAAATCCAAAAATACATGTTTCAATTTTACATTTGTTCCCGAAACTTCACACTAGGATTCCCTGTGTCGTGAAGTCTTGGGCACTCTATATATCCTACTATTACACGCGACTTCGCCCACGTGACCGGGATATGTATAATGACCGCGATAAAATGTAGCCTACATCATTCTTCATCTCATGTAGTATGTGTATACCAAATTTCATAGTGATTAGTTAAGTAAAACACAAACAAACAAACACTTTTACATCTATAATATTAGTAAGGATATAGTGTATATTATAATTTATTAAGGCTTCACTTTAGTAATGAAACTAGAGTCGTGGCAATATATGACTTCATAACATTGATTACACACATTCTGATGTGTTGAAAGTACTAGTAGTTTCTCAACTTTAATTTTGCTTAGCATTTTTAATCACTACACACGTGACCACAGAAATTAATGATTTATTCTATAATAGATTATAACATGACTTGTACGTGTGATCTGACTATACATAGCCATATGTATAGATGACCTTATTATAATTGTTGACTGTGATTATTACATTGTTACAGATAATGCGTAAACTATTAAATTTATATAAAGACTGCCGGTTCTTGGATCGTTTGATGGGAACTTCGTTCTTCCACGAAGATCACTTTTTGGTAAGACAATTTATGTAACCTTACAAATTGTTTGTAACTACTCTCCATCCAAAGGTTGCCTCGCTTTTAACAATAAGGACACCCATTGTTTTCTCAACGTATTCTTATAATTGTTTGTATCTATAATAAGTTTGCTACTGTAATCTTTTAGAGGAAACAATAAATAGCATCTATCTATGTACCTCCATGAGACGTTGCACAATGTCTTGTCAATGTACTGTGCTAATACTACTGTAATACTGTGTAATTTGTATAAAATAAAAAATAAAATACTCTCGCTCGGCTGTGAACAGAAGTAGATGGAGACATATTGCGAGGACCTCAATCGTGAAGGAGTGCCTCATCGACGATCCGCTGTCATTGTGAAAACCACGACCATTCTGTCAAGAGTGTATGACTGAAGAGAGAGAGAGAGTTAAGAGCTGATATGCTGATGATGACTGGTATGGTTCGCAGGGCTTGCTGGAGCGCGTCCGCGAGCGTGGCGCCAGCACGCCGCGCGCTGGTGAGCGGCGCGTGCACGAGCAGCTGGCGCGTCTGTTCGCGCCCGTCGCGCCCGTCGCGCCCGACACCAACACCGTGCCCGCGCAGCCCGACACACCTGCAGCAACTGCCGCGCCCGCCACGCCCGCCACGCCCGCCACGCCCGCCACGCCCGCCATGAGGCTTGACGACCAAGCCAACAATCGCACCATCATCGCTTCCAATGTCACCGTCGAGCCCATGGAGGTGAGAAACCTTTATTTTTATAAATGAAGGAATTAGTTTTTTTTTATTACATAATAATGGTATGGCAACCTCACCTGCGCTAACAGTATACGCTAGCGGAACACCAGTAGGGGGATAATAGGTGAAAATGAAAAGGCAGGTCAGTTAGCCCACCATAATGAATACCCCTGGAATTCAAGACGATGGCTACCAGCGGAGACCACTTAGAGGTCTTAGGTGGACCTCCATGTGGATAAGGTGTAAAGTTAGCAATAGGACAAGTAGTCGACATTACTAACAATCCTTTTCCCCTCAAAAAAAAAATATTTTTTTTAAATAGATAATAATGGAATGGAAATCCCACCCACACTAACGGGTATACGCTAGCGGGACACCAATGAGGGATGATAAATAAAGATGAATCAGATCAATTGACCCATTGTGTTAATTCATCAAAGATTTACCACGATGGTTTCCGGGGGGGGGGGGGCGTGGAGGTCGACCTATTAGGATATATTGTTAGTAATGAACTTGGTAGATCTGATTACTATCCCTGTTCCCCTCCAATGAAACAATTTGTTATTTTTTTTTTATCTGAAAAAATATTCTTACAGATTTATAGATATTTTATTAAAGTCAGTTCAGTAGTTTGGTTTTTTAAACAAAATATTTTTAAGGTTTTGCCACAATTGAAGGCTTTTTTTTTTTTAGTGGAGAACACAATCTTAGAAAATATATACCACCATATAAATTTTAAATAATGTTACAATGATATTAATACTAATTATTTTTTTTTAGGTTGAAAGTACAACACCCAAAAAAGAGTTACACCTAAATTTGGAATCAGTACAGGCATCTGGATCAGAAAATAATGTATTGCAAGAAAGTGCTAATGGAGAAAACAGTAAGTAGCATAATACACATAATAACAGTAAGCACCACTTTCCATCAGGTGGGCCATCAGCTTGTTTGCCATTTTAAGTTATATAAAAAAAAACACACACATACAGAACTATCTGTATTGTTCAATATATGTATACTGTTCTCACCTATGGGCAGGAGCGCCACAATACCAACTCCTTTCGTTAGACCGCATTAGTGCTCCAAATTGGATATGGCTTTCACATTTGTATTCACAAAAAGACTACCTTAAAATCTGATATTATATTTTATCTTGATAGTTTATCGAGAAGCGGTCTATTTAATTAGTTATCTTGCTTCTGGAATACACGCGTACAAATTAGGAGATTTGCTTGTTTAAATATATGGGTAAGAAGTAAAGGGTGCGTGTCCCGGCATAGAGTAGGCCATCCCTTCCTTTCCAGTGGGTGTCGTAAGAAGCGACTAAGGGAGCTTATGGCCAAGGGATGGGCAGCAACGTTTTTCTTAAAACATCTCTAAACTAACTGCGACTGTCGCACCTACTGGCAAAACTTCCCTTATGGGGAAGGCTTATGTTCAGCATTGGACAGTTGAAATAATAATAATAAGAAGGCTAAAAAGCTATAAGACACTAATAAAATAAATATTTGTCGTTACCCACAGCGGCCGCAGAGGCGACAGACGTGGAGGGCACAACGCGCAACGTATGTTACAAACTGTGCTCGCTCATACACTCGCAACTTGTCAAAGCGCATGCAGAAGTCAGCCGGTGTGTATGCACCTTTATTTTTCATACAAATTATTATTTTATTACCTACCTTTGTCAAATTTAAATTAGGAACTAAAAATGTTTAAGAACTTATGCAGACGAGAGACTCACCCACGGACAATGGATAGAACGTGTCTCAAAAATTTGTGTTTTTAAAACATTTGTTTTTAAATAAATTATAAATAATGCCTTATCAGGCCAAAGCATTGGCCTTAAAATTTCTCCGTAATAAAAAAAAAACGCAAAAAATTTCAAAAGAATTTTTCACCACACTTTAAATATTTTCATTTGGATTGTTTCATATACAGTTATTCCAAAATTGAAACATTTTATTTTTTTAATTTTTTAAAAATGATGTAAATACAAGTAAATAAATGAAAAACTTTTTTACGCAACAGTCAATACTGTGGCCACGTTCATTATTAAGACTATATAAAAAATATATATTTATTATTATTTGCAAATTGTAAACATGTTTTACAGCTGACACAAACAAAATGTTCTAAGAATATCTTTACACCGTGGATGATATAATTTGTATAAAATTACATTATCAACTAATCAACCGGTGAATAAAGCCTCTGTTGTCTTCCGCAGGAGAAGGCCGCAAGAGTTGGCCGAATTCCTTAACGGGTTAATGAGAACACAAATCTCGAGAGAAGAGAAGTTACCCTACCACTTTTCAGTGTGAGCCTATATTTTTGTTTTGTTACTTTCCCATTTGCATTTAATTTTTGTTCACTGGAATACTGTATATGACATTGACTTGTGGCAGTAAACGATCCTCTTCATGGGTTCCGTATTATAATTTTATGGAACCGCATTGCTTCATTACGTTTTATCTTTAGTTGTAATGATTTACTCACGTTCGTCCTTAAGTTTGACAGTGTCTATATTATCTATTAATTCTGAAAACAAATTATTTTCAATATTTCTGAATGATAACATTTACATTTTTATATTGTACGAATTGACTCGGCAAATGTTCTTATTTGCCCCCCTACTGCCACCCATCGTGTCCTCTTATTGAAATAAAAAGTATGCTAACTTTAATGTTAAAGCAAATACAAATATATATAATATAAATTACATTGGGAAATTAGCGCAGATGAATATCGAGACATGGAATGTTTATAAATTAAGAAGACGAGCTGAGTCCATTTTTTTTTTTTCTCTAAAATTCTTGATTAAACTATTATGAATATTAAAATACTTAAAATCAATAAAATCGATCCAGCTGTTCTAAAACATTGCACTTACGATGCGTTTACCAATGCATAGACTTTCATTTTTATTTACATAGATATAATATGTTAATAATACTTTTAAGATCTTTTTGAAGTTATCACTGAGAATTTGGATTAAAAAAAAAATATTGAAAGATTCAAAAGCAAAATGTGAAAATATTTGCAAATTAGATTGCTAGATTTACATGCAATTTATTTTATGGTTAATCATTATATATATACATATATTTATGTCGGCGTGCAAACATTTTAGTTCCCTATAGTAATTCTTTCAGAAATATTGAAAACTGACAGATAATTCTGATGTTGCCACTCTTTAATCAATATTTTTACTTAGTGTAAATATATTTATTATTTTCGATATTGAACCAAACGCTATTAAAATTTTTAATGTCATGTACAGATTTCCATGTTATTTGTTTTATTGTCATATCTATATATGCATAATTTTTACATTTATATACTATTTATACCACATATATTTATACCTTGCAATATATGGTATTTTATACTTACAATTAGCTAACTAAATGTCCCAAAGTTCATATTTAAATATTATATTTATTTTGAATATTTTTACTCTATATATTTACATTTTTATAAAATATATTGTGCCTTCCACTGTCTTGATTAAATGTTTCTATTGTGACAATTTTCCTTCGATTTTATTTGTGCCCTGTTTTTAATACTAGATATCTACTAGTGATCGTCCCGCAATACTTATATTAAACAAATCAGTCTCATTCTAGACAGCATTACATACATTTGTGATTATTTTGTTTTAGCCTCTTTTGTTTTTTTTTTTTCATAATTATTGGATATGCAATGCTCTGGACATAATTTTTTTTCAAACTTTGACCTTGTGAAGTATTAATTAAAATGTTGTTACATTTTAAAACGCAATTATTATGAAAAATTTAGTAATAAAATAAAGTCTAAAAATAAAAAAAATATCGCGGGCCATATATTTTTATATTCTATAAACAGTGAACGCTCTATATAAGCAACATTCTTTATATTCTATTTATTCTACTCAGTATAGTTAGTAAAAGAAATAAGTAAAAATATTTTCCAGACAGTAAAGTTTCTTAACTAATATATTATAGTTTTATAAGGGTAGATAGATAGATAGATAGATAAACACTTTTTTTGAGCCATTTAACACACGTAAATTAATGAATAAAATGATACAATTTGATTATTTACATTTTTTAAAATATAAAACAACATATAAAACAAAAAAATGAATATTGGAGATATGTTTTCACCGAGTGTGTCGCAGTGACCCAAAAAGGCTACAGCTCAGTGATACTTTTGCTTAAAAGCAAAGCACTGATTTTCAGCTGCAACCTGAAGTAAGGCTACACGGACGCGTGCAACAAACCCAGAGTGTAACCTGTACAGTAATTATGGTTTTAGAACTGGGCTCCTTAATAGGTTAATATAATAAGTATGCATAACCTGTGTTAAGGGGCCACAGCCTCAACCCCCTTTAGTATTATGGGGAAAATAATATTGATATAGAGTAACTACAACAAAGTATCTTTATATTCCTTTTTCTCCTATAAACAACTTTTTCCAATAAGATTTTTTTTATTGAAAGTGGTTCAAATGAGTTGCCTATATAGAGCGTGTAATGTATAATTTTTCTTTTTTTTTTTGCATCACTTTATGTTCGTAGGACCTTTTACCTACATGTTTTATTGCGACTCATATTTTAGCTATTTATGTTGAATAAAATCGAAATTATATTAAAAATAAAATTTCATTTGTTAATCACTAGATCTGTAAAAATTATGTTCCACAGTAGCGACATATCTTTTTTTTTTCAAAGTAGAAAAACATCTGTAAAAAGTGGTAACTTAATTTCTCTGTTTTCCGAAATGTTATTTTGTAAAATGTCGGTACTTTCTACCAATTAGTAGTCCACGCGTAGTCATATTTTGTTACGTTTGTTTAATGTAAGTTTTGCGTAATGTAATGTGTATTTTGTACCTCTTGTGCTGGATAACACGATTGAAATTTTCACTGCTCCTATTTGTCTCTCGCTCGCGCATATGTTTTTCTAGCGAGTAGGAAATAGTGCAGTGTTTCAATCGAATCATTTATCAATAGGTACTTATATATAGAACCCTGTAAGAAATACAGTATCTATGCATGGTATATGCTCGTAGTCGATTGGTGATGTTAATTTTCTATAATAAAATCTCTAATACTTGTTTCTCTTGGTATTACTTACGTATACATATGTATTTATATAGCATTTATTCCATGTAATTAATAAAATTGTTCCCACTATGTTGTCTTAGTATAGGTTTATCTTTTGATTATTACAATGCATTCAAATAAATTGTACATATTACAAATGGGTGCTAAAAACCGCATCATACAGGAATTCCGTGTTAGTTAAAAACAGCAAAACAAAGCTAAAAACAAAATATTTGATTGAAGGTATACCATAACAATCCATTCATTTCCCATCCCACTACTGGACATGGTATTCTCACCATAAGAAAATTATTTCATTGTTCCCTTAAATTGTTAATGATTCTTATTTTCTCGCATGGTAACTCTAATTTTCTCTATAATAACTTTTCTGAAATATATAACAGAAGCGAGGATTTATATAAATAATTTGTTTTTTTTTTCTGCATATATTTATAGACAATACGGCGCTTTGGTCGTAAGCATGGCTGATCAGGATGAGAAAGGTGACGATAAATCGACTGGGGACATCAAAGACGCTACAACTATTACAGTACCCAAAACTGAAGGCGTTAGTAAGTATATGCTCGTGTGATATGAATGAATAAACATTTATTTCAATACTTCACAATATTTACATACACTTAGGCTGCAAGTAGTAACAACATAAAAATTAAAAAAAAAATACATTTAAAAAAAATAATAAAAAAAGTATATAGAAAATTTAAATATAGAAAGTTTATATATGTATATCATAATAAAGTCAAGTTGAACTCGGTCAGCGTTATGAAAATGAAAATGGATGCCAATTCAATTTAAAGTTCTTGCAGAAGAAACGCTGATTTTGTTGTAAATAGCAGGATGCAGTAATAAAACATATATGTATTTGAGATATAAAATAATAAGTTTAGTGAAAAATATACGAGACGTGTCTTATAAAAATCTGACATAGAACAAACTTAAAAATAATACATTGTTCTAAAAAACCTCAGTGTCAACAGCCAGTATTAAAACTTCAACAGATTTTCGATTAGTTTCTTAAATTAAATGGTGTAATAATATAATATAATATAATAATGATATAATAATAAATAAAATAAATAAATATTTATATCATAGACATCATTGTACCCTTCGTCCACTACTGGACATAAGTCGACTCCAATATGTCATCACAAAGACCGTTCATAAACAAAAAATTGTCTTAATTGGGTTTCATATTGTATTGTCTATGCTGTTCTATAGTTTTGATTTTCCAACAATGATTGAGACCACCCGCGTAGACAAATGACAGTCACGAAGCAGCTTATTGGTTGATTATGACGTCTGTTTGTTTTGTTTTATACAACTTAGAATGGCAAACAAGCTGACGGCCCACCTGATGGAAAGTGGTAACCGTCGCCTATAAACATGAACAGTACCATGGACATAACAGAGTATACTGTTTCGCCCATGATACCTCCCATGCGTTGCCATTCCTGAGGACTCAGGTGTTATTCCTCTGTACCCAGTAAATTTACGCCATATCCCACCCTTCAAACCGAAAAACAGCCATGCAAATACAACTGCTTCACGGTTGAAACACGAATGGGACAGAAGTACCCAAGCAATCGACTTTTGTACAAAGTCTCCCTCTGGTATGTATAAATATACTTAACGATTCTCATATCTGCCAAATATAAATACTACTTAACAAATGCCATATTATAATATTTATACAATAGTTGTAATGATATGGTGGGCATACCATATGGCATTCTCTATTAGCTAACTATTAGGTAAGAAAAGAAAGCGTAAGAAGGGCAGTAGTGGTGTAAATATTTAGCATATTTATTGGAAGGACATACATGATATCGTCGCGGAAAACAGGTGTATAAACAAAGGGCTCTGTTGACCATAACCTGGAATGATTCCAGCGGCAACTCCCGCGCCGGAAAGCGCGCCGCTCGCGACGGCCGAGGCGGCCGACGTGGAAGTGGACGCGGACGCCGAGTCGGACGCCGAGGCCGAGGGCGGTGAAGGGTTCTGCGTGCTCGAGTCGGCGCCGGCCGCGCACCGCTTCCATCTGTCCATACTGCAACCGTCCGAGCCCAAAAGCTTCTATTCCGCTGTCAAGCGAGAGATCAAATTGCTCAAGAGCGACCTGCCCCCTGGCGTGAGTATATTATTTTTCGTGTAATTAAAATATATTTAATTCCTTATTTACGATTATAGTTTTTTTTTTTTTTTTTTTGTGAACTAGATGTTATTTTGCCGAAATCCATATCACGTTTAATGGTAGCAGAATTAAAATAATTCAAATCAACTAACTACAGATATTTGTTTTGCCAAAAAAATTTCAATCACTGACAGGGAAAATATTACTAAATAAAGTTACATACTCCAGCTTACTTAATTTTAAAGTAAATATAATTAAAAAAGAAAATAATATTTTTAAACTTGAGAAACTATGTAAAACTCGCGCCAGTACAATAGAATGTTTGTTAAGACTGATGATGACATACAATTTATGATCGCAATTTATATATATATATATATTAGCTTATAAAACGTATATTATTATTGTTTGCGTGGATGCGCACGCGCAGGTATGGGTGCGCGGCTACATGGACCGCATGGACCTGCTGTCGGTGATGATAGCGGGCCCCACCAAGACGCCGTACGAGGGCGGGCTGTTCGTGTTCGACGTGCAGCTGGGCGGCGAGTACCCGCGCGCGCCGCCGCTCTGCCACTACCACTCCTACTGCACCGACCGGCTCAACCCCAACCTCTACGAGGACGGGAAGGTAACACACACACACACACTCGTAATTACCCACATAATGCAATTTCCAAAGGGCATAGAAAAAAGGAATGTTACTAATGGAGTCTAAAAGTCCCATTGGTACCAATATACCCTATCAGCTTCCCCTTGGGGGCCATTGTGGCTAATTCACGATGGGCCAACTGACCTGCTTTTATTCTCGCTTCAAGAATTACTTCTCAAGCTAATATGCTATCAAGACTTACCTCATCAGCCATGAAAAAAAAACAGTGCCTAAGTGGCACATTTCATCCCCTCACAGACACTTTTAAAAGTAAATTTGAAATAAAAAAACATAGTGGATTTGAAGTTAAAAGAACCTCATCAACCTTCTATTGCTGATAATCGCATGGCCGATTAAGACGTTAACAAGGGTGCGTGCAACTAAGTAACCAATGCTAGATTTTGTTAAGTTAATCTTCGGTCGCCAATAATTCGAATTCTGAACCGGAGTACATCGAATCGCATACAATTTACCACTCTTCGTTCACGCTACGCGGAAAATTTATCATTATGTCTACCAAAAAGTCGCGTCTGATGTCTATTCGGTCGACAATAAGCCAATAGGAACACCGTACTGCATACTTTTATAGATTCATTTTAAACCACAGGAACTTATAGGCTGCTATATTCGGCCGTCGATCTTCGACGAAGATAGTATATGCTGAATTTGGTACTAACATAAATAAATTTTTAATTATGAGACATACTTTGAGTTTGTGACTAACATTTGTGCCGGCGGCCAGGTGTGCGTGTCTCTACTGGGCACGTGGTCGGGACGCGGCGTGGAAGTGTGGGGCAAGGACAGCTCACTGCTGCAGGTCATAGTCTCCCTGCAGGGGCTCATACTCAACGCCGAGCCGTATTTCAACGAGGCCGGCTATGAGAAACAAAAGGGTATGTATATTTTTTTTTATACAAGGTGGATGATTAAGTAGTAATATAGTTATTATTATTATTTATCATCTAAACTACCCTCACAAATCTATTATACCATTATACCCAAGTTTCGTAAGAACATCTAGTATGTATCTGAGAAAAAATTAAAAGCCCTACACCGAATTAACTAATAATATATACTTATATTGCTACTGCAAGCCACATCCTCTTATCAAACACCAAAGAGATATTTTGTACAATCTCTCTCTCTCTCTTTATCTCTCTCTCTCTCTAATAATTATGTGGTAACAAACAAAAAATGCAATAAAATTAAAAACATCCAGAGAGAAATTGAAAAGTCAACTATTTTCCTTGCATATAATTGTAAATATGTAGTCAAAAAGAATTTTCATTTATTTAAAATTATCCATACCCATATAGGTACGCAGCAGGGCAAAGAGAACTCGCGTATGTACAACGAAATGGTGCTCCTAAAACTGGTGCAGAGTATGACTAAGATGGTGATGAATCCACCGGAGCCGTTCCGCACCGAGATCCTCCAGCACATGCGGCAGCAGGCGGGCGCCCTCTGCCGGCGGCTCGAGGCACTAGTAGCGGAGCCTGCGCCCGCGCCGCCCGACTACCCTCTCCTGCCTGCTTCGCGCGGTTTCTGCCTCACGCTTCGCTCCTCTCTCGAGTCTTTCCGCAACGCGCTTCGCCGCAACGATATCCACGTACCTCCATCCACCTTATAGCCGACCGAGTACCACCCCATAGATAGCACTAGTATTTAATGTTGTTTTCGCGCCCATCGGCGTATATAAATCGAATCACGTATCACATACACCGTCACCCGACAGTCGAGCTAGTTTCGGTTCCACACGCGAGACGTCTCTTTACAAATTATAAAAAAAATAAATCAATATTTGTAGCTATAGTATTTATTGTGATGTACTTTTCGACTATAGGAATATTATAGATGTTCGAGCCGAGCGTTATATCTAGTTATTATTTTCTACATTTCTTTTTTATTCACGATTTTAAATTGAAATTAATATTTCGATTTGTCATCGAGTATTATCGTGACGAGTGCATGGAAAACGTATTTGTTATTCATATTGTTAGCCAATATGAAAATAACCGGTTTGAATTATTGCTAAACCAAATTCTAAATGAAATGTTCGATCTTATGCGAATGATAGATTTATTAATTAATGAATAGATAATTAATAATATTTATTTATTGAAAAGTAATAGTACTTTTGATGCAACATCCAACGTCGTAATTTTAGGTTTACGAGTACTTATTGAAATTATATTTTAAAATGGAAGCTTTTTGCTACGGTTAGTACTTCGCTACACTCATGTTATTGCTGCAATAAAGACAGTTCATATAGTGTATAAATAGGATGTTCCTGTTAACTTATATTTCTACGGTCGTTGCGGTACATTGTTTGCTAGTTATTTGTATGAGGAGTGTATTATGAATGTCTCATTAGTTTCCCTTTATGTATGTGTAATGTTATGAATAGATATGTTTTTTTTATGTTTGTTTTCTCCGCGATTGTATTATTTAATTGGGAATTGTAATTAAAAATTACAAAACAAAATCGTCCAGAGTTAAAATCAATACAGAAAATATTTTAGTATAGTAATTTAGTTGCTAATATTATCGGAATAACTTAGTCTCAAAATTGTTTCTCATTACTGCTAAGGTTTTAAATTATTTTGTCATTCGAAATGAATTAGTTCAATAATGGTTTACACTTAGGTACTAAAAAATCGTTATGCTGTGATCGGTCATTCGTATTAAGTACATAATAACACGTAAAAATATTTAGTCCGCAAATTCTTCGTACCACTATAGTTTAGATGAACAACGTTATTATTCCAACAAAAACTAATTAAACTGTTACAACATTACTAGTGCGACTTATCTAAAGCTTTCATACCTGTATTGAAATAATTACACGTATCACAGACGAGTTATAGATGTCGCACCTACACCTATGTGTTGCGTGCCACATTCGTTTCTCCCGTAGTCTCTAATAGCCAACTTGGTTACTAGTTAAACATTTGGGTAACCTTTATATTATACTGAACAGCCAGGGATTTATTTTAAATAACATATTTACCAACATATAGTTGACGTGTTTTGCCCCACTGGCAATTTCTTTTGCTTATTTTTTTACTCTGTATATCCGACACTCATCTGCGTTACTCTCTCTCTCTCTGATTATAATTTTACATTAATACATAACTCTTACCTTTTTGTAGTTAATGTTTAATACCAAAATTAGTAATTCTACAGTTACTCTAACTGGCACTACTCCGAGCTCAAGAGTAACTTAAAAACCCATTATTTTCGAAGCTCACTACGTCGTCGTTGCAAGAGTTAACTACATTCAAATTTTTTTGGAAATTCATGACAAAATATGTAGAAAAAGGTCTCATCCTGTTCTCCACCATCTCTGTTGCTTTAGAGATGATGTTTTTGAGTATTCACTAACAATATGACATTTGTAATTACAAAAGTATGGCACGCTTAGGTTTCACATTAGGTACTTGCGGCATCTATCTCTATTTGTCTGTGGCTCAACTAGTGAGATAGTGAATGCAACATTTAGAATCTAATCTGGAAGAACGTTCCTTTTATCCGCTTCTAGTATATCCGACAATAATATTGAATATTGCGCGCGAAAAGCGCCGCGCGGCTGCACAAATACAATGTAACTTCATGCCAAAGTCAATTGAGCTAAGAAAGGCTTTTGTCGCTTGTGTACGCGAGATAAGTGACAACTATGTAATAATGATGATAAAATAAATAATTCTTCAACCTTACGCTGTGGTTTTATTATAATTTCCATATTCAAAGTTTCATAAGTACTCATATTAATGATGCCCGTTGACTTGTATTTTAGCCGAGAACGTTCATGGCTTTATCCCGGAAGATCTCGAAATTAGTCGAGCCTTTCCGACTAAAATACAGGTGTTATACATCTGTACTCTGTAATTTCATTGCCATTTCTCACCCTTCAAATCGAAACACAGTCATGCAAACGACTGCTTCAAGACAGAGGTACCCAAGCAGAAACAATTTGGATATTCGTACATTAAAAATTAATGGCTGGCGAAACCCAGCAAATTTCCTGCTTGTATTTTACTCGTCTATATATAAATCTAGAATGTATTGGCGTGTTAACAAATTACCAGAAGAAGGACAAAGGCGAAAAAGCGGTATTTCACTCAAACACTGTTTGGTCAACCTCCACGCAGCCCTACTTGTGAACCATCATGGTGAATTCGCCACAATGGACCAGCTAACTCATCCGCGCCTTCCATACTCTCACCTTCATACGTAAAAAAAGAATATCATGAAAAAATTCACACACGTATGCTTTAATTTTGATAAGTTGAACGGTATAGAAGTTGGACTGTAGCGTCATCCATAGAATAGTTCAAAAAAATTGGTCAACACAAAAATATTTTTCTTTACTCCAAACAAAATTTGTATACACGGTGTTTTGCTTTCTTTACAACACTGCACAATCGAGCATGCGGCTCACCTGATGGTAAGTGACTACCGCCGCCCATCATCACCCACAGCACGAAAGGCATTGTTGGTGTACTGCCAGCCTTTTAAAAAAGAATATACTCTTCTTGAATGTTATCATGTCGTATCGGTTCGGAAATACTGCTGCTGGAAGTTAATTCCAGAGTCGTCGTGTATGGAAGAAAATGCATTGAAAAACACGATGGAAGACCGCCACTCGTCCTGATGGTTGGGATGAAACTAGTTTATGGCAGGTTCTACGGTGGTGAAAATCAGCAGCAGGTATCAATCTGAACAACTATAGAACAAGGTGTATACTATTTTTTATAGCAATCTATTGATACAATTATATTGAACTATGGCGATTTATTGAACTGTATTGGTCATTTCATAAATATAGTCTCACTAGCTTTTACGCGCGACTAAGTCCGCATGACCGGGATAAAAAAAACTATCCTTTATCCTTCTTCATCTTATATAGTACCTAAATACCAAATTTCATAATGATTACTTCTGTTAAAGTGTTACAAGGTGACAAACAAACTTACTTCCACATTAAGGATACATATTTTATAAGACAATCTTATAAATCTTGAAAATAAAACAAGGTATATACCATAATACACACAAAATTTAATGATATAAAAATATGGATCACTATATTCACACATTAATTTAGTTGTCCATCCACCACTATCACAGAAAAACAATTAAAATATGGAATTAAATATTAATTAGTAACCCTTAAACACTATAAATTTAAATAGCATCTTCATGACAAATTCGGATAGAACTGAGCGCCTAATGCCTTTATTGGAACAAAATATAAGGTAATAGTAATAAGGTTATGAATAAATTGGAATGTATAATTTTTACAATAAGAAAATTACTAAAATCTTTTTACATTTCTGAATAATAAAGAAAAATATATATAGAATAAGACATTATTTTTGCAATTACAAATAATTATAATAAATTAAATTACAATAAGTGTTCAGACTAGAATAAACATTTCTATTCATTATTACATATAATTTCTTTAATATACTTAATAATAATTTAAATATTGGTATACACATTAATTTTTAAAACTAATAATACATTTTTAGAACTTTTAATTTAGAAGTATACTTTTTTTAAACGAAATAAGATAGGAGTAAATGAACATAGTGGGATGATTCTGAGGCCTCATTTCTCTAAAACTATATCTAAAATTTTAATTTGATATTACAGCGAAATCTTTATTGTAAAGTTCTTGTTGATATATGAACTGAATTCCTTAGAGGGGGGAAAAGGGATTGTTAGTAATGCGGATTAGCAGCTCTATTACTAGCAATATACCCTATCAGGTCGACTTCCTCGCGATTCCTCCTGGAAACCATCGTGATTGATTTATTGGTGAATTTGTCACGATGGGCTAACTCTCACTGGTGTCCCGCCAGTGTATACCGATAGAGCAGGCAAAGTCACCATTCTATTATCATCCATTAAAAAAAAATATTAATAGATTTAAATGAAAATTATAAATTTAGATTATCTGTCAAACGCGACTCTATTCAACTAAAATATTAAGTTTAGAGAATTAGCATCTTAGAATCGACTTTCTGCTTTTAGTATCTTATGTCGGACACCAGCTAATGGAAAATTAGTTGTTGTTTCATATAAATTTAGTACAATTAGGTACTATTGGGACTGATTCTATACTGTTTGTTAAGTATATGAAATCACCAAATATAAAAAGGAACACGGTTTTTATAATGTCCTATATCTTCTTACAGCAAGTGTCAAAAGATGCAAAATGCAGTGCCCAAATGTTTAAATAAATTTAAAGAAGTAATTTAAACTTCTCTTCATTTTATCTCTTCATTTTAATCTTCATCAATCTTTACAAATTTAAATCTTACTAACAGTCATGTCGCCTTTTTACCATAAAAAAAAATTCAGTAACTTATAAACTAATATATAATAACTTATAAATAATACAATATTAAATCAGTACGTATTAAAATTAATTATCATTTAGATGGTTGTTAACATGCCACACTTATCAACAAATATATTCCGAAAAAGCTTTTAAACAAAATTAAACACGAACAAAACATGTGATTTATATCTCTACTATTAATGTTATACTCGTAACTGTAACACCTATTATTCTTCTATCTTTTTTTAACTTTTTTTTTGTCTCCGCCAATTTACAATTCTATCAGACATTCAATGGTTGACTGGAAGAGATCCCTTTTATAGGATAAGTCCGCAATTGTATTAATTCTTTTCTAAATAATTCTGTATCCTATAATTTAAGACTTTACTGTACAACAAAGAAACAAACTTTTTCCCGTGACTACGTCAGCATAAAATGGAATAAACAGCAAAAACTGGAATAAAAAGGAGCCTATATCCGTCTCCATCCCATATAGTATGTATATACCAAATTTCATAGTAATTAATTAAGCCGTTAAGACGCTATATTGTAACGAACAAACACTCACATTTATAACACTAGTAAGGGTGGGCGCCTAAAATGTGAAAATAGTAACCGAAAATCGCATTAAAATTTCTCTTAAAAAACGAATACCTACCAACACTATATTAAATTCGGAAATTTAAAATTCTATCAAAATGTAAAAAACTTTATCAAGGACGAATATAAGGATTACGCTGCCTATAGATAAGTAGAATAAATTAAACGACACTTTCTTATTAAGAAAATAACATTCGGGTCAATTTGAGTCACCATTCCTCTAAAACTATCCCAATTTAATAAAAAAAATATATATATATTAAAACTAAGTCTTTATTATAAAGACTAAAATAAACAAATTTTCCAATAGATTTAAGTCCAAATTATTGCAATTTTATTTTATGATGATCCATAAATCAATGATTTCGAGAAATTATGTTATTAAATATTAAATTAAGAGATAGTTTTCGAGAAATAAGGCATCAGAATCGACCCCAATGTCTTCTATCAAATTAAGTAGTTTTATGTTACTATCCTTTTATACATTATGATTGTAATAATATTTTATCCAATCACATATAGATGTGTTTTTAAAACAATTTACAAATACTTATTTGCAGCGATCAACGCTATAACCTGATTTTAAATAACACTTGGAATAGCAGTCAAGCTGACAGCCCACCTAATTAAAATGGTAACCGTCGCATATAGGCAGGAATAGCATCACAAAATACATTGTGACGTCCACGGTCCCCTCATGCGTTGCCCATTACCTAGGGCTAAATTTTATGAAAATTAAATTGTCCAATGTAAACAACATATATTATTCAATGTGTCCAATTCAAACATAATTTTTGTATACATAAATTCTGAAATAGCCTCATATGCGAAATTATAATAATGGCATAACCAGTTACTTTGATTTAAAAACTACTGTATCGATTTTGACAAAAATTCTATGGGACCAATCAGAAACTATATTAAAAAAAAAAATTAAATCCGTTTATAAATTTAAAAAAATAACTAAATTGAGAACCTCCTCTTATTTTGAAATCGGTAGGAATGGCAGGAGATCATGAGGTGGCAATTTATAACAGAGAGAGAGAGAGAGATTTTATGAACTTACTTTGTTTATTGTTTTCGACAATTGTTTTAATTCCATCTGGAAGCCTTCTTCAGAGGCGTATGAGACGCTTTGAAACAAAGTGCTGTACTCCCTCAAAAGACTTTCGAATGAACTCAAACCAATTGTCGAAAACAACAAACACAGTTAGTTCGTACAATTCCCAATGTGCATGCATATAAACATTGTTATAAAAATTATATAAATTTTAAAAGCAATTATTTCATTTTAATTTGACAAACATTGTTACTTTAATGATATAACAATAAAAAATTAATATGCATGAAATAATAAATAGTTTTAAAAATAATAAAATCCCATATTTTATAATAGCCGTTGACATGTATTTATATACGATATATTGACTACCATTGTCAAATTAAATACTACAATAAAAAAAAAAAACTACTTAGAAAGACTCAATAGTGACAAATCATCAGTAAATCTTGCATGTTTGAGCGTTGTAATGCTATCTTTGGGTATTGGTAAACAAAATATGTATATAATAAATTACATTTTAATTAACCTAAATTATTACTAGTCTTTGATAATGGCTGTGCTCATATTTTAAGTAGGAATTTGTATAAAATAATTGTATTTCAAGTTTAGTGTGTCACATAAAGTATTTTTCCATGAATTCACTATTTATATGGCATGGATTGCAAAATATTAAGATTTCAGCTTTCATAGAACACAGTTTGTTAATAAAGCTAAAGGTTACGTACAAGTCAGAAGAAAAAAAAATATATATATATATATATATATATATATATATATATATATATATATATATATATATATATATATATATATTACAGAGTTCACCGACTTCACTGTGATAAATAATAAAAATTAGACGTATGACTACCACGTTACAATGTATAGACGCTGTAACGTGGTAGAATAATAAAAATAATAAAAATTACATACAACCTATTATTTAGCATGCATTCTCTATTATTATTATTATTTTACAAATTTCTCAGCTTTTAACGCTAGTAAAAATACTACACTTACGGGTACGTGACCAAGTAAGTGCAGTGTGTATGTTTTGTATGGAAAATTATGCTTGTGTATGACGTGTGACTACTTTCTCCTCGTCTATATTTAAGATTTTTCTACCTATTCTGCAAGTATTTAATATGGTAGTCTTTTGTAAGGAAATGTAGAGATTTTTTAGTAGACCTATTTGTTTTATATTATTATTATTATTTTTCATACGTTTAATAAAGATTTTGATATATTTAAGAATGCCAAATCATTATTTTTTTTTACTACATACTTATACACTTTCTATTTACATATGTACATATGTATAGTATAATATCACATTCTATCTTTACACACAAATATTGGTTGAATTGTAAATATATATTTTTTTTACAAAAATAATAAAATAAAATATAGAAAATATAACAAAAATTAAAAAAATTTACGCAATTTGGCGTTTTAAATTAACATTTGATTGTGGCAAGACATTCAATGTTAGAAATATGCTAAGAATACATCAATTAATTGATAATGTACAATAATATTGCCATGTGGTCCCGGTACAGAATAGGCCAACCCATCCTTTCCCGTGGATGTCGTAAGAGGCGACTAAGGAAACTTAACGGTCGAGGGATAGGCAACAGCATCTTAAAACATCACCAAGGCCTAACTGCGGTTGCCAACCTGGCTGCCAACTGGAAAAACCCTTCCAAGGTATTTGCCCTACGTTCAGCATTGAACAATTAACGGATGATATGGTATGGTATATACAACTAGGCATGAGTAATATCGATACCACTCCAATATTGGATATTCACGGCGGAAAATGGGTCATCATCCATTTCGACATCGCCCGTATCAGTCAGATATCTATGTTCAATTCGACCGGGAGCCTCATTTCGATATTATATATTGGATAACTGCTATTTAATATATCCGTTATTTGAGCAATATATATATTGTAATCACAATATATAGGTATTGCTGTATATTCCCAGCTCTATATACAATAACAGATAAACAAATACTATAATTAATGGCAGTAAAATTTGGCATCACAGAAATTGATCAAAAAAAAAAAGAACCAAATCGAATTATCGTCATGATATCTTTTCAATCATGTGTACGGACACCAAAATTATGCACATGCAGGACCATAACAAAACGAATATTGCCCAGGCAATATTAGAGAACGGACTCTTGTATATGTTGACAACGCCTAAACCTAGCAGATTCGCGCAATGTCTCCTAGCAAACACTACTAGGAACGTCGGTATCAGATACTGTATGCCAGTGCCGGCGTACGAGCCGGTAAATTCTATAAGCTTACTTATATCCTCCAAGTAATATGTTAGCAACAACGGCGGGACCACAGTTACGACTGGAAACAACAACTTCCTCAATATAAAATTGTACGACTCCAGCCGAGTGGTGTCTAAGAAGAGACTCTGCAAATTGTTCCTTAATGTTATAGCTATAATTGGAAAACTAGTCGAGAGCGTGAACACGGGGAATAGAGTAAGAAAATATTCTATGATCCTCAGAAATATGTTTTCGTTGTCGCTTGGCACAAAGTTCAATGTGTACAGATCATTTAAGTGTTTGAACGCGAACGCCCCAGTGAAGGCTAGAACGAGATAGAATACGCTTATCAGGCCGTAATCCAGAGAGAGATGGAGTCCCAAGTGGTTCTTACGTCTGATGGGGCTGATGAGCGCCGGCAGTGAATGATGGCACATGAAGGAGTAGACGCATGCGCCGAACAGCGTCGGCAGCCCTGTGAAGTCGAACGCCGGTGGCTGCGCGTGCGGCTCGACCCCTATTAGCAGATGTATCGCCAATGATATCATTATGGCGAAAGCTGAAAGTAAAAAAAATATTCTTTTTAATATTATAAATGTGAAAGTAAATTTGTTTGTTTTTTACCTTTTCTCTACTGACATATTAAGGATTATTTTTCATTTCTATATGGCGTATCAATTTATAATATAAACAAATTTTTAAGTTAAACCTTCACAGTTAGCAAAAAAGGCATTCAATTTGGTACAATTTTTGGTACAGGAACAAATATACAGAAAGACAGACAGATAGACAAAATTAAAAAAAAATATTGTTTCGACATCTATTGCTTTTAAAAACCCTTAATTTTAATATGTTCCATGCACAGATGTAGATCAGTTACAATTTTATTATATTATAGTAAATTACATCGATTTATCAATTTTATATTACATCAAATTCGAGAACTTGAATAAAATGAGCTACGCACCCAACCACCTCATTCCGGATGTGAACAACTGTAGGTACTTAGTCTTCTGAACATTGCAGAAAACGAAGGGTCCCATAATTCCAGCAAACGTGAGTAGAGCGGCTCGATAGCACTGCAGCCGGGTATAGGCCCCGGGGTCAGTACCGGCGGCCGAGTTGTTGAAACAGGACATCTGGTCCCAATTTGAGTCAGTTGCGTTCGGTGATATGGGTGAACTGTGGGATGAAATTATTTTTTTTATGGGTGAAAATGAAATAGTGACTTCGCCTTCGCTATCGGTATACATTCACGGGGCACCAGTGAGAGATGATAGGTGAGGCGGAGTTCAGGTCAGTTGGCCCATGGCGACGAATTCATTAATAATTAACCATGATGGCTTCCAGGGGAATCCGCGTGGAAGTCGACCTGATAGTATATTATTAACAATGTTATATATATATATATATATATATATATATATATATATATATATATATATATATATATATATATATATATATATATTCTTTATTGCACTAAAACATACAATTATTTAAATTAATTAATTAAATCCCCATTACAATCTCTTTCTCCCAACTGGGGCCGTTAACCCTTATCAGTAACAATTCCTCCCCCCCCCCCCTAAATACACAAAACTAGCGAACCGTCCCGACTTCATCATAATGGGCTAATTGACCCGCCTTTTCATTTTTACCTGTCATCTCTCACCGATGCTCCGCCAGCATATAGCACAAGCGGGGTTACCATTCCATTATCGTCAATAAAAAAAGATATGATAGAACCTCATTCTTTTTGAAGCCTTTTGAAATACTCATTTGTACAACATCCCCTAAATGCTAACCATTTCGACTTCAACCTGTATAATAGCAACGCGTTTGAGCTAACCATCGAAATTGCTACAACTCTACCTATATTTTTAACATTTCTGTTTGTACAAGTGTCATTTCAATAGTGAATCATAGCAACACAGCAATCAGAAACACTGTTAGGCAAGTCTGTATTGAGTTTCGATAAATAGGCAATGTGTTACATCATCCAGAGGGAGACTTTGTACAAAAGTCGATTGCTTGGGTACCTCTGACCCATTCGTGTTTCAACCGTGAAGCAGTTGTGTTTGCATGGCTGTGTTTCGGTTTGAAGGGTGGGATATGGCGTGAATTTACTAAGTACAGAGGAATAACACCTGAGTCCTCAGGAATGGCAACGCATGGGGGGGGGGGGGGTATCATGGGCGAAACAGTATACTCTGTTATGTCCATGGTACTGCTCTTGTCTATAGGCGACTGTTACCACTTTCCAGCAGGTGGGCCGTCAGCTTGCTTGTTCGTCAGCCAGTCAATGGCTTTAAACATGAGCAAATCACAAGTAGATGCCCCGGCTTCGCAGGAGTGCAATGCTTCCATCTAGTTTTTGTATGCAATGTGCAATTATTTGTTAAAATAATTTTAATCAAATAACCAGTTATATAAGGACCTCTGGCTGATATCAAGATAGATAATTATTTAGTACATTATTTATTGTTTTATGTTTTATAGTCCCTAAGATACAGGTCTGGCCTAATTTGGGAACTGATGGTAATGCAGATATTTTCTCGTTGAATATAAATTATAAAAATTGTAAATTGTAAATTTTCATAATGAAGTAATGAATTCGCGCAGTTTTGCTTACGAAAAAATATAAAACTATGAAACTATGAAGTTTGGATAATAATAATTTTCATTTCCGACTACAATTTGTCTTAATAGAAACTAATGAAAATGTGAACAATCAAATCAAATTGACTGTACCATAAGACATTCTGATGTCCAAGAGCAGTACAAATTAAAAATATATTTAATATTTTATCGATTATAATCGTTATTTAATAGCCTTTACTGATAATACAATTTCACATAAATGACACATTCCACAATTTTTAAGAAATGGATAAATTCGATTGCATCGTTTGATTCATGCAATAACAATAAATTGTTATATAAGATTTCAACTATTCCTGCTTTTTTTATGTTATTACCTTCTATTAGTTTGTCTTGTGACATAGGTCGCAACGATTTCAATTTCTCTCTATAATGTGTGGTTTAACGCCACTGCACCTGCCACTTCTTTCAGGTCATCTTCCCATCTAGTTTTTTGTCTCCCTCTGTTTATTTTACCATTTCGTGGATAACATTCAGTCAATTCTTTAGTCCACTTCTCGTTTTTGTCTCTCATCATAATGCCCATTATTATATAAACGATTATTATACAAATATATTAATCGATTGTTTGGTTTCTTTCTAATTTCATTTAGAGAATATTTTCCTAATAATGTACACAAAACTTATTTACTTCTTCATTAGGTTCCATTCAAATAGACAATAAGAACACTTATTTGCCTATATTTCCTTCGAAATATCAGTACACAGCTGATAAACATTTTGTCCTAATATAAAATTTCAGCCAAACCATATACTTGCACAACTCATGTGCATTGCACCATGCAATTTTAAAGGTTTTACTATACAAGCATAAAGGGAATATTCGCGATCCAATAATTTGCCTGATGATGACTTGTTTAAATGTGAAACACGTGTCGTAAAACGTGAACAAAATGGAAGTCGGAGATTGACGACTAATATGGAAGGTTGTGAAATTTTTTATAATAATAATAGTGGTAAATTTTCGAGTGTTGCCAGTTACACACATACTAATGATAGCGGAATTACACAAAATAATTCTAATCAGATATCCAGTGTTAGGGACTTTTGCAAGGTAACATATAGTTCAGTAAAATATTCATAAAAGGAAACTTAATGCACAGAAAAAAAAAACTTACCACACAACATCCATAACAGATTTGGCGACGGCTGCAGCATAAATAGACAAATCGCCATATAGATATATACATAGAGTGCAGTAAAACATAGTACGGCCTATTTTGTTGAGAAACAAGTCCGCCATCTCGCCAAGTTCGACGCGGCGGTCCAGACTGTAGTACCGAGATGGTATGGACTCCCCGCATACTAAGGGCTCTTCTAGGTCACCATAGTTCTGCTGGGATGTTGTAGCGTCATCATCAGAATCATGGTCTTGGATCTGCGAGTAGATATATTCAGATTTTTTTTTAAATCGATCTCGGTTATTATTTCGGTTGTATATATATTTTTTTTTTATTACCTATGAGGTAATAAAGTTCCTGTCAGATTTAGTTATAGATACATTCCATAGATTTTTTATGAAAATCGGTTCAGTAGTTTAATTTTTAGACTAAATTTTTTTATAAAACTTTAAATGGCAAATAAGCTGACGGCCCACCTGATGGAAAGTGGTAACCGTCGCCTATAGACGTGAGCAGTACCATGGACATAACAGAGTATACTATTTCGCCCATAATACCCCCCCTGCATTGCCATTCCTGAGGACTCAGGTGTTATTTCTTTGTACCCTGTAAATTCACGTCATATCCCACACTTCAAACCGAAACAACCATGCAAACACAACTGCTTTACCATTAAAACACGAATAGGACAGAGATACCCAAGCAAACGACTTTTGTACATACTGTTGTAATACTAGTTAGTCACAATTGAAATCAGTTTTGAATTCCCAATTTGATATTCAACAATTTTTTTATTTAAAATGGCAAGCAAGCCCATGATGACGCACTACTTTAAACCTTTACAATACACTTATTGTTCCCGAGTTTTTGTCCACATAACTGGAATATTTTCATTGATCTGTATAAAAAATAGCCTATATTCTTCTCCACCCATATTTTTTTTTATAATTATAGCATAACATGTGACCACACCATTTTGAACAAACACAGAAACAATATGGTTCATGAATATGACCAACCGAAAAGAGAATTATTTACTCTCAATGGTTGACTACACTATACGGGTTTAGTAAGTGCTTTTCCATGTTACATTTGAAGGATTCATGGTTCCTAGACGAAGGAAAGATGTATATATGTATACATATATAGTATGTGTATACCAAATTTCATAACTGGTTAACCTGTTTAGGACTAAAGGTAAAAAACAAATTCACTTTGAAATTTATGATATTAATAAGCATTACATACACTATCTCTCTTTATGGCTTGAAGTCTCTTCCATTTGTAAACGGCATTGGCACATGCCATTGTCTCTATGACATATGTGGCATTCATGAAGCTCATAAATGCAAGGAAAACCAGTGAAATTGTGCTGAGGCCCCATCCTGCCCTCGCAAAAGCTGCTGGCAATGTCAGTGCTCCAGTACCAACAATCAGATTAAATATATAAATTAATCCCACCTAAAAATTGAAAAAAAAAAAACAAAGTTTTAATTCATATTTCTATACAAAAGTTACATGTATTTGTTAAGAGTGTTCATAATTATTTTTTGATATACTCATTTATTAGAACTCATTAAACTATCTCATTAATTACAGGTCTTACCTAATGGGACAATGATAACAGTAAGTATAATAGACGTTAGCATAGTAGTGAGATATATAATGACAATATTCTTATAGTCATTGTGAGTCAAGATGTTCGCCAGCAGAGAACTTTTTAAATCATCAGTCAGAAATATTGAAAAATGTTTAATTGTTTTAAAAAGAAATTGACAGAAAAGTGTGATGTTGCCACACTTTGGTAAGTTAATTTATGAACACTCTTAATGTATAAAAATTTTTATGTCTAAATATCATATTTTTAAGAATAATTTAGTGCATTTTCTCAATTAGTAAATGTTTTAGTAGTAGATTTATTGTTTCTTCTTTCATAAGAAAAAAATATTATCTATTTTTATTCAAACAATTCATGATTTTGATTATGAGCATTAGCAGACTTCTATTCAGAATTTCAAATGTTGTAATAGTGCATATGTACTCTTAGAAGAGGCTCAGTGTGAAAATTTGAGTCCAATTTACATTACATGTCTCTCTTGTACTCAGACATTTTTTATGATACTTTGTTTGCATCCTGGGCTAGGCACCTGTTATTCTCATGTGGGTACAGTCTACCCAGCCCCCCCCTCCCCTTTAATACACCTAAAGTGTATTCAGAATTACCACAATACCTTCCTGGCATTGCCTAATACAGCACAATTGTAGCAAATACACCAATCAATTTATTATTTTATTTTTAAAATATAATAATATTGATAATAAAGATCCTCTGGTGACCAGTAGGCTGGCTTATACTTTGGTCAACGCATTTCCATAGTCATTCAGCACACTGCCAGTATCCTACCAATTGGCAATAATCTCAAAAAAATTTTTTATAAGTAGTTTTTAAGGTTTATTATTGATATTTATAGTACTTAGATGTAAGAAGTGTGTATATAATAGATAGATTAATTTTTTTATAATAATAATAATAAAATTATAGATTTAAATATATGTTTTTTATTAGATACATTAATATTATTTAATTAACATTTATAAAATAATACATTAAAATTAAGATTATATAAACATCTAACTCTGGAGGCTAAAAAGTTGGATAATTTTTTTTAAATGTAAGACGGACAGACTACGGTCAAGAAATTAAGTGCCATATGTTTGCAAACGATTCGTTTTCTTGATTATTTCAATAATATGAAAATTAGAGTTGAAAATTTTCTTACCCATACTGAATATTGATCCGCATTCTCTGTAACAGGCATTTTTAGGATTCGCTTAAGGTCTCGAAATTGCTTGGTAAAGACCGTGTTTGATAAACAACATTGCTAACAAATACTTTAATTTTATTTTATTGTTGACTAATGACAATAAGTTATTAATGATAACCGATCCGATAAACAAACGTAAACTTGCATATAACAACAACAAAAATATACGCGATGAAAAAAATCAAGGGCTTATCAGTTTTTCTTTCTTCTCAAAATTGATTAAAGAAAATAGAAAAGAATAACAGATCACTTAATCATTCGGTTATTTAAAAGTTGTCTTTACACCGACAAAATACGGGAAAAGATGTATGTTACCATCTTGAACCAATAACACAATGAAATAAAATTAATACCCATAGTGTTGTACATCTAAATGCTACTCAATCCACAAAAGCGATATCGGTTAGTGTCATAAAAGAAGTAGCTATTTCATAGTGTACAATTATTAAATTTGATTAAAAACATTCACGATAAAACAAATATTTATAATTAGTACAATTTGTTTCGCTGTTTATAAATTAAAGTTCTATTTTAAGTCTATGAGTAATTCAAATTTTCTATTATACTTCTACTACAGCACAACGACAGACGAATTTGAATTTTAATAAAATAATTCTTGATATCGATAAAAATTAAAATTAGCTGAGTCTAGCTAGCTATCCTCTTCATATCCCATAAATATTAATCATGCATATAAGTGGTTTTCGGAAATAGATCTCGTTATTTTACATATTGTGGAGTTTATCTTACTTTAGGAGTAGAAACGGATGAATTTGTAATTGATTACTGCCACTCGAGAAAGCATATTGTACTACAAGTATAGTATTATATTATAGTAGTATTATAAATTTGTTTTTAATGTTTTTTGTGCGAAATAATAATCCAATAGTAACATGTCTACGATTAATTCAGAATACATGTAGAAAATTCTAAATCTATGAATACGCATCCTGGTTAGTATATTATTATCAACTATAGTCTATTAAAAGTATTTACTGTCCCTTTAATCTTTAGTCCATTATTTATTAGCATAACTCTCAGTCCACCGTTTTTATTCATTAAACTGGGCGGGTTTTGGTAGCCAATGTACATTTATATATATATTGATTGACATTTATCTTCAACTTGATATGAATGTACATTGGCGAGTGTATACATTCCTACGTATTTTTTAAGTATGTGAATAATTATTTTTCAGATGCTGTTTTATTATTATATCATCATATCAGCTATTATCTATCCACTGCCAAACATAAACATATCATAAGGAACAATTCTGAGCCATCTGCATCTACTGACCTTCTACAATGCATTTGAAGCCATCACTCTATCTAGTGGTAGATCGACCTACAGTGCGATTGCTCGTGCAGGGTTGCCACTCAAGAACCTTATTATTGATTGCCGGTTCTTCGAGCTTTGTGACCAGCGCACTGCCACTTCAACTTGCTTATTATTCGGGCTTTGCCGGTGACTTCAGTTATTTTAAGCAAGAAGATGTGGCGTATTTTTTTTAAACGCTACTTAACCGAGTTGCATTGATCGATAGACTTCTCAGTCGAAGTTGGACTTACCTAGTCGGACGATTTGTTTCAGGTATATATACTCGTCAACAACTTTAAGCAGTTCTCAATCACAACAGGTATAGGTATGACGTTAGATATGATTTTAGTCTTATCCGTGTTCGTATTAAGATCTACCTATTGAGAAGCATTATTAAAGTCAAAATCGAAAAGTTAAAGTTGTATCGAAAGTAATTCGCCATTGATACCATATCTTTTCCAGTCCAAGATTTTGAAAACGTCTTCCAATGCAGCTGCGAAGAAATTTAGGGATATGACGTCACCCTGTCTTATATCTTTTTACACTGAGATGGGTTTCGTGTTTTTGTATCAGTATAAAATAGTAGAACGCATTAAAATCGGGAAACGTTCCAAATTTTTTACGGAAATTATACCACGGATGTCGGTTTTCAACTTTATTAGTTAGCTTTGTTCAATAGTCAAATCTCTGCAAACTCTTTGGAGCCTTAATTCCGCTCTATTGCCTGTTTAATAGTAATAGTATAGAACTGGTGTATATTTCGCCGTTTGATTATGATGAGATAAGATGCTGTTTTTCTAGTCACAAATCTTCCGATTTTGCATTATTTATTTTTATTTAATGCGCTAAAGAGAATCGTCATTAATCATTTACTAAAAAAATTGATTTAAAATTAAAATAGAACAAAATAAAAAAAAATAAACTTAAATACTTTTACTATAAATGTATTTCATTTTTAAAATGTTACATTATGAAGTGGCTCAGTCTTTTATGACTATAGTCGATATCGATATTTTTAATAGAGACGTATATTATAAAACACTATGAATATCAATTTATTTCATTGTAATATATGGAGATCCATAAGTAAAGACATAGGAGCCTGGTACGCAGGAATAAATAATGAAACAAGAAATTATTTTGAAATCGAATATTTTATACCCAGATATCTTTTGAGATTTAGGAATTGTAAATTCAGTATCCATTTATATCGTATGAAAATAATTGATTCTCTAGTTTGTTCTATATGCTCCAAAAATGAAAACTACATATATTTTTTATTGCCCGGCTTTTTTTAATATAAACAAAATTTTTGGATTTGTTAAACTTCAAGAAATATTTCAGACTATCCCGCCATCTCTTCAGTATATCGTGAAACGTTCTGCTACATTATATAAGAAAATATTTCTTTTCATCATTTATTTAAAAATGTAATACTTATGCCTTATGGACTATCTAAAATGTCTTAAAAAAGATGTGGCAGCTTTGTCTTGTTAAAATATGGAATTACAAATGTTTACTGAAGATCAGGCTGTATGGCTTAGTTCTTTTGCCTTTCCTATTATGAATACATTAATACTACTACCATTTAAATGTGTTGTCGGTTCGAAAAGGTAACATACATTCATTTCCCAGGTTTAGTGGCTACAAAGCCACCGCCATCTTTTAAAAGGTAGTGAATCTTGCTCTGTGCCAAGTATTGTATTATGACTAGAGATGGGCAATCCACCTGGGTGGGTTTAAAGTCTGGTGGGTAAAAACCGGGTGTTTTGGGTTTATTGGGTTTAAACCCCATAAACACCCAAATTTTTGGGTGTTTATGATTTTGTACTTCATCATCGTCATCTCAGCCGCAAGACGTCCACTATACTGGACATAGACAATATTATTATGCAGCCTACAGAATAAAAAACTTTTAATTTGATTTTGAGTTTATTAAGAAAGAGATGAAAGTAAAATGTAAAACTACAGTCAATCACTGTCAGATTCAGAGTTATTACAAGCGATGAATTGTATAGGTTCGATAGGCTCTATTTCGTCTAAACTGTTATGTTCATTTACTTGCTCAATGAAAGCTTCTAAGGTATTTTCTTCATTAAACTGAATGTCCTCGCATTCAGCTTTATGTTTAAGATTCCAGTTATAACAAATGAATGAAATTTTTTCAGTTCTTTCAGTTGTAAGTCGATTTCTTTTGTTATTATGTATGTAGCCTTGGATACTAAAGGAACGCTCAGTGGCTGCCGAAGTACAGGGAGCTGATAGAATACGAATCGCTACTTTGCTTAACTCAGTGGAACCACAAATACCTTTCCACCATATTAGGGGCTCAATGCTATCTAATGAGCTCCATACAAATCCTCTGGCCCAAAAGTTTTCTTTAGCTTTATAACACGCCAAATCTGCCATTACATTTGACAAACTTAAGTGTTGGCTTAAATTGTAGATAAACTCCATACCCTTAAGTTCTTCCTCTTGAGTAAGTTCGACTCCTAGAGTCCTGGGGTCTAGAATATATGCTGCAAAATGTATTGGCCTCATTGCCATATTGCATCTTGAAGATACTGATGTTAGAATCTGCTGTTTGCTTTCTTCGCTCAATGTCGAAATCTCATTTAATGCAAAACGTATCTTAGCTTGTACATCTCTAAATGTAATGTATGTGCGATGCAAACGATTCTGGTCGCTCTCTAAGTAAAATATGCTTTCAGTGACTGGTTCCAAAATACTTATACATTCCCCTGTCTTCGTCCAGAAATCATCACTTAGAATTAAATCTTTAATATCTCTTGAAATTACCACATCTTCTCTAACTGTTAATATTTGCAAAGCTATCTTATTTGCTTTCAAACTTTTTAACGAAGTAACATGACTTCCCCATCTTGTAGCACAAGGCAATTTTAGTGTTTGTGTAGAATCTTCACCCTGCCTTGATTTTATCAACAAGGAACTTAATCGTTGACTCCTTTTAACAGTTTTTATTATATTTATGGCTTGCATAATAAACACAGTTACTTCTTGTATCTTTACAATATCTTGGCACAACAAGTTAAGGATATGTGCACAGCAACCGAGAGGAACAACATGTGGATATTTGAGTTTTGTTAATTCGAATGCCTTTTGTATATTTCTAGCGTTATCGCCAATAAGTACAAGAAACTTATTTGCTCCATACACTTTCATTACTTTTTCAACTTCTTGGCTAAGGTATTCACTAGTGTGAGGATTACTTTCTGTATTCAAACTTTTAACGTATGCAGGTTGAGGTTTTGATATAAGAAAGTTTATTATTCCTTCATTTCTTAAATTAGACCAGCCATCGCACTGAAGGTGTAAGTAACTACAAGCATTTAGTTCCTCATTTAACTCAAAACGCATTTCTCTATATATTTTATCTAAGTATTTTGTCGCTAAAGCTTTACGTGAAGGTATTTTAAATTTTGGTTGCAATTTTTCGAAAAATTGTATCCATAAAGGATGTTGCACCATCGATAATGGCGTCCCTGTTACAAATATAGCTCTCGCTAATTCTGTTTTTATATGATCATCGGTGTCTTGAAACTCAGCATTTATTGTAGTGTTAGCAGACGACGAGGGGCTTATAAAAGAATCATTTGTCTCTATCTCTGACAGTCCAGACATTTTGGTTTTGGACGAGCTATCTTTTATAAGTTTCATAGAGTCTTTTAATGTTTCTGGAGATTTTGGACAAGTGATAAGATGTTGAAGCATTTTGGCAGCATTACTGAATTTGTAGACCTTATTACAAAGCTTGCAAGAAACAGACTTGTTTGGTAAAGTACGGTAGTGCTCCCATATGCGTAAATCTTTAGGTCTCCCCATTGAACCTAAAAAAATGAACGATGATTAGTTGGTCTGACGAAAATTCAACAATAGAGTGCCTATTTTTTTACAATGATTATTTCTTGTTATTTACAATAAATTTATTAAAAAAATAATAAAATAAATACAAAAAACCTTTGTAAAATTACATCTCCTCGGAGGATTAAACGCAGACGCTAGTTTATTATCGTATTGTTCTGTATTTTTCTCAGCAACTTCTTTAATTCGATTAGGTACTTACGCATATTATGTTAAAAATAAATATCTAGTACACATCTTAGGCTATCCACCATTATTATCCAATGACGACTCTCAGCTAACTATGCACTATCATCCAAAATAAACGTGTATGGAAAATTTTATCCCAGTCGGTTGAGGATTGAGGATAATTGCATCAACATACGAACATACCTACATACTTTTATTTACATAACGCAAGCTAAATAAAAGCTTGTAATAATACATCTAATTTTAAGTTAAAATTGTTAAGTGATCATGATATAATTGTATCATTCAAAAATCCACTTACCTTTAATTATTTCTTGTTAAGTATAAATATTATTTCAAATCTGCTCCCTTAATATGCACTTTTTTACTGCTTTTCCTACCTAACACGTTACCAGGAAGTCACGTTACCAGAGTCAGAGTAATAGTGAACACGTTTGACAGTGATTGTCGTCGCCTCATATTCAGCGTCGACGAATAGGGGAATCCCCAGTCATAATGTATTGCATGCGTGGCGGTCTTACTTCAAATCCATAAACAAAGAGATAATTACAGAACTCGATACTAGATGGCGCTGTTTTTGTTTGAAGAAAGTTTGCGGGCTAAAATACATAGAATTTCATCAATGACTTCCACAAAGAACAACATTTCTGTTTTTTCTAAGTCCGTATCTCTTCCGTATATTTCATAAGATATAAGCTTGGGCTACATTGTTATGCAACGTGATTTTGTCGCTGTCTTGCTAGCAGGGTTGACAGATATACGATTTAAATCGTACTCATACTATTATTTGTCTATTTTTTAATGTACGATCGTAAAGATTATGATCGTAATTCGCACAAAAACATATGACTTTTTGGTTACCTGGCAACATTTTTATTATGAAACGAACATGCTCACATCATCAGTCACATGCAACAATTTATTGGGGATTTCCCCTTCACATCTGGCAGTCCTGCTTGCTAGAATATAGGTAAGTCAGCCACAGTTACTGACGATCGATATTTAAAGGGTATTGTTTTTGTGCTAAATATTTCATAAAAACGTTATTTAATACTTTGTGGATTATTAATTTAGTTGATAATCACTGGAAGTAAAATGGATGCTAATTTGAGAGATCAAGATCTTCGTATAAAACAGTTAATAAAAGAAAATCTACGTAAGTACTCTTTTTATACCTAGGTAGGTAAGGTATAATAAACACAAAAGGTACTTAGATCGCGTGTGTTCGAAGCATTTATTCTAATAAATTTAATTTAAAATTGTAGAAAGAAAAAAATGTCTGCCAAGCCGTAGCCGAAGCCGATCTCCAAATATATTTGGCGATAGTGAGACCCAGTGTCCAGATGATTTACCCAGCGTCGTCGCAACAAAGAAAAAAACGAGGATAAAGTAAAAGAAAATTTACTGAAAGAAGAAACAAACTGTTCTAAATGCTTAATTTATGGAGAAGAGGATAAAAGAAATGAGTATTTCGGACTGTTAGTGGCTCAAGAATTTAAATATATACGGCCATGTGTGCGAACGAGGTGTTATGAAGAAATTTTAAAGTATCTACGGGAAGCAAAAGGCCAACATGTTGATCAACTGCAACATGAAAACACTGAAAATTAATTACTTTCATTTTATTATATATAGATTTTTAAAATTTCCTGAAATATTATTAGTTAACGTTTTATTTAATATTGTAGAATTGATCAATACAATTTATAAAAATAATTTATTGGTATTACTTACATATTTTCAAAAAAATACGTAAAAACCTATTTTTTTGGGTGATTATGGGAGTTTATGGGTGTTTATTGGGTTTTTACCAAAGCACCGGGTTTAAACCCGGTGCTTTGCCCATCTGTAATTATGACAAATAATAAAATACTATACAAGTTATTGCATTATCTGTGGCGTAGATTCAGCTTTCCATAATTGCCACTAAAATTTTGGCTTGCAAGAAAAACTAGGTTTAGCTAAATATACACTATGGCTTGCTATGTGCCACAGTTTTTTTTGGAAACCATCTCGATCTCGTCTCTATTTACCAACTGACTTGAATTCTTCCTCACCTATTACCTCTCACTGGTGCCCTGCCAGTGTGTACCGATAGCGCCGGCGAGGTCACTTCATTTTCATCCATTAAAAAAAAGAAAATTCTGACAGTGATCGCAGCGACAATAAAAACGTTCCTTTTCTTTCCATCTAATTTGTTTATGATTAATTTAGGTCAGTTAGGTAGTTACTTTTATTACCTATTGGTTATAGGTAGAAAGGTGTAGACGGTGTAGAGAAGATAGGTAGGTACTTAATTATTTTGATAATTCTCTTAGTAAATAAATAATAGTAAACTACCTGACTGACTGAACTGAGCCAATTGATTTCCTTTCATCATCACCTATCATCAATCAGTGATGCCTTGCTAGCGCTTAACGATTGCTCAAACGGAAATGCCATTTCAGTTTCACGTATTAAAAAACCCTTCTACTTAATGGGATCAAACAGCCCATCCACCATCTAGGAAACCATCGTGAACAATTCTCGTTGAATTTGTCACGATGAGCTAACTTATTTCATCCTCATCTACCATCCTTCACTAGTGTCCCACCGGTGTATACCGATTACGCGGCGGGGTTACCATTCCATTATCATTCATTAAAAAAAAACCCCAATGGCCGATGATTGGATGGTGACCTGGCACACGTTTCATTTCTTCAGGGATGAGAACAATATCAACTGAATTATGCAGACGGGGGGGGGGGGGAAAGGATTGTTGATGCGGACTACCAGTCCTATTGCTAGAAATACACCTTGTCAGATCGATCTCCACGTGGTCCCCTTTGGGAACCATCTTTTTGAATTTCATTTTGATGGGCTAATTAACCTCCTTTTTCATTCTTACCTATCATCTCTCACTTGTGCCCTGCCAGCCTGTTAGCGTAGACGGAACGCTATTCTATTATCATCCATTAAAAAACCAGGGGCACCAGTGAGAGGTGACAGATGAGGATGGAAAGATAGGTCAGTTAGCCCATCGTGATGAATACACTGGGAATTAAGCACGATGGTTTCCAGGGGGGACCACGTGGAGGTCGTCTTGATAGCGTATATTGCTAGCAATAGGACTGGTAGACCACATTACTGACAATCCCTTCTCTCCAATCGATCTGAGTAGGTTTATACTTATTGCTAGCAATAGGGCCGCTAGTCCCGTTACTAACAAGCCCTTCACTCTATGGCGGCGGTCATCGGTGCGGCGCGGCATACACTATTAGGATTCTTGTTTTGATAGAGTAGGTATCTATAGGTATATTGGTTGCTACCTAAGTAGGTTTATAGTAGGCATTTACATAGGTACCTACCTATAAGTAAGTAGTTATTTTGATATTTAATTGGTTTAATTATCATTCCACATTACCAGTTTGTAATTTATTTAGGAGCTACATAGGTAGGTATCTACTTATTCGAACAATGTTTACTGTATAAAAATAAATAGGTATGTAATCATACGGTATTACATCTATAGATATATAAATATATAGGTGTATATACATTGTTTATAGATGCTGCCGCTATAGATAATGCTTACGGTATATATTATATTGCTAGGTATGTATAGAAAATTGCTATTACCCGCCCGTGATAAAATGGCGCAAGTTGTCAGCTATTTCTATGACAGTTGTGTCCAATATTAAAAGTTGTATTCTGTAGCTTTTCGTGCGAACCCCGACGACGAAATCATTCCATCCAGCCGTCGAAGCCATGTTCTCGGGGGTTTGGGATTGTGATTTTGTATAAATCTCTAAAGTTAATGTGCCAACAACAATACAAAACAAAGGTATGCATATAAAGTATTATTATATGGAAAATAATAGTAGTATATTTCCTTGAATGCTTTGAGCATTTATGGCATCGCTTTCTCAGGCAAATCTCTTGTCTCGCTCTAATAACCGGAACGTCAGAACATGGAAAATGTTCCGTCTCATTCTTTTTAGTAATATAACACCGTTGTGCTCGGTCGTGTCACGTAAGATTTTTTTTGTATTTTGCTGGAAAAATAGATGAATTGCGTTATATTTTTGTATCGATTAGTTACTATATCTTTTTGTGTCTTATGTGCAATATTCAGATAAGGAAATAGTTTCGGAAAACATTGAAATGGGTCGGGCTAACTTTCACTCTAGATATAGATAGGCACTGTGGATGATATAGGTATAGTTATGTATAGACGAGGCTGTAGATATTCAACATCGAGTGGTCGAGACTCAAGGCCGAGAAATACACAAATAATACGTATGTGGTGTAAGAAATGAATTCTATCGGATTCGTTTAATATGTTTTTATGGCCATATTGTAATATTTTTTTACAACATTGAACCGTGGTAGTTTTCAAGTAAGTACCTGGTTAATGGCGTAGGTGAGGCGAATCGCAGTATCCAATAAGTAGTTCCAATATGGGCATTGTATTTAATATAGGAGTGCTATGTGTTTTATCATTACAAATAGTGAATATCTTGACAAAGTATACGTTTGATAACTGTAGTGGTCTCATGGAAGTCCTTGGGATAACCTTAAATTTTTTCATACGTCTTTTTGTGAAAATATAATTCTTTATGGGTGCAAACCAAACTGTCAAATGTCATTTGTCAAATAACAGTGATCATACCTATACAATCGACGAGTTGTGAAGCATTTTAATATAGAGGATTACAATTTTGTAATTCTTTGTGTCCATAGAAAACGTTACGAGCTGACTGCAAAGCTGCTTCAAGGATCTGCCGAGCCCGCATTATCTGTGATATACAGCTCAGCCTCTCGTCCGTCCTATAAGGTTAGTACATAAACTATTTTGATCTATAAATTTTCTTATAAGATACTATTTGTCTGATGGATGCTAAAATGACATCATCTTCCAAAGTTATAACAGTCAAATTGCATTATTTTTTATTCTTATGAGTCTGTAAAGGATTCCATATTGTGTCTAATATATATCTCAAATTCCTACGAATTTGCCCCAGACTTGTGTGTGTTATGCAATGTAAGATTATTTCCTATATTAAGGGAATAATTATATCTAGGATTATGCCTGTCTATCCCAACCATAACATTAAAAAAATAAACATGGCTGCCCAATTTTGATGTAGGCGTACTGTAGTTACGCACATGATTCTTCATAATGTCATTTACTGACAACTACTGAATATAATCTTCCACTATTAGATATATCTACTTATTTATTGTATTTATTGCTGTTTGTACTTATTATATCCAGAACGAAAGTATGTCTAACAAACCTTTAGCTATAGACGTGTGGTCTTTTCTTTTCCACTAATTCCGCACTCTTACTAAATATTATAAAATTGTAATTATATGATTTCATAACTCAGTAGATTTATAAAAAAATTAAAATGAGGTGTACCAATCTATACATATTATAAAACTGTAGAGGTCGAATGACTATACATAAAAAAAAATGCTAAAACTGTGTTGTGGAGAAGTTAAAAGTGAAATAACACATCTAGATTTTTGTTTCTGTCTTTTCTATTGTATAAATGAAATTTTGCATGGTGGTATCTTATATCCCTGGTCAACATTTCAGATATTTTAATCATGGAAAATTAAAAAGTGACCATGGGATAGTTAAAAAACTATAGTAACTTTATAGCTTAATACATAACCTATTTAAGTAAAGTCATTTTGACCTAAGGAAATGAGTGAGAATGGCAAGTCATTTGTAAATTTTGATTTAGTATTCCCAAACAATTAAAAATGTTAATCGAATGAATAACATACTACTCAAACAAAGTCGTGGGCATCAGCTAGCAAAGGAATAGAAGCCAAAACAATAATTTTTAGAAATGTTATGTCTATTTGTTTGTTCTGGCATCACACAAAAATAACTGCACCAATTTATATGTTTTTATTAATTGTGTTTCTGAAGGCCTATAATTTAGATCTAGTGTATGTCTTATTGTGGTATCTAGATACTGTTTTTTTCATTGATTTTTGTACTTCTTAAATCCATGCATAGTAGTGTACTAAAATCTAGATTGAAATAGTGACAAAATATTAATAATGTAAAAAAGTGTTCATGTAGGTGTGCGAGTTTCTTTATTCCACCATAACTTACAAATGTCTGAATAGATTTGGATGTATTTGTATGAATCCATTCAACCTGATTAACACTATTCCTAACTTTTTAATGATGATTGATGCTAGTTTCTTTAAAATAGTTTATTTTTGGCAGTGCAATATTTTTTAATTTGTAGTGCAATTATGTATTTGCCATGAACAAGAGGTACTACTATCTATGTTTATTATTATCATCTGTACTCATCTACTATTTGTTAGTAAATCAATATGGAATGTTAAGATTGCTGTTGAATTCTGAAACAATAAATTATTGCAAAATTCCTTAAAAGTGACAAAATCTCATCATTGTTGTAAAAACTCTATAGTCGTTTTTATTAATGTTCTATAATCAAAATATTAAATACAAAAATATAACAATATAATAATTTATGACAGTTTTCTGTTCTCTTCAAAACTTCACATAATACATACATTTTTATTATTCATCCAACTGAGCTTATTATTTTCAACAATCATCACCTATCATCAGGTTTTTTTTGTTGGGTGAAAATGGAATGGTAACCCCGCCTGCGCTAATGGAATACACTGGTGGAGCACCAGTGAAGGGTGATAGATGAGAATGAAAACAGGCCAGTTAGTCCATCATTATGAATTCATCAGGAATTAAACATGGTTTCCAGGGGGAACCGCAAAGGAGGTCGACCTGGTTGATATTGCTAGCAATGGGATTCTCAGTCTCCATCACTAACAATCCCCCCCCCCCCCCTATCATCAGGTTTTTTTTTATTGGATGAAATCGAGGTGGTAACCCCACCTGCGCTAATGGGATACGCTGGCGGGGCACCAGTGAAGGGTGATAGATGAGGATGAAAACAGGCCAGTTAGCCCATCTTGATGAATTCATCAGGAATTAATCATGATAGTTTCCAGGGGGAACCGCGAGGAGGTCGACCTGGTTGGATATATTGCTAGCAATGTATTGATGTGATATCAGTTTGATCCTGTATAAATTATGTGAAAAATCACTTTGCAGGACATGTATTAGAATCTGGGAAGTAAATCGAAAGTAGGTGATATAGGTGGTTATCTAATATTTAAAACCTTTTCACATGATTAATTAATCCTATGCTTAATATATATTACATAGTGTATAAAATTCACATTTTATTAAACAAGTATATTTTCATAGGTTTTCACAAATGACAAAGAAATCGGTGGACATACATAAAAAAATATACACAATCGAACATATAACCTCTTCTTTTTTGTAAGTGTTAAAAATAGAAAATGACGAAAGTCAAGTTTTTCTTTTTTGAATTTCTTTATAAATAATCGATTGAAACATAATTTCATTCTTGTTTTTATCAGAGCTCAACTTTCAATGGCTTCTTGTTTAATATTTATAAAAAAAAAAAATTAATTATTATTGTAATCTTTACGGGGTATGTTAAAAAATTTTATAAAAACTCTCATTATATTATGACATTTATAACTTTCAAAATTATGTTTTGGTTTGTTTTCTTTGACAACTCATTCAGAATAACAGATATGATAGATTAGATTGACAGTTCCTCAACATAGATAGAATACATGTATTTTTATTTATTTATTTTTTTTTTAATTAGATGGGTAACAATATAATCATACTACTGTTGGGGGCTCGAATGTAGCAAGTTTATATCTATTCAGCTATCTAAATAAGTTTGGCTGTCCTTACGCTGTATTCTTCTGTATCTACACGTATTATTATATTTGCTAATTTAATGTTGCCGCCAATGCCAAAACAAAAACAATTTACTGTTTTACTTTTTTTATATTAATACTGTTTTTTTTTTTATTGTGGATTTTATCCAAATATTTTTTTTTTCCCTTTTTTTAGTCAATTTCGTAGTCCACTACTGGCAGGTAGATGAATTGAAGTTTTTCTATTTGTATAAAGAATTTTTTTTTTGTGTTTATATATTTATATATATATATTAGTATTGTCTTATACACATACATGGTTTCAGAATCCGATTCTGATGATACATTTCTATCCGTTTCTTCTTCTAGCAATGTAAGTTTTCATAGTTTGCCTACTCCTTTAGAAGAAATCTTAAAAACTAATTTTTCTTCTCATCCTAAAAACTTTAACACCGTTCACATAAATGCCCAAAGTATTCCTGCACATTATTCGGACTTGCTATCTACATTTAATGTAAATAACCTCCATGGCATATTTATCTCGGAGTCATGGTTGAAGCCCTGCCTTCCATCTACTTCCTATTCCTTACCCGGTTTTAATTTAATTCGTTGTGATCGCACCGGAAGGGTTGGTGGTGGTGTTGCTGTATACCTTCGTTCTGATATCCCTTACGCTATTATTAACTCTTCTTTAACGACAAATTCTTCCTGCAATTTTGAACACCTTTTCCTTGAAATAACTCTCTGTCATACCAAGGTTCTACTAGGAGTTTTCTATAGTCCATCTTCCACTACTGATTATTTTTCCTCTTTTGAAAGCCTCTTAGAGAACCTAATCCCGTCCTATAATCACACTATTATTATGGGGGACTTTAATACTTGCCTTCTTAAAAATGACCTGCGTGCGAATCGTCTTAAGTCTCTGGCCCATGCTTGCAATCTAGAGATCCTGCCCCTCCAAGCCACCCATTTCTTTCCTAACTGTAATCCTTCCTTACTTGATTTGATTTTAGTCTCCTCTCCTGACCATGTTGCGAAACATGGCCAATATCCTGCAGATGCATTTTCCTTCCATAACCTCATTTATCTGTCTTATAAAATACGTCCTCCCAAAGTTAAACGGAAAATCCTTATGCAGCGCAATTTTGGTGCTATTGATATTGACCGTTTACGTCACGATGCTGCGGATTGTGATTGGTCGAGTATCGGTACAGCAGCAAATATTAATGATCAGGTAGAATTATTTAATAAATTAATTTTAGATCTGTACGATAAACATGCTCCCATCCGCCCGGTCAGGGTTAAGCATTTACCTGCACCTTGGCTTACAGACAAGATCAAGTCCATAATCCACAAAAAAAATATTGCTAAAACTAAATATAAGTCGGATCCGGACAGACATCGTAATGAGTACATCAATACTAGAAATCTCTGCAACAGGGTGTGTAGGGAGGCTCAACGACGCCACATTCATAAATCCGTAGAAAATGGTGATGCAGCAAAAGTTTGGAAATTTCTTAAGTCATTAGGGGTTGGTAAGAGTCATAACGATAATCCTGGTAATCTTGATGTTGAGTGTCTTAATAATCATTTTTGTACTTCTACTGTCATGGACAGCAATGTAAAATCTAAGACATTGCACTATCTTTCATCCACTATCGCCCCTAATTGTACTCCTTTTATTTTTGATCAGTTGACCGATTGTGATGTTGAAAAGAGTTTACGGTCTATATCGTCAAACGCCATTGGCACCGATAGCATTAGTCGTAATATGATTTTACCTATCCTTGATATCCTTTTACCCACCATTACCTTACTTTTCAACAATTCCCTGTCCTCCGGTTTCTTTCCTTCAGCTTGGAAAGCAGCTTTCATAATCCCTCTACCAAAAAAGAAACTTCCTTCCTCGTTCTCAGATTACCGTCCAATTTCTATACTCCCTTTTCTATCCAAAGCCTTAGAACGCCTTGTCCAACAAAAACTTAACTTTTACCTATCAAGAAACAATCTCTTAAATCCTCTTCAATCTGGATTCCGTCCTGGTCATAGTACGACTACTGCTCTTATTAAAATTTCTGACGATATCCGTTTTGGCATGGAGAATTCTCAATTAACGGTCTTAACATTATTGGACTTTAGCAATGCCTTTAATACTGTTGATTTTGATATTTTGTTAGGATTGCTAACCTCTCTCAACATATCTCCAACGGCAATTGACTGGTTTCGTAGTTACCTGTTTGGACGTCGGCAACGTATTCGCATTGATGACGTTTTATCTTCTTGGTGCCATACGTCAGCTGGCGTGCCGCAGGGTGGCGTCTTATCTCCTCTTCTATTTGCCTTATTTATTAGCACTATCACTTCGAAACTTCAATCTTCCTACCACCTTTATGCAGATGATTTACAGATTTACTCTTTAGCCCCTCTGGTTGATATCTCTTTAGCAATATCTACTGTTAACGCCGATCTGGAATGTATATCTGCCTGGAGTAAATCTCATGGTCTTGTTATAAACCCCTTGAAGACACAAGCAATTATTATTGGGAGTCCCATACTTATTTCCAAAATTTCCTCGACCAGTCTTCCGCCTGTGGTTTTTGATGGGGTTATGATAGATTACCAGAAAAAAGTAAAAAATCTTGGCATTATTTTTGATAACACTTTGTCATGGTCTCCACAAATCTCGGAGGTCAGTAAAAAAATGTTTGCTGCAACTTTTGCCTTAAATAGACTACGTAATTTCCTCCCAGTTAACACCAAAATTGCGCTCGCACACACCTTACTCCTACCCATTCTTGATTATGCCGACTCATGTTATTTAGACCTCACCGAAGAGCAATTAAACAAGCTTGAGCGTCTCCAAAATTTATGTATCCGCTTCATATTTGGTCTTCGCAAATATGATCACATTTCTCAATTTCGTACTCAACTCAAGTGGCTCTCTATCCGTTTTCGTCGTAATCTGCATATCCTGTCTCTTCTTTACACAATCCTTTTTAATCCTGCTGCTCCTGATTATCTAAAAGACCGATTCTTGTTTCTCAGTGAGGCTAATGATCATACTTTACGCAGTGTCAATAACCTCCGACTTAAATTTCCCACTCATTCTTCTTCCTTTTATTCTAGATCCTTTACTGTTCAGGCAGTTCGTCTATGGAACTCACTACCTACCTCTATTCGGTGCGCTCAAACTCTTACTAGCTTCAAAACCTCTGTTAAATCTTACTACCTCTCACTTTAGTACTATTTTCCTGTGTTCTCTCTTCGTTTTCCTTCATCATTTTTTTCTGTTGTATGTATGCTGTTAAGTATGTGTATGTTATGTATATATTTAATTGTGTATATATTATATATGTATGTGTATGTATGTATGTATGTTATGTATATATTTAATTGTGTATATATTATATATGTATGTGTATATATGTATGTATGTATTTATATATGTTTGTATATGATAATATTTATATAATAGTGCGCCACCTACTCTTTGTCTTTTTCTCAATGTCCTCTACCCAAAGGTTGTCTGGAAGAGATTGCTTAGCGATAAGGCCGCCTTTTGTATCACTTCTCATTAATATTTACTGTATTTGTTATTTCTCTTTTTACTTGGTGCAATAAAGTGTAAATAAATAAATAAAATAAATAAATAAATAGATATTATTTATTATTTAATAATTACTACTAATATTCAACTTGAAATAGTCAATGAAAACTAAAGTATTTAAAGTCATTTATTATTATTATATTATTACTAAAGTAATTTAAGTGTCAGATTAGATTAAATCTAATTGGTTTTTTTTCCTCTAATTATATACATGTGTGAATAGGTATTTTGATAAATTTTGATAAATACGTCACTTACTATTGGTTATTTTTAGACGTCATTTTTTTTAGTGACAACTGATAAATTTATTACTGCTTTGTAGTATTAATTTAACATTTATTTTATGATTAATTTTTGTCCTAAATAACATCAGAGCCATGGTCTTTAAGTATGAAATTCTACAAATCTAAAATTCTATAATAATCCTATATAATTACAAATTTGGTATTGTTTAGCTATGTAGTCCTCATAACAGGATTTGTTTCTATCAAAATATATCCTTTTTCCATGAGCAGCTGTTTATGTCCAAAAGTCGTTAGCCAAAAAGATGCCAACCTTACCTCCTCCATTCAAATAAGTGCACATGGGCACCATGATTGAGTACCAAACGTCCAAATATTTTTGCAAATTTTTATGGTGTATTTTTATGATATTACTGGATTTTTTTATGACAATATGGAATGCCAAACAATCTGACGGTCCAATCAAAGGAAAGTGGTAACTATCGCCTTGACTGATTTGAACAATACAATGAACATAACAGAATACACTGAACCCTGTGGTATTTTTTGTTTAATGGGTGAGATTGGAATGGTAACCTTGTTTGTGTTCTCTGTATATGTTGTCAGAAGATTGGTGAGAAATGGTAGGTGAGGATAAAAGTGGGTCCTTTGGCCCGATGTGACAAATTCGACAAGGATTAACCACTATGGTTTCTATTGGAAACCGCATGGAAGACAACCTGATATACCAACCCGAGGATATATCGCTAGCATTGGGGCTGCTAGATTCTAATTACATCTCATTATATGCCCCTGGATATATTTTCATATTCATTGCCTTCTACAATATTAATATTAACAAAACATTTAAACATCAGTACAATATATCGTAAACCCTGTCGGGCAGTTAGAAACGAGGAAAAAATAGTGATATTTTATTTTACTATTATTTTTTATTCTTCAAATTAAAAAAAAAAAAACATGCAATCTGAATACATTTGTACAAAGTTTGTTATAGTGTGAGCGTGTGCATTGATACGTGGTTTATCAATTCAGATTGTGTTCTACAAAAAAATCGACTTCTTTTGTGGCAAAACAACTAATTCTTTGGTTTAAAACTAAAATACTGAACAAATTTTTGTGAAATTTTTATGGGATTAAACTGTATATCTTATAAAAAAATATTTTCCAAATCGGTTTATAACTATGAGTAACAATAAAAAAAAAATTCAAGCTCCTTTTTAAAGTCGGTTGAAAATATCGTTCATTATTAAATTACGTGCCATAAACAAAGCCTACGAAGAAAATAGTTTAGTACCTCTTTGGACTATTAACGGGATCATTGTGAAATTTGGCATACATTTAATGTTTGGTATTAAGAACTTTTTAACTAGGCTAATAAATGTGTTTCCATGGGATAATAAAATTATACGTGAGCCAATCTATAAAATAACAGCTATAAAACAAAAATAATTATTGAAAAATGATTAAAAAACATTGTGATTAAGGTGCAAGACTTAGATAAGAATGGTTACGTCGCGATTTGTTGTGAAGTTTTGTTGTATTTCATTATTTGTGTTATATTTATAACAATATTTATGATAATTTTATCTCGTTTCCTTTTTTATTGATTGCCTATTAATGTTACCATTTATTTTTATTGTAATATAGTATGTCTTCACCTGTAATCCTCAATTTAGTAAAAGAATGCCTTATCTTTATTTACATAAAATATAATAAAACTGTAACTAGACCATGTTTGTGAATGTATCACACACTTACTACTGCACAGATTTTTGTGAAATTTTGTATAGTAACAGGCCATCATCAAAGGATTTGATTAGAATTATTTTGTTTAATTCCGTTACCATTAATATGTGTATGACTGCCAACACTCGAAGTTTGACCACCATTGTTACTACCAGAAGTTTTACAATCTTCCATATTAGTCATCAATCTCCGACTGCCATTTTGTTCACGTACGTTTCGCGACTGCGAAACTTTCGCAGTTTGGGTGCCGAACTAGGCTTCGAGTAGCGTCTAATAATTTGCGTAAAGATATCTTGTCTAGAAGTGAAACACATGTCTCAGATTGAACTGGTGAAGTGATCTGACATCATTCTTACCTAATTATCTCTCACTGGGTACTCTATCAGTATAACCTTATAATGCAGGCAGGCTTGCCGTCTCATTTTCATTTAATAATTTTTTTTTCTCTAAAATTTCATAATCATTATGGAAAAATACATAAATTTGTAGTACAACTAGTTTTTAATAATAAAGAACGAGAAAATTCGGTAGAAGTTTGCTATTTTCGTTTAGTTTGTGTTTCGTATAAGTAATTTGTATCTTTAAAATACCACCTTATTCCTCAGGAATGGCAATATAATTTCAAATGTATATATTTGTCCATAGGGCTGGGCCACTCGGGGCTAGCAGGCGAGTCCGTAGCAGCTTCCAGCGGTGATCTCACCCTGCCCTCTGTCACAGAGGCACTAAACACTGCTACCTGCTTAATTGACTGCATCACTACGAACCATTGTTACTTAGTCTGTAATTGAAACAATATGCAAGTCTGTGAACTTAAATGCTAGGTGGATATTGTAGCAAATTATTTATAATAATTGTCTGATGTCTAATGTTTCTGTAATATTATGTGTTCCGTATCTAATTAAGTATAATTGTTACTCCAGTATAAACTGTTACCGAACCAATGCAATGTAAACACTCCACCTAGATGCTGGTGGTAATCACAAAAAAATTGGTGCTCTTGAGCGAGTCTATAAGGAGAATGAGAGTCAAGTTATTGTAAAAATGTTAGATATTAATAATATTTATAATGTAGAATTTGTTGATAGGATCCAGCAAAACCAAAAGATTGGCGAAACGCCTAACTACTGCATTCCTTTAATAAATAACGCCATAACAGTCCAGGGTATCTCATACAGTGACCCGTATTTCTGTAGCTTTAACGTAAAGTGTAAGATGGCATACCGAGCGCCGGAGAATATGAACAAGTCTGATTACGCTTTTAATTCCTCTGTTTGTGTTATACGACATGAGCCTTGTAAGTCGCAACTAATAAACGAAAAGTCTGCTCATAATATTATATGCAAAACGAAATCTCGAATGATTTGTATTACTCACAAAGACGAGCCATCGAGGGAGTATCATGACAATAAAATTGGTGAAAACTTGAGAGAGTTTGATAATGGTGATCTCACTTTCGATGCAATGTTGGAACTCACGAAAAACGAAGAGCGAATAATCAAAAGTATGAAGAAGGAGGAGCTGGATAGCTGGGGTGTGCCCCGTCGCCTGCGTCTCTGCGGCGGTGGCGAGAGCTCGCTCAACGCGGCCACCGGCTGGGGCAGCCCGCCCGCCTCCAATAATACGGGTGATTGTTAACTATATTACTGATTGTACTAGTGATTACTAATACCACATATATTCTGCTTGTTATATTATATATATAGGATGGTGCGAATGACATGCCATTAAAATTTATAGAGTAGACAAAAATACGAAAACGCAATTTACGGATTCAATAAAACATTTCCAAACAAAGAGTCGCGATATTCGTCATGACTAAGTTGCATAAAGTTACATCCAAAAGAAGTATCATAGAAAATTATTAATTACTATTATTAAATTGACTTCGACTCCAAAAATCTCTAAACAATACAGTTTTTTTTTTAATTTTAAAAAGTGCAAGAACCCTAGTTGTTATTCGTACCATGCTATAACGTGTTGAATGTAAATGGTACCCAGACGAGCTATCAATATCAACTAATAAACAAATAATTAGTCGACAGTCTCATTGGACTTCTTTAGATTGGATTAGAACTATGTTTTAATCACATATTTAGTCCACATATTATTAAAAAAATGAGGATATTCTCGATATTCTCTAATATTAGTGTTTTAAATCGTTTTGTTCAGTGGTTGGCAACCTTTTGGCAGGTAAGGGCAAAATGAGGTATAGGCGTATTTGTTCATAATTTTTATAATACATACTATATATTTATTTATTATCAAACATCACCAGCGTCCTTTTATGTGGTTCGCGGTCCTTACGTTTCCGATCTCTTTTTTTATCACTTAATAATTAATATATAGAATTGGTTTACTGTCATATAATTAAATTTGTTTTATCACAAGGTATATTTCTGTGGTTTACTGATAAATCGTGTGAAGTGTAGGTAGCTAGTAGGCATATTTGTTGTTATATTGAATTTAATGTTTTATTTTTTTTTTATATTCTAATTAGGTTATCGAAATGTGGAGATTTTGTTTATAACAACTGCAAAATCAACAAATGCCCCTGACTATCTCTTTAGTGATTATAGTCCTAAGCATATTTCTGTTTGCTTTTATTTACTCAATAGTATTTCTTAATTAATATTATCATGATTGATAATCTAGGCAATATCCTAACTTCTGGGTTATATTTACAGATTGTTTTTATATGGGCGCGTCCATTGAAAACGAGCCATTTCGAGCGCTTGGCGCATTTTTTGCATGAAGACGCTATGTTCAACTCCTTCGTAGTAGCTGGCTAAAAAAAATAATAACGAAACATAAATCAATAGAATTTGATGCGCCTTTTCTGATAATGCCACTTGATTTTGCTTAAAAACTCTTTTCATGGTAAAATATGAGTTGAAATTAAAAAAAAAAATATGGAATTCGTTACAATTAAAAAAAAAAATGTATCGAAAGAACAACTGTAGTAGCACTACCATGAATTTTTAGAATAGGAGAGTAATAAATGCGTTATGATAAGTAAATAAAGATGATGGCGGGGGGCAGGTCATTTGTATTAACAACCGACTCTTTAGTAAATGCATACAATCTAAATGTCATGATTTAGATGCCCCAATGTACGCGTCCATATTTATTTTTTACTTTTATTTATTTATTTACACTTTATTGCACCAAGTATTATTATGTTTCATATCATAATTTTTTTGTTTTTCGCGTTTTTTTTTTATATATATATTTCGTTGTATCAGGAAATTGGGGCGGCAACTCCAGTGGCCAAACAAATTCATCTAATAATACTCAACAATGGAATAATACAGCCCAACGCCCGCCTACGTCTCAAGCAGACAGTAAGTTTTTACTTGTTAAAATTGAAATAAGTATTTATTCATGAGACAATGTACTATATTGTTGTCTTTTTTTTTTTTAATAATTATTGAATATATATCCATCAACAGAGTTATATGAATATTGGAAATGTTTTTTACAGTGAATAGCAACAAGGGAAATGATAATCAAATGCCGCCTACCAGCGCAGCCTCAGCACAGAATTGGCAAAGTTCCACACAAAACATGCCAAATTCTCAGCCCAATAACAACGGTGCACCTGCAAATAATGGTAATTTTGTAAAATTAATATTGTAAATGGTATTAAATAATTTATTTCGATCTATTTTTATTACATTCTAAATATTTTTAGGCACTATTAATGCTGCAAATGGTAGCAACGGTGGCGGAAATCCCTCTAATCCAACTGGGAATGCCAATGGACCGTCTCCTGGAAATGGCAATAATGGCAACGCTATGACTGGTTCATCTGCTAAGATAGAGCAGCTTAATTTCATGAGGGAAGTTTTGTACAGCCAAGATGGTTGGGGAGGTGTAAGTATCTAAGGATTTCTCAATTGATATTTTCCTTATTAAATATATAGAATACAAATAATATGTATACAGATAGACTTGTTTACAAGCTCTTTTAAATTCTAATTTTTTTTGTGATCGTTGTTATGTTCGGAATGGTCTTTACCTGCAAGAAATTCGACAGTTACTCTTTTAAATTATTATTTACAAGATAATGTTACATTTGCAGCAGTACTGCGACTATAGTCAGAATTAGTTTTATTTATATATATTATTAAATGGAAACTAAATAAGCAAAAATCAATATAGTGAGCATGACTAGGTTCTTCAAGTTACTTGAATACATCATGAGTACAAATTATGTCAGTATACTACCTAATGTGATTATCAAAATGCCCATACATTGCAAGCATTGAAATGACAGTTACAGTTAGAATAATATAATAATAATGAAAATGTCAATTTAGATATTATTGGTAAAAGAATCATAATGTCAATGTATACTTTGTTTAATCTTATTTGACCATAAATTTTTATCATTGACATAATCATCTATCCATGTAATATTAATGCACTTAATATTTACAGCAACACGTTAATCAAGATACCAACTGGGATGTACCTGGATCTCCTGAACCAGGTTCGAAGATCGAACCCAACGCGAGCGGTCCGCCAGCTTGGAAACCGAACGTAAACAACGGCGCCTTCCTCGGTACGGATCTCTGGGAAGCTAATTTACGGAACGGAGGTCAACCACCTCCGCAGCCCGCGACTAAGACTCCGTGGGGTCATACTCCCACTACCAATATCGGTGGTACATGGGGCGAAGACGACGACAACGCCGACTCCGCTAATGTCTGGACTGGACCCCCGCCACCGCAGCAGTGGCCGGCCGGGCCTCCTCAGCACGCCCAGCAGTGGGGCGTGCCGAAGAAGGACGACTGGAATGCGTGGGGTGAGCCGCACCGGCCCGCCGACCCCCGGCTCGACCCGCACCGCACCCCCGACCTACGCCAGCAGCCGGCTGACCCGCGGCACGACCTGCGCGGTGGCATCTCGGGCCGACTCAACGGCGACATGTGGAGCCAGCATCATCAGCACGCCGGCGGTCCCAACAAGATGATGCCCGCCGGGGCCGTAAACCAGTGGGGTGCGCAGGGTCCCAAGGATGCGATGAAGGGTTCCGGATGGGAGGAGCCGTCACCGCCGGCCGCGCGGCGCGCTGCCGCCGGCTTCGACGACGGCACATCGTTGTGGGCGCAGCGCGCCGGTATGGGAGGCATGGCAGCACGAGGTGCGCCAGCCGGCCCGCCGGTGCCGCAGCGCATGCCGCCTACGCCCACCAAGCCCGAGGGCGGCGTGTGGGCGGCGCACGCGCAGCGCAACGGCACCTGGGAGGAGGCTCACGCGCCCGCTTGGCCTGAGCGCGACGCCCCCGCCTGGCCCGATGCTGCACCTGGCCCTGGCCTCTGGTCCGTGCCTAAACCCAAGCCCAACGGGCCTGGGGGCTGGCCCGAGGACATCGGCGAGTGGGGCGGCCCCAAGCCGCCACAGGCCACCGGCCCGCTCGGCAAGCAGTTGCCTAAGGAGTTCGTCTGGAGCAGCAAACAATTTAGGTGGGTTATTTTTGGACTTATTTCTATCTTCGATTCTTGCCTCATCTGTAGCTATCCTCGTGTAGAAGGTGTACAGTGCCAAATATATGTATATCTATATACATAGCTTACCCATTTCTTTTATGAATTTTTTATGTACAATAATTTCGTAGCTTTGTGATATATAATGCACGATGTATATATTTATGCTTATTATTAAATTGATTTACAAGTACATTTTTTTATTTGGTTTTTAGAGTACTGGTCGAGATGGGATTCAAGAAAGAAGACGTGGAAGCAGCTCTCCGTAGCCGTGAAATGAACGCCGAGGAAGCTTTGGAAATATTGACCAGTGCTCGTAGCGAACAGTGGAGGCGGGACGAACAGTTCGCCGGTCACCACGGGCCCTTCCAGCCGCCGCCTACTGTGCCCGCAGTGTCACCTGCCGTTGTGCAGAAGCTGCTTAATCAACCACCCCCTCAAGCTGTACAGCAACATCATCACTCTTATCCTAACAGGTAATATAATGGTGCAGAGGCAGAGGAACATTATCGATAAATATGAACTAGAATAAAATAAAAATACATATTATATTCATGCTAAAAATATGTTTTTAAACCATTCAGTGCATTCATGGTATAGAAATATCTCTTAGACTCAACCAACAACTAACACAGGATCTGATTGTTGTAGATTATTATGACAAATGGCTTTGTATATGTAGGGTTTTAAATACATTATTTAGCATTGAACAGTTTTAATATAAACAATATTGTTCCAGTGGTACTGGCAGTGGTCAACCAAGTGCTGCACAACTACGCATGTTAGTGCAGCAGATACAAATGGCAGTGTCCGCTGGTTACCTTAATCATCAGATTTTGAATCAGCCGCTGGCGTCGCAAACCCTTGTTCTTTTAAATCAACTGCTGCAACAAGTAAGTATTTGTATATGAAACCACTGTTAAACCTCTCATTCTCACCTATCATCCCTAATTAGTATATCAATAATGTGTTTGAATAATTCGGGGCCACACTCCCTGCACTATTAAAATGAAATGGTATTCCCACCATTCCATTTTTATTTCTTTAAAAACTGTCAGATTCGAAGTTGTGTTGATGGCATAGTGCCTTTATTTTCCAGGGAAATCTTGCTCTTAACTTGATTAAGCTTTCAGATTTTGTCTTTACTCATAACTAAATGCTCTGCTCGTGATTCTGGGTGTGGTCATAAGACTATTCTGGGGAGGACTCCCATCCCTTTTAATACTCCCATGGTCTTTGTGTAGAATTGTCATATGTCGACGGTGATAAAATGATGTGCTTGTAAGTGCAAAAGCCATTGAAATGAAAGAAAAAAAAAGTACCTATTTGTGTAATTTAATAAAAAAATTGTGCATTGTCATCAATGTTGTTTTCTTATATGGTATATTTAAAAAAAATATATAAATATTTTTAATTTGTTCTATAACATTTCATATTTTTTTCAGATCAAAGTTCTTCAGCAGCTGACACAGAGCTCACTGGCCATGCCTAAAGGAAATTCAACACTAGCATTGCAATATTCAATGCAAATATCGAAGTCGAAACAACAAATTGCCGCTCTCCAGGTAAATTTGGTTACTATATTATAAAATAATTTTATAATTTTTTTCTTCACAATTTTTTCATATATGTTTTTTAATATATGAAATAATTTTATTTACATTTTATACTTGTATTGATATTTGTTTTAAACATATTTGTATAGTTTTTTTTTTCATGCCAGGCATCTATGCAAAAAATGATTTTTATATATGCGCAGTGTATGTGCAATCTTTTACATGTTATTTTTTCTTTGTCTAGATATAAACTAGCGGATTAATTTATTGATATTTTATACTTTGGTAAAAACTGAGTTATAACTATGACTTGTTTACAGAATCAAATAGCGACACAGCAAGCCCTATTCATGAAACAACAAGCTGGTGGTGGGGATTTGTTCAAGTCCAGTCATGATCCTCTAGCCCAGTTGCAGAATAATTTCAGTGATATGAGCATTACTAAGGATTCACAAGCGGTATTTATTTTATATTGTTAGTTAGTAGTGTAATAATAAAGTTCAAGTTAGGTTAACACCTTTATTAAATTAGAAATGAATAATTTCGTATGCCTCTGAAAGTTTAAGTAATCGGAATTTTAGTAATAAATATTTTAGCCAAACTCGTTACATTTGATAATCTTTGATAGTTATTGAAAGAAACCATAGTAACCATTTAATGTATATTCCAGGCATATGGTGCAAGTGGCAATCAACAGTCACGTCTTAACCAGTGGAAATTGCCATCCCTAGACAAAGATGGTGAGGGTTCCGAATTCAGCCGCGCCCCAGGCACCGCTAAGTCTACCACTAGTCCACAACTGAACCAACTCGGTCTACAACCTGACTCGTGAGTATATTATCACTGTAATCTATAATTATATAATGACTTTTAATCCTGTTCAGTATTTTTATGTTAATTTAAAAAATTATGCGTTAGAATTATTTTTTCGTTAAGAACAAGGTCTATTAAAATTGCGAAACAACTGATGTAGATCTTTTGAATAATTGTTTTTATTATGTATATGTTTGTAATATTGAAGTATTGGCAAATGAGTATGTAGCTCTTTTTATTATTAATTTACATTTAAAAATATTTTTAGAATTGAAATATAATACATGTATCCTCTCCTGTGGTTTGGAGTAATTTACCAACTATATTTAAACTATATTCTACAAAATTCTATTAAAATTGATTGAGCAGTTTTCGGCAATTAGCGTGAATTAACATTGTAATACGGGATTTTTATATATTAAGGTTTCCGTGTGGCATCAAACTGCACCGGACGATCTGTGTTGCTGGTCTTAAAAAAAATTGTATATTCTTTTTGATGAATTTTATACTGTAGTCTCCAGGTACAACCTTTACTACCGAGGTTCTATCTCATTTTACAACATAAATTCTAATTCTGTGTCGATTGTGAATTGTGTGTGTCTATATGGTTTTTAATTGTAACTATTAAACCAGTACATGGGGAGTGGGCCGAGGTGCCGAAGGCTGGGGCGACAGTGGAGCTGACGTCGCCGACGGCAAGGACGCGTGGCCGTCACACGCCACGCACCCTCCCGTGTACGATCTGGTGCCGGAGTTCGAGCCCGGCAAGCCCTGGAAGGTAATGTGTTCTGAGTAACTTGTATTTGTCCTCAAAGTTAGTAATTTACAATACTTATGATGTAGATGAGGGATAGTCTTGAATGTACTTTGTAAGACTAAAAAGGAGGTTTAAGCATTGTATTTTATGCAAAATCTTCACCAATTATGGACTATTTGTGATAATTCATAAACAAAATTCAAGGGTGTTTACTTCTGTAGCTAAGATATTGCAGTAAGGCAAAATATCGATTCTATTCTTATTCTGTTTACATCATAATTGCATAGAATAACCATTTCGATCAGACTAATCACTCTGCTAACAAATGGGCCCCTTTCGAACTCAAGCTTCTACTATACAGGGCAACCAGATGAAGAGCACCGAGGAGGACCCGGCCATGACGCCGGGGTCGGTGGTGCGGTCGCCGCTGTCACTGGCCGCGATCAAGGACACAGACATGCTCGGTGGGAAGACGTCACCGCCGGGTGAGAGGATGCTGTCATCGTCGACGTGGAGTTACGCTCCGCCAGCAACTAGTGCGGGCGGCGCGGCGGCCGTGGGCGGCAGCAAGCCGCCTGTGGATGCGTGGGGCGGGGCCAAGCCTCGTCCCGCACCGCCCGGCCTCAACAAGCCCTGGCCACAGCACCATGCGCCACCTCAGCGGGTGCCCACCTGGCAGGCCTCCACTTGGCTGCTGCTCAAGAACCTCACTGCACAGGTACATAATAAGTACTCATAGTTATCTTAAAGGATCAAATAATAAACATAGAATAATAACTACTGGTTACCCTGAAAGTAAGGATTTACTCACTACTAAAATTTATAATTAACTAATAAAATTTATTAAACAAATTTGAACTTTAATATCTATTTTCTTTTTAGATTGATGGATCGACTTTGAAGACGTTGTGTGTACAGCACGGTCCTTTGCAAAACTTCCATTTATATTTGAACCAGGGATTCGCTCTCGCCCGCTACTCTACTCGCGAGGAGGCGGCTAAGGTACAACAATGTTTTCATCTTTTCTATTTCAAATTGGTGATTCTCAATAAAGTTTAACGTATGTAATTAGATATTTTTTAATCTAATTTGTTTATTCCATGTTTTATACTAATTTTATGAGAAGTCTTTCATAGAAAAAATGTTAAATTATTTATATACATATTATAAAAGTGTCTGTGACATTGCAATTAATATAAACATTCATGTGCGCAGGCCCAGATGGCGCTAAACAACTGCGTGCTTAGCAACACGACCATCTTCGCGGAGTCGCCGGCGGAGTCGGAGGTGCAGATGATCCTGCAGCACCTGGGCAACGGCGGCGGCGGCGGGTGGCGCGGCGGCGGCGGTAAGGACGGCTGGGGCGCGTTCCCCGGCCTGTGGCCCGACCAGCACGACCAGCGCGCCACTCCGTCCTCGCTCAACTCGTTCCTGCCGCCCGACCTGCTCGGCGGCGAGTCCATCTAAGTCTGCGGCCCCACCGCGCACCGCGCGCATCATTCGTCTTACAGTATTCGAATCTAGTATTTAAGGCGTCAGACGTATACGAGTCGAGCTATAAGCCGAGTGATGGCCGCGCATCGCATCTCGCTCTGTCGGGACGCTAGCCCCCTTCGAATTTTGCCTATTCGAATCGGTGATATATTGACAATGAAGGTTGGACGAGTCGCGATTTCCGAATCGAATGTGGTACGTGTTAAATTGTAATTACGCTTTATGGTCCCCCGTAAGGGGATAGACTAATTTTATTCGCCTAGTCAGATCGTGACGGACGGACGCATTGCGTCGCGTCTCGGCGCGGTCGCGATAGCCAACTGTCCACGATACTTATTATCCACTGTGTTGTAAGTGTTCAGCTTAGTGTATTTAGTGTACATAAAATTATACATATACAAATCCAGACATATAATGTGTAACGAATTGTGTATTATTTAATAATATATAGACGTAGGTGAGGGATGGCGACCGGCGAGGCCGACGCGGCCGCGAGTGAGACACGCGTCCGCGTGCGCCGCCCTTCGCCATCGTACGAGTATTCGTATTCGATTTAACGGATGAACGCAATGGTTCGCTCCTTTAAACCTACCAAATAAAAATAGCTGTCGAAGTAGAGTAGTTGCGTCGCGGGCTACCTCAGTCACTCGTCCCGTGGCCTTATTTTAGTGTGTATTTATTTTGTTGCGCTCGTGGGCTGTTGCTGTTTCGCCCGTCGAGCGATTCGTTTCGATTTTCTTTGGAGTCGTTTTTATTAATTATATCGTTTTCTCAATACTGATGTATTATAAATATTATTTATTCTGTTTTTGAATTCTCACTCGTAATGAGCTTTTCGTTTTCCATTAGTGATATTTTTATCCAGCAATAAACGACAAAGTAAACAAGTAAACAAAGTGCATTTTGGTGAGTTTATAAATATAACAAAATTGAAAATTATGAGATTTAAAGTGCATTCTTGTAGTGGTAAATTACTTTTAAGCCGTATAGTCTGAGGTGGAAATAAGTATATATAAAATATACGTTGGGAGCGTGCGGCGCCGGCGCTTTCGCATCACGTCGTCGGTGCGGGTCGCGACTGCCGGCAGGCAGCGTGTCCGCACGGTCGGCCTCGCCCGGCCCGGCTCGGTCCGGCCCTGGTCCGGCCCTGGGCCGGCTTCGGGCGGCCGGGTCCGGATTCGGAGCACGAGTACGGGACGGGGCGCGCGCTCCATTGCAATCCAGTAATCCTGTGATGTATAATATCTTGCCTAATATAAGAATAATCTATTTTGTTGGAGAGTATCATATTAGAGCGAGTCGCCGGTAGTCGGCCTCCGTTGATGCTGATGTTTCCCCAAATTATTTCCAGTATTTGTGATTCAAGTGCCACTTTATGTTTAATATATGAATCGATTATCTAGAATATACGATTAATATAAGGGTATTCTAATATATTAAATTGAAAATTGTTTTATCATTTTATATTACATACATTTGTGAGACGTCTTCTTATAAATAAATAAAATAATAAAGCTATGACCGTAATTTAAAATATTACACTTTTGTGTATAGGTAAGAATAAAGTTCTAACTTAAATTTAGCCATATCATATCTATTTAATAAAAGATTTGTGGTATTTTCTATAGGCTCAATTTAAACGTTATTCAAAGCGACATGCTTTAGATATTCTGTTAATAATATACTTGTAGTCGTAGGATCTGTGTCGGTATTATAATACTTCAACGTAGTTGTAAGTTTACACTTAAGAGCCCTATTATAGGTTTATATAAGCATATTACTTAAAATTTATGGCAACGATGACATGAGCGTTATATGATAAAGTTTATTTACATTTTTATTTACTTTTAATTTATTAATGGTGTGCCACAGAGATACTCTGCCAAAATTAATCATTACCATATATTACGGGATTAGCTAAGATGAGGCGAGGTGTCGGTTAGGTCGCATAGGGGTCGGGCTCGCGCGTGGCGATCGAGCGGGAGAGAGATATTAGGGTAATAGGCTTAGGGAGGGGGATAGCGGGACAGTGCGGCCGCCGCCTCGCCTCCGCCCCTGACGAGAGACTCCGGGCCGCGGCCCTTGACCGTCGACGACGGACCCACCACGCTTTACGATCACCACTATCGATCACAAAAAGCGAATGACTATTATAATAATATGTACATTATCTTATCGCGTACATCTTCCAGTGATCTACAATTAATGATAATGATTTAGTGCTAAGTTAGGTTTATAAGTAATTGCTGTACCTTGTCGAGCCACGCACTCGAGAACTCTTCACAAACTAAAATATTAAGTTAGGTGGATCGCAGTCTTGGAATACATTCTTGGGTTATGCTTTCTGATAGCTTCGGACCTGTAGTTCTAGTGTTAATTAAATGTTTCGATGTATGATGTGTTCAATTAGGAAGAAAAATTATTAACAATTCTCATTACTACATACTTACCTTACATTATAGGGACCGATGAAGAGTATTTAACGTCTCTTTCCACGAATTGCATATTCTTTGTTGCCTTTTATTATTAATACAAATTTCAAACACGAATTTAGTTAAAGTAATTACGTCATTCCTAGTAAGGTAAAGTTGTTGTCAAATTAATGTAACTCGAACCACGATAGTGTAAAGGCACGTTATAATATGCAATCACACCGACTTAGTTTCGCCTTTGATGGGGCCATAATTATTAATTAGATTGCCAAAGAGTGAGTATCAAAGATAGGTGTCTGGACTGGAACAACACGGTGTCTTTGTTTAGTGGCATTTCTTCCAAATTAATTAAAAATTCTTTAATAAATGGTACGGGTAATGATCTGATGTTCCTATATCATTCGTGTTAATGTCTGTACAACAATAGTCGCGGAAAGTGAAAGGACTTATGTCAATTCTATTGTTGTCGAGCTCAATTTACGCAAGGGTCTTTCTTTTATCTGTTTATTGAAAAAAAAAATATAAGATATATTTTATCTGATATTGTTCTGTCCACGTCTATATCAACATTTGAAAATACAGTAGCCTACTGGTGATTATCTGAATTTTAATAATTATGCAGCAATAAAAAGAATAATTTAATTTTTATAACATTTTTCAATTTTAAAATTAGACAAGCCAAGTTAACGGAAAGTATAATGATCTAGTGCCCTGTTTAGAATACGTTGTCCATAGAGTATATACGAAAGAAGTCTTTGCCTTGAGAGTTTTTAGTCGATTTGAAGTAAACAGTACTTAAATATGATATTGTAATTGGCACATAATTATAGGTGTTGTGGTATAATGGTGTTAGGTGTCGTCAGGAGAGTTGGGCGGCGTTGCAGGGCGCTGTAGGGCACTCTGGGGATACTGTAGGGCGCTACGGGGCGCTGTAGGGCGCTACGGGGCGCTGTAGGGCGCTACGGGGCGCTGTAGGACGTTACGGAGCGCTGTAGGGCGCTGCAGGGCGCTGCAGGGCGCTGTGAGCCGCTCGACGCGAGCGGACATCAAGGTTGTGAGAGGCGGCATGCGCCGTCGCGTTTACTGAATCTCCTCTCGGTTCAATGACTGCGTCATTATTTCCTGCACACAATTGCGCCATGTGCAATTTAGTCTGTGTTATTATTACGTTGTTGTATATTTATATCCTACGTCTAAACTGTAATATGTATATATTGTGAGATTTATATTCATAAAAGAAGATTTAATACGCTTCACGCTTTCACTTTTAACATTTTCTTGTGACTTGTTTGTTATTTAGAATAAATTTACGTACCTAAAAGTAATTATAATAATTATCATAGGTGTAAATGTAAGGACACAATTAAGGATTAAAAAAAAAAAAGAAAAAAAAAAACGAAAAAAAAGAAAAGCAATTAAAAGAAACCAATGATTGTGCCTCAATGAACTGTGGTACGTTACCGTAACCAATGGCAGGTGTAATCGTTTCCTTGAAAAAATTTATTATAAATGAATTGTGCGCTAGGCACTGCTCGTGCGCTCGTGCGCTCGTGACTAGCTGTAGACAATATAAGGCTGCGAGCAGCGGGGCCCGGGCCCATGCCTTGTGTAATCATCAATGAGCTTAGCTGTGTTTTACTTTTATTGTAAGTGTTATGTCATCAATCAACATTTTATATAATGTACCTACTTATGCGTGTAAATATTTTTTTATAATTTATTTTGGTTTTCAATGAAGTTTATCCGTATTGACGTGTAATTCGCGTTGCTTTTATCGTCTGATTCGTTTTACAATAATCACGTGATTCGTGCGAACTGAACTGTTAATTTGCAATCTACCTATATAACACTCGAATGCCAAAGTCGATGTCTGATTGCCATCAACGACAATTAATGTTCTAAGGATAACGTGCGGAGATCTCGACATCACAACAAATTTTTGATCGTACAAATGGGAGCCATTATATTAAACAGCTGCCGCTTAGGCCGTTGTTCTATCCAAGCTGCTCTGGTATTATTTAGCTCAAGTATTGAAATACATAGTAGTTTGCTCATAATATTGTTGTTAATTTTAATTTTTTTTTTTTTTTTATTATCTTAAGACAGTTGACACACGAGTTCAGTACGAGATTAGTTGAGAGCAGGTACGTTGTTACTCACATGTTCATATGAGAATACTTATGATCAGACCAAAACGACATTATGTATACTCCTCTGTTATACTGGTGCGAGTACTGAACTGGTTTGTCCAAAGCACTAATTAATGCTTTCTCTTTGTTTTAAAGTGGAATCCTAAAAATATTATTTAATCGCCAATTTAGCTTTTAATGTTCTCGATTAATTGTAATGGACACTGTTAACGGTTAATGTATAATACCGGCTAATTAAAGAGATATTAGGCTAATACCACTCTGCTTTTACCACACCGATCAGTTTAAGTGTTTCTATGTATTGCAAGAATTTAAAGCATTTCCAACGCATCTTGCTACCATAAAATCGGTACGTATCAGTAATTAACACATAAGTTTTAGTGTGGCTATTTGCTAGTTCCTGTTATTTAATTTTCTCTTTCAGACATTTACTTGCTCTTACACTAATCAGTCAGCACATGTTACTTATTTCTAGATTATTCTTGGATATAGGGACCAAAATATTTATCATTATAGTTTCTCTCCTATGTATTACAAGCTGAATTGCCCCGTACTAAAAGACATAATTTTTCCATTGTTGATACGTTTTGCCGTCTCATAAATCTTAATTACGAAGTTGTATTATCTTACGGTAGTGATAGAGTGTACATACAATATATATTCATGTGGGCCTTTTAATTTAAAATATTTAAGGTTAAAGTTTTGCTTGTTGTCTTTATTTATATATATTTTTGTACGTTACGACGTTGACGTCTTAATACAATAGAACACATTAGGTGATATCTACAAAGAAACTAGTCTTCCTTATTTACGGATTGTGGCGGAGATGCGACGTCAGCACAAGAGGCAATCATTCCTCTAGTCTTGTTATGTGGTGCGGTTAAGTAAATACCAAATATAAAATAACGAAGGCTTTCATGTAGTGTAGAGGTTATGATGATAGGTCGGCCCGAGCAGCTTGGAACCCTGTCAAATGTTACAAGGGAATGGTTGGTTAGTATTATTATAATGCATTTATTTCTCTTTTTGTATAATAGTCACTCGAAACATATATTTTTAATTAATTGAGCTAATGCCTAAAATTGGAATATCAGAGTTTATTTAGGATGTTTCATATTTTACATTTTAGTGTTTAAATATCTAAAATTTACCTTAATTATAGTGAATGGATTTTTGTATTATTGGTATATAGCTGTAAGTCAAAGGGTGTTCTTGATAAACACAAACAACTGATTAATACAAAATAAAAAAAAATGTACTGAGTGACTTTACGTGAAAACAGAGGGCCATTGATAAAAAAATGTTGAACTAAGCTAAATTCTCTATATGGATAATATCTAAATGTGATCGCTGAGAATATTTTTAACTGCTATATGTATAGATATAGATCAGTAAGTCATTTACATATATGTTAGCTCACCGAGCGGTACTTTGAAACGATATGCACCGATGATTTAAGTAATGTACTCCATACAGCGCCGTGCGAACCGAGTCGCTTGTTAGGCGTCGCCACGCGGCCTACCGCGTGAGACTCAATAATGTACCGTTTACCGCTCACCGCTCACCGCTCACCACGTACCGTGAGCGGGTCAGCTATCACGCACGTCTGACAACGTTCGTTTGCACGGCGATGATGTGGATGACTTTCTGAGCAAAGTAATCAATTCAGTGTATCTGCATTTTAGTTTGTTTTATACGATGAGTATATATCATATATATATATATATATATATATATATATATGTACGTGTACCAGGGCCAACCCTCTCATCAGACAATTGATGCAGTAGACTCCAGGTGCTGCTCGCTAATTACACAAGACACTGCTTCTCTAGTCTCTCTCGCATTAAACATTGCTTTAAAATAAGTTAACGTCGTCGCGCATAATAATCTGCATATCCTAATGACTAGTTTTTATTTGTATTATTTTTTTTTCATTAGATCTCTGTTGTACCTGTGTGAAATTGTTTATATTCAATGTTCATTTGTACTGTAAGAGAACTGATATGGTCTCGACGTCACCGCGCTTCATACTATATACGTAATTACAATGTAATGACCAAATTGTTTGTTCCATTCAAAAACCTCTCACTATATCGCTATATATTGACGTCAAAATCAATAAATACTCTGCGGTCTTAATTAGTCACTTTTGTACCTTGATTGTACTTGAATAATAATAACCTAGTAAGTGAGGAACGACTAATCCAATTCTGAAATATACTTAATTTAAATTTTGACAGACTGATATCTGTGATTAATAAAATATTTTTAATATTGTCCAGTGAGTGAAATGAGGATATTTATTTTATTAGAAGTTTCCTACTGCCACCGGCACCCGCTATATGTGACGGGACAACATTTACTTTAGTCGTGTATCGTGTCTGGATACATATACAATACAATTATATCCATGAACGGCTACTTTCCTAATTGGTTTAGGTTGTACAAAGTAACGAACAAGTTTAAATCTGTAATGAACCCCACCACGATGCTCTAGCTGCTATCCCAATGATCGAACGTGAAACAATAGCTCTATCAATTTAGATAATGTTTACGTGACATCAATGTTCTATCTATCAGCGCGTACAGAGACTGACAAATAATAAATTAAATAAATTATTATCTATATAGAAATACCACCGATGTCATTTGAAACTTATTTGATCTTGAACGTTGCATATCGACTACATTTCTAATTCGAATTATTTTGTTGTATTCATATCCCCAATTTAAATAATTCCCATATGAGTTAAGTTTAATATCTATTAAAATTTTAAGTTATCATAATAAACGAAATTAAATCGGATTTCTGTAGTATTTGTAGTAAGTGACATCATTTCATTAAAATAGAAAAAAAAAAAAACGTAATGATTGGCGATGTTTGTAATAAAATAAAATTAATATATTTCGGTACCACCTTTGATTTAAAGTACAATGTAGTTATATAAATAATGCGTGTTTCATTGACGTACATGTATTCATTAAAACAATATCAGTATAATGTGAAATCGATTAGCGATAAGTTTAGCTTAGACTTAAGCTGTCTCGTCTCACATTACACCAATTAATAATTATTCTCCTCAATATATGTATTGGTACACTTATTTTAATAGGCAGAAACTAAATTATGTATAGGTTAAATAAAAAAAGAAAAATAAAACTTTTTTCTGTGCAAAAGTGCTCTGTGATGGCAAAAAAAATATTCTAGAAATCTAGTATTAACTGAAAGTGAACGAGGGTCGTACTATATAGTTCCCGAGATTATAAGAGAAACGGGAAAATAGTCTTACCGTACCTTAAGTTAGGGCCCAGCTTCATGTGACTTTAAAAGTTAACTTTTCAGTCTTTTCGCGCAAAGGGTTGTGTATTATTTTTATGTAGTACAAATGTGTTCGCAATTTGATTGCTGCTATAGAGTTTATGTTCATATTCAAATTAACTTTGTTGGTATTTATTTGGAAAATTTGTAATTGCTGTCTGGATTATAAGTAAAAAAAATTGATCTTATAACAGGCATGTGTATTTTTTGTAAGTTTTTTATGAACGGCTGCCTTAATAGTAATATATGCGTACACCAACCTCTATGTTTAACGGACGATTCTTGTCCGAGTCGTCTGTGATCCGTCACGTAGTCACGTACCAAATAATAGAGTAGCCGAGTAACCGGCCCCTTTGTATCTCGATCAGCCCTTGTGTTCTGGTGACAGGATACTGATTGTATTAAGGCGAAATGGGTAATGGCCTAAATTATATATTATAAAATAATGTAAACGATTCCACTTTTAAATGTCCTATTGTTATCGCTTGGCCCTAGGTCCATTTCAATAGTTTTTGTAACATACAGAGTGATGTTTACGCGTGGAAGTGTTGAGTGAGCTAAAAGCTTGTGATATGTAGGCGTGGTGTCCAGCGCACCCGGAGGACAGCGGCTGATCGGGTGCAGAGTAGTGCCGTCGGCGGCAGTTCCAACTTCTTTATCTATTACCTCATTCAATAACCTCACATAGTGTGCCCTATATATCAGGCTATATTTTATCTCCGTACTTATCACGCGCACTGCACTGTTATTTGGTACACACATTCTTCTCATTAAGTTAATTTAAGGTCTTTATCAGTGTATCAAATAGTCGATATATTTTCCTGTTATTTTTCTGATACCTAAAAGCAATGTATTTTACAAACAAAGCAGGAGAACAATAATTATTATGTAAGTGTAACAGTTAGTGAATTTAAGTGTGCTATTTTCCATTCCAGAACTCAACGATATCAATGTTCTTATATTAATACTTATTTTCGGGTTTTAAAAATGTTATAATATGTATTGTATAATTAAACTAAACCTTATGTGATTGAAATGCAATGTTTAGAAGTATTTTATTTTTTATTTTTACCATTAATTAATAAATAGTTAGTAGAGATCTATTTGAGAGTCTAATGTATCAATTATTTGTAAAGTTGGCTGTAACTAATTAGAAGTTACAATAAGTAGACTATAGACGATATTTTAATATAAAACATTTGGAGCAAATTTTATGTAGGTGACAAATAGTTGTTTTGATCATTATGTGAAGTGTTGTATCGTATTGTATCGTATAGTTAGCGCAATGTGTACGCACAACGGTGAGGCGGGTCGAGTGGTACGCGCCACGCGGCGGCCAGTTGCTAGCTCGCAACGCAACCGCCCATGTGACGCCCGCGTCGTAGTCAATATGTCCTCTTAATAATTGTACCACTCCACCACCAGTAGACCCTCGACTCTCACTGCACAGCACTGCTAGACTAATTCAGTTATTGCGTAAGGATATTTTTCTTACATTTCGATAAGAGTAATGTTTATAGTATAGGCAATAAATAATGTTAAACAAAAAGTCCCTATGTAATCGAACTGAATACAGAAACGCATGTTATATTTGTGGCCTCTATGAATAAGATCTAAGTTACATGTTAAAGAAAATTAATTTTGCTATGCACAGAAATGATACTCAATTAATTGCCAAAAAGTAATATGTATTGTATGTAATTCATAGTTCAACAATATTTCTTTTGGGCATATTTACTTTGAAGCTCTTGCAAAACTAGATTATGAGTAAGTAGGTTGTAGAATTCGATGTAGTAGAGTGAATGCATATTATATAATAAAAAAGTACTATACATATATATACTATATCAATTTCGTGTATTGTTCATAAGTAATAAATAAATGGGTTTAGCCATACTTGGGCTGGTTTGATATATATGTTACTGATTAATTGTAAAAAAAATAAAAAATCATTAAAAATATGCGTTTTATTTCATTTCCTTATCCCCTAATATAGATTTAGATTGTAGTTACGATAATATTTATATTTAATAAATGCCACAACATGTACAGCAAAATTATAATCAAAACCGGTTTTTTTATAAGTGATAATGGAATTTTAACTCTGTCTCCGGTATCGGTATATGTTGGCGGGCACCAGAGATAATTAGATAGGTAAGGATGAAAGCAGGCCACTTGGTCTTTAGTGACGAATTCTTAAAAAATGAAAAAAGATAAAATGTCAAAATCTTAAAAAAATTATCGATATAGAAAATAGTTTATGTTCCTATGGCCTATGGCAGACAAGATTATTGTTATACTGTCTTAGGTTGTCCTCCACGCGGTTCGCCTTGGAAACCATCGTAGTTAATTCCAGTTGAATCCATCAATTCGTCAACTGCTTTCATCTACTGGTGTTGGGCCAGCGTATAATGATAATACAGCGGGATTTTTTTTAATGGGTGATAATCGAATAGTAACCTCGCCCGCGCTATAGGTATACGACGGCGGAGTACTAGTGAGGGATGATAGGCGAGCATGAAAGCAGATTAGTTAGCCCATCTTGACGAATTCCAATAGAATTACGATGGTTTCCAGGGGGAACCGCGTGGAGTTAGACTTGATAAGGATGTATCGCTAGCAACGGGTCAGTTAAACCTCATTACTAACAATCCCTTTCCACCCTGGAGACGGGGTTATTTATACACGGGCGTACATCATGATTGGTTAAACAGTACGTAGTACGTAATACTAAGTCTGGATTGATAATACGAGGCATTTGTTAATGGGTTTAGATGGAATGGTAACTCTGTCTGCGATATCGGTATACACTGGCGGGGTACCAGTTAAGGGTGACAAGTGAGGATGAAGGCAGGCCAGTTGGCTCCTAGTAATCGATTGAACAAGAATTAACCACTATGGTTATTATGGTGATAGGATGTATTGCTAGCAATGGGGCTGTTAAATTTCATCACTAACAATCCTTTACCCCCCATAATACGAGGTTTAGAGGTAACAAACTTAGGTATTTGTTATAGAGTAAGGATACATCTTCGTAAATTTTTGTTTTTTCTTTTTTTTTTATACAACTTAGAATGGCAAAGAAGCTGACGGTCCACCTGATGGAAAGTGATAACCGTTGCCTATAGACATGAGCAGTACCATGGACATAACAGAGTATACTGTTTCGCCCATGATACCCTCCATGCGTCGCCATTCCTGAGGACTCAGGTGTTATTCCTCTGTACCTAGTAAATTCACGCCATATCCCACCCTTCAAACCGAAACACAGCCATGTAATCAAAACTGCTTCACGGTTGAAACACGAATGGGACAGAGGTACCCAAGCAATCGACTTTTGTACAAAGTCTCCCTTTGGTACCTTATATGTACGCTTCATTGTCAATAGACCACCCCCTTCTTTTCCCATAACTGACGTAGGAGGCGATTAAGGGAACCTAATGGTCGAGGGATGGGCGGCAGAAACCCTCTTAAAAATCACCAAGGCCTAACTATGGTTGTCAACCCGCCTGCCAAGCGCGGCAACTGCTGGCTAAACCCCTAATAGGTCTATATTCAGCAGAGAACCGAATATGTATATATATATCTGTCTACTGCTGAGTAAATAAGTCTCAAAAAATTTTCTGTTCCTAAAACATTTTTTATATCAGGATCTAGAAACTAAAAAAACATACTGAAAATGTCGAAAAAAAAAACCATTTGTACCTGTACCAACAGCACTACACAGTACAAGGTATGCACATACTGGTCAGCTAGTCTATCGTGATGGATTCACTTGGAATAGAACACGAGTTTCCAAGGGGAATCGCGAGGAGGTCGACCTGACAGGGTGTATTGCTAACAATGGGGCTAACCAATTCTTATACTTAACAATTCATTATCACCCCTATACATAGCTATTATTATGTAATATTGTACAATATTTAAGGTAATATAAAGTCTAGGAAAATGTAATAAAATTGAAACTATTAATAAATACTAACACTAGTTTTTAGGATTTGGTTACGTTAATTAACATTCTGTATATATACGTATATGCCTAATGTACCTAGCTATCTAATTTGCTCTAGAGTTGCACACTGAGTAGGGTCAAGCACGCTTGACTTAATGGGAGGTTTAAAATGTGGAATAAGTATTTGAGCAAATATAGTCTAGAGGCTTCGCACAGGGCATTGTTTTACAGACAGTGAAACAGAGTAAAATTGTACAATAAGTAAGATGTTATCGTTTAGTTGCTTATTGGAATTGTACATATTTAAATTTTGCGCATATAAGGGACTATCCGATTGTACGACAGTTTTGTCCGTCATAATAAAGTTTTCTTTTTTTTTATAATTTTGCAAGTACAAAAGTTGTGTGTCCAGACCTCTTGTATGAAGTCACGGTACCCGGTAATTTATTTATTTATTTTTTATTGCACAATAAAGTTTGTACAAATGCTATATGGGATTCTCTATTAATTTAAATAATATAAGGCAATTATTTAGGTAATTCCAATGTTATTAATTAATTTACTCTTCAAACGGCTATGCGTCCAATTGTTGAGTCAAGATGAAGGCTGGGGGAAACGGATAACAGCTTCATTGCTGGCAATATATGCGAACCCCCTGGAAACCATTGTGGGTAATTCTAGTCAAACTAGACCTGCTTCAGTCTCATCGTATTGTTTTTCATTAGTTCTCCACTAGCGTATACCTATAGCGCAGGCGGGGTTGCCATTTTATTATCATTCCATATAGAATTATCATTGTGGGTAATTTAATTAATATTCGAAATACCTACTTTTGACGATCACGGGTATAATTGTGTTATCCAAGGAATTGTTTATTACTATTTAGGTGATCGCTATACTATAGTTAGATTAAAAATTCCAAAAGTACACAAATAAAACACGAAGTTTATAAAAATTATTATATTTACATTCTATACATAGATAATATTTACATATGTAAGTCGCTACAAAATGGAAGAGACAATTGTATTTTATTAATTAGGTATATTTTATATACATTTGTTAATAGGATTTATAAAACAATACCTTATATAATATTTATATACTTTTATTTGTTTATACAATCAAGCAGGTGACGAATAAATGAACTTCGCAACTTAAGTGCAATTCTTACGTAAGATTTGAAATTCACTAACCTAGGTACATATATCTAAACTATGTAGGTAAGTATATAAAATTCATCATAATCATGTAAACAATCAAAGCTTTTTAGACTAGTAAGTTTGGTATATAATGTATTTATATAAATGTCGCTAATATAGCGCTATTGCAGAGTATATAATCTTATATATAAAAATCTTGTAGCACGGTGTTTGTGGTCGAACACCTCGGAAACTCGACCGATATTTATGAAATTATTTATGTATATTTGGTAGGTATGAGAATAGGTCGTAAAGTATATTTCATATAGCTAGGCGATTAGACTGTCCCTATCCAGAAAAAAATGTTTTATAATATATATGGCAATACAACATTTGCCGAGTCAGCTAGTGAAAAATGAAATGGTTTTATAGTATAAGTCGCTCCAAGTGCATTTTTAATGGTTTTACAATTTTAAACAGACATAAAATAGCTATTAAACATTCTGGGAATGAGATATTCACCGTGAAAAACAGCGTTAAATAAAGAGTTAATTTTAAATCTAGTCTCTTAATTAATAATAATCTCATATTATTATAGTACTTTTGTCTATCGTCAATAAACAATAGAAATAATGTTATAGACAGGTACCTAATATGCTTTACAAAAACAGTGCCAATAGAGTATGCATTCAAATGAAAGTAAATGCAATATCTAACTTAGTGCAATACAATGTGTGCATTGAGAATATTTTAGAAAAAATATAATAAATTTGATATTTTTCGGTCTCCAATTAATATTCAATCACATTTTTTTTTCTATGCCTATAAGAGACTTGACATGAAGTTAGATATATCTATAGGTAATATTTTACCTGTATATTCAACCTACATATTATTCAAATTTCTTCGTTAAATTTTAAGAGTTGTTCTGTTATTAGGTAGTGTGAATGGTAGGACATGAAAAATGAGGTACCATGCTACATAAATGCAAAATATGGGTAAAAGTAAAGTGACAAAACATTAAAAGAAGCAAGCCTCTTATGCTTCAGTCAGGCAGGAAAACAATGATACCAGGAATTTTATGAGATACGTAGGAATTAAAATTTCATGGTAAAAAATTATTTTATTGACTAGATTTATTTTCTTTTTTATTTTCAAAATGGCAAACAAGTTGACGGCCCTCCTAATGGAAAGTGGTAACCACTGTGTATAAACATAAACTGCACCATGACCATTTCAGAATTTATTATTGTTAGGAAGCCAAACGAGCAGACGGTCCACCGTTTTACCGGTTTCACCGGTTTATGGAAAGCGGCTACCGTCGCTCATGAACACCTGTAACACAAGAGGCGTTGCTTGTTGCCAGCCTTTTAAATGTCTGTAGGTAAATTTACGTAATGCCCCATATTATATTGTAAGGGGAAAATTGAAGACGGAAGCTTGTTCCAGAACCAAGATGTACGAGGTAGAAATGAACGGGATGCACGAACAGTGATAGTGTGCCAAGTAATGAGGATGAATACACTGGTAAAGGTACACTGTGATGTTCAGTACCTATACGCCTTTAATGCATTGCCATCTTAGTAAAATTATATAAAACTGATAAAAATTGTATGTAAAAAATCAGCAAAAAGACGTAAAAGATTCGATATTGTATGCTCGTTTCTCTACGATATTATAACATTGTGGTGATCAATACTCTTATATCGGAGACCGTAAAACTCATTTGTAAATCTAATGATTCATTTTTATCAAATAAATGACTAATGATTTATTATTTTACTCGAAACTTTGGTCAGCTGTAAATTTGTTACAAATGTATTAATTCTGTACAGCTGTTACCTCACTTCCGTCGAGTTCAAAGCGTAGAAGATATTTTTATACCAGAAGTCTACTGTTTTAGCCCAAGCGCCGAGAGTGGAGTCATTTAATTTGAGCACTTCTATGAACATTTTCACGATGACTTCTTTCAAGTCCTGTTGAATATAAAACATTATTAAATTAAAAGTGTAGAAAGAGCATCAAGTGTTTTGAATATGTATACTCCAAAACATCAGCAACAGCAAACCTTTTAAGAATATTCTACCTTTGTTTTTTGCCCATAGTTACCCTAGTTATAGGTTTATTTAATGGATTAAAATGGAATGGTGAATTTTTTTTAAACACAGGGGGCAAACTTGCGGCTCACCTGATGGTAAGTGTAGTCACTTACCGCCGCCCATGATCACTCACAACACTAACGGTATTTTTTTTTTTAATGGGTGAGAATGGATTGGTGGCGGGGCACCAGTGAGGGATAATAGATGAGGATGAAGCAGGTCAGTTAGCCCATCGTGACGAATTCAACAAGAATTATTCACGATGGTTTCCAGGGGAACCACGTGGAGGTCGACCTGATATATGCCCTATATTGCAACACTAACGGTATTGCAGGTGTGCTGCCGGCTTTTTAAAAAGGAATATGCACTTTCTGCCTAAGATATCGGTTTATGCTGGCTTGGGCACTAGGGAGAGATGATAAATGAGGATGAAAGTTGGTCAGTTGGCTCATCGTGATGAAGTCAGCAAGAATTTACTACGATGGTTTCTAGGGGGAAACGAGTCGAAGTTGACCTGATAACCCTATCACATTGATAACTGATGTTGTTCAAAATTTTTAAGTTTGAAAAATAAATCTATGGCTCACTACACGTTTTGGGGTATTGTAAGTGTGGTGAGTAATCTATAAATAAATAACAATAAGGATTTTAAAATCATTACTAACAATCCCTTTCCCCAACCATCGCAGTTAATATCTGGTAAATTAGTCATTTGTCACAATGGACGAAGTGACTTGACTTTATCCTCATCTATCATCCCTTATGCCTTCAGCGTGAACCAGTAGATTCATTATTAGATTTCATATATTAAAAAAAAAATATTAAGGAGGTTCAGCAGTGAACAATGAAAGGCTGAAATCATGGTGACGATGAATAAGACTGGATTATTCTTACGTGGAAATTTTTTTCTTTGATTTGTCTTCTCTTGTGCGAGTCTCCAATTTTGACCATCATCGCGGCGACTATTTCTGGCTGGTTCAGGTTCACAACCGCCAAGTTTAGTGACGTCATCAAATTAATTACGTGCGCCTTGAACTGTATGTTCTCGGAAAATTCATCTTCGTTCACGTTCTTTAACATTTTGAAGAAGTCCTTTGCATCGGGGTACGCTCGGAAGAATCTGTAACAACGAATGATAATTTGATTGTATGGTAGAAACTAGGGGTATATATAGCAATATCTATATATTTTAGTTACAATATCTATATACCTGCCCAATGAGGAATATGTTAAAAGTCTGTTGTCTAAAAAAATATATTAGACAATAGACTTTTAACATATTCGAAAATAGATATTAGACCGATATGGGCGATATCGAAATAGATAATGACTTTCTCTTGCTATCCATGTCCAGAAGAACTTAACATAAACATCGGTATTCGTTTAATCCATGACTAGTAGAAATAGAGACATAGTTATTGATACATAGGTAGTTGTTGTGGAAATTACCTACGACAGAATAAGGGATATATTTAAGACACTTTTGTGTTCCGTTTTGTTAAAATCCTTTATGTACGTAGTCTACCAATATACTATCATGTCACTATAATTTTTTATATTATTAGCTGACACGATTAACGTTATTTTTTTCTCCTGTCCCAATCTAATATTAATTATAAATAATAAATTAAATATCCATTATCAATATAAAATAATTGCTTTATCTATTTTTGAGCGAAAATTCTTATAGTAGAGCTACGGTTATTTTTTGGTAGAGCATTAGCTTTTATATTTTGTAAGTTTATTGTTCTCAAATTATAATAAATATATAAATTCTGAAATTTATTTCAATATAGAATATTAATGCAATATTTTTTATTCCTTCTTTTGGGCACAAATCTTGTCTGGAAGATCTTATTGCTTAGCAATAAAACCGCCTTCTGTACTCCACTATGCTTATTGAAAATCCTCCAAAAGTCCATATAGGTGCAATAAAGTGTTAAATAAAACAAAATATTGCAATTAATGTTATATATGTATAAATGGTCTGAATGAATATAATTTTTAATTAAAAACACTGTAGCAGTTTTTATGAACGAATAAGCAATTTATGTTTGGGTTCTCAACAATCATTTTTATATATCCTCTATTTTGTTGACATTGTAAATTAAATTTGGCACTGGACCTGAACTACACGTGTAATTATACTAAGTATAGCGTGTAAGTACGTAATAAATCTATGCGGTTGACCTATAAATTGCGTGAGACAGAAGCTAACCAGATTCATTTTATCACAAATTTCATTGTGGTTTTGAATTAATGTTTTGGCTTTAGTTAACAGGCGAAAGCTCAAATTTTTAAGACTTGAATTTTTTGAACTGTGGTCATAACTACTCGTATTGTTCAGGTTCTTTGGAAAATTTATCTATATATACATAAAATGGGCCAACTTTTCTTTTCTCGTGGGTGTCGTAAGAGACGACTATAGAAATTAAATGGACGAGGGATGGGCAGCAGCGTCACTCTTTAAACATCACCAACTACTGGTAAAACTCTTCCAAGGGGGAAGCAGGTTTCTGTTCAGCACTGGACAGTTAATGATATTTTGGAAAATAATAATAAGGTTGAATAATATACTAATAGTTATTTTAATATTTAATAGCGTCCTATTCCGGCTTCGCATGAGTGCAAAAGCTATATTTACAAATTTCATTAATATAGTTTTTGCGGTTTCGGAGTTTAATGTGAATGAACATCGTGACACGAGATTTTTATATTAATAGGTTCTATTTTAGTTGATATATACTATAATTGTATGCCTACATTATTTTTTTGCAAATATTAAATTGCTCAGTTAGTTATCGAAACTGCTAGCGGCGTAGCGAGTTGGCTAGGACGGCTTTAGTTACCTACGATTGATCTATTTATGTTTCAATTTTGTATGTCTACGTCTTAAAATTTTTATATATATATAAGTTTTATATAGGTAACATATAAAAACTAGAACTCATTTTATAAGATATGATTTTGTTCTACAAATAATAATTTTCCAAATCGCTTTATGAATGATGGAGTTCTGAAGGTATAGACATAAAAAAATATAACCGATTTGAAAACCTCTTTGACCTTTTGACATTAGTAGAAAAGAGTACAACAGTGTCGCGTCTTCCTCATTGTTCTTGATTGAAACTACGTTCCAAATTGATCGGTAGATTAAAAAAAAGTGTCTATAAACTCCTATAAATAAACAATTTTTAAGGTTCAGTTAAGTCTTTAAATAAATTTATTCTTCTCAATACAATATGTATTGTTCAAGTCTCTCTAAGTCATGATTTAACAAGGGTTTTGTTGTAAATTAAAAAGTTTCTTCGGGGGAAAAGATAAAAGTTTTATCCCATTGCTACGGAGGAGTTCGAGCTGAAAATGGGACCACCTGGCGAAGCTGTCGATATCGTGAACTTTCAAGTTTCCTTTTTTATCGGGCATTAGATATCGGGCATTGACCCTAATCGTTGTTGTTTTTAGCAGACCTCAAAAAGAAGGAGGTTTTCAATTTGGTTGTATTATTATTTTTATGTTTTCTTTTTAGCTCAAAACTCCGTCATTTCTACGCCGATTTGGAAAATTATTTTTTTATCTGAAGGCGCATACTTACGAGTACAGATTAGGTTCACAGAAATGTTATCAAAATTGGTTGAGTAGTTTAGCTTTCAGATCAAAATAATTGGTTTTGTCACAATTGAAGTCTGTTTTTTTTTGTGGGTCACAATCTTTATTATGGGAAGTATAGAAGAGAACTGATTGCAATAAATCTTTAAACCGAAACAGGTTAATATTTTATAGATAAGATATGTTCAGTTCATAATTTTAAGTCACAACAGCAAAATAAGTTATAAATAAAATTCATGTATAAAAATATTAAATTTCTAATCTGTCAAGGTTATGCAAAAGTAATAACAGTAAAAAATTATGATAAATATACGTCTGATAGTTTCTCATCGTAATTGTTTTCTTAAATATGTGATAATAAGGGATCTATATAATAAGAAAAAAAAAACAATATTAAAAAAAAAAACAGTGTATGTTCCTGTGTCACGCAAAAACCACTTACTGCACTAAATATTCATAGAAACAGTGAAAACCGCATCCAATTTTTGAAGGTCGAAAATTATTTGGTATATGTTTTATTACGTACTTTCGAAATCCACGCGTATTAAGTCTCAGGCAAATTTTAGTTAAATTAAAAAAAAATTAAACAAGTATTGAACAGAAACTGTTTTTATATAAATAAAATATAAGTAACAAAGCATTTAACGGAATAATTTTCAACAGCAATCCACTTCTGGAAACTCGGATACAGCTTCACCCACCATTGTCCTGATTTCTGCGGTTGTGGACAAATTGCCACAATAAATCATGACTTCTGGATTACATTTATCTTGTTGTGAGGTTATTATACTCGTACACGGCGTACGTGGTATATAATAACTAAATTTGCTGGATTCTCGCTGGTTAACCACGGAATATTTATGTTAAAATTGTTATAAGAATAAATCTATTATTATTTTGATATAATGTACATAATATTAATATGTACATTATTACGTTTATTTTTTTTCTCTTGAATATGTTTTCCTGTTGGTGATCATATTGGAAAACTGCTTAGCTAGTCGATTTAAATAAATATTATAAGTAAGAAAATGTATTATGTTTACATTTAGTTTTATTGCTACATATCGAAAAGGTATTATATTATATTCCATATTTTTTTATGCAGTAAAAATATTAATAAAAAAGTTCATATATTATTGAGTATTAGTCTAACAGTAATTAATTATAAAGTATTAAATTTTTCCTAGAAAAAAAAAAAAGAACTAGACAAATTATATATAAATTAAATTTACACATAAACAATTAAATCACAATTAATAATATGATAATGATCTCGAGATTAATGGTTTTCATTATTTAATTCAAATAAAATTCTATCATATTTTCTTCGATACAATAATGCTAATAAAATTGGTAGATAGTCCCGTGTCGAGACGAGTTCGTTACACCAATATATTAAATAGATATTGATGTTAACCATTCATAAAGCAGCGCTATGAAGCCGAATTGAATTTACATTCATGTTATATGAAGGTAGTGTTATTCAATTGTATGTTGTTGTGTGTGTATTGAAGACACGCTGTATCGCGCACGAAATGCTTGGTAGGAAGAGAGTACTGAGAATCACTAGAAAAATAAGGTTAAAGAGAAATATTCCTTAAATTTTGGCATCCATTCGTGTATTTAAAATTATTTTCTAGGGGGCATGGCTCATTAAAAAGGCGTCCATGTTCTTTTAAACATGTCGGCGAAACTTAACTTTTACTTGTCGATTTATCCTTGTTAATTTCATCTTTAATGTCTAAAGGTTTTAAATTCATGGGAAATTAAGTTATCTCACTAATGTATGTAATATTTTGATAATTATTTAGTGTAGTCACGAACATAATCATTATTTAAATTTTTTATCAAATTTCTATCTCTTAGGTATTCGTATCCCACCAGCGTATGGTAATACCCTAAGTTTCCTTTCCATTTTCATCAATTATAAATACACTGTATTACATGTTTTATATATATTTAAAGCGAAATCAGTTCATGGTAATATAAGATTATTTTATATATTTTTTCAATTGAATAATGTTACTTACGAAAGGTAAAAACCATTGATATATTAAAATAAATATATATCTAAAGAGATTGGAGTATTTTTCTAATGTGATATTTACATGTAGATTTAAAAGACGATTTTAGTTGCGTAGATATCACAAAATCAGTTTAACTAAAATACATGTTGGAATACGCGTCGAAAACAATATGTTTTCAACATACAAACTTTAGAATACATGTCGCTAACATGTATACTAGTAAGTACGAAAATACATGTCGAATAACATAACGATGTAAATTTAAAAGCTCGTTACTTATGAAATGAAACATATAGACTTCTTTAACTGTAAGCGCAGAAGTTATTTCGAAATAGGTACATAATGTTTTAGTACTTGAAATTTTAGTGATTTACGGTAATAGAAATAGAGTTACTGCGCTCTAATATTGGCGACCTCGTATATTATGTGAATATGCCTATATACAAGTGGATATGGACAGACTGCGTATATGAAATCTTTCGATATTCCATCATAATAATAAAAGAGCTTTAAACATGTGTCCTGTAATATAATGATTTTATAAACACAAAAAAAAAATACTTTAATAAACAACTGTTAGCAAATTTGGACTTTATGTAATTTTATTTACGACGCTTAATTTAGACTTCTTATCTTTCATCCAATATATCTATGAGTAGGAATAAATATTATAAAAAAAACTACTTTATATTACTTATTTATAATAAAATAATTTCATTTATCAAGTAGGGATAACTTTAAAACCGAACTTTTTGGCGGGAAAACAATTGTCGAATTTTATTCTCATATTTAATTTTACGTTAAAATATGTTATTACAAAATGAAACGGGTCGAATTTGTTGATGAGATTAAAGAAATCACGAAATAACATATTTATCGATTTACTTTATTGTAGTACATGGTTAATTCAGTTTACCTTTTCAATAATTCAGTGCCATTGTTCACAGCGTCTGCGTAGACGGGGGCCCATGACTTCTGTACGGCGTACACCTCGCGTCTAGTCAGACCGGACAGCGGGTTCTGTAGGTCGGGGTTGCCTCCCCACCACAAATAGCTGAGCCAGCTACCCATCGTTACCTGAGAATTTATCGAATAACAGGTTATTAGAAACTACACACGCTTGTATACACACGTACACCCGTTCTATGACTGAACGTATGGAATAAAAAGAAAAAAAAGAAAAGAAATATACTATTCTACTTCGACTGTGCTTATATAGGAATATATGAAATTAAAAATATTAATACCCTTTTAAGTGTTCTATTAGTGAATCTGAACATTTTTCTCAAAGAAACATGGGTACAAAAATTAAATAAAGTTTAAAATTTCTAACACAAACTTTCTCTGCACGTTGACTTCGGTTAGATTGATTTGCACTGAGCTATAATAATATTTAGTAATCACTCAGAATTAATCCCGTTAAACAAAATATTTAATTATTTATATTAAATATATATACCTATTCATTTATTTTATTACTGATGATCAGCTGACTCTACACTATTAACTAGTTTTTATCAGCAGCTTAGTCTACGTGGAACGAGATAAAAAGTAGCCCGTAACATTCTCCATCCCATGTATTACGTGTATACCAAATTTCATAGTAATTAGTTAAGCGGTTAGGCCTCTAACAGGTAACAAACAAAGAAACTCATTATTATATTTATAGTATTAGTAAGGATATATGACAGTCTATACTACTCTACTATATCGATCAATATCGTTGTCAAAATATTTGGTTGTTTGGTAGAAATAAATTCTAATATATTCATATTTTACAATAGAACAAAATTTTTTATACGTCATTCTAAAATATTTTTTTTATAATAAGTATCTAACAATGAAACACAGTCTAAATAATGGAAAATGGCCATCACAGTATTCAATTTATTAAGGACAGTACAGTAGGTAAAATGCGAGACGCTGTGACCTAAAGCGCCGTACTCTCCCTGAAGAAGACTTTCGGATTTAATTAGAAACAACAAACATAGTATGTCCATGATATTCTTGTTACAGTACCTTTTTGCCGACCTGGCATTTTGCATGGCTGTGTTTCGGATTGAAGGGTGGGATATGGCGTGAATTTACTGGGTACAGAGGAATCACACCCGAGTCCTTAGGAATGGTAACGCATGGGGGGTATCATGGGCGAAACAGTATACTCTGTTGTCAATGGTACTGTTTATAGGGTACATGTCTATAGGCGACGGTTACCACTTTTCATCAGGTGGGCCGTCAGCTTGTTTGCCATTCTAAGTTGTATAAAAAAATAATCTAAGACAGGGAAACCTGAAGAGTACTTATTCGTTCGGAGAAGCATTCCTGGTGATCACAACCCTCTGCCTTGAGGATTTGTCCGAGAAAAAGTTACTGTGAAAATTATCTACGTACTCTATATAAATATCACATTTCGTCATCAGTATCTGCTTTCCCATAACGTCTGCTGGTAAAGAATGCCATATTCTGTAATATATTTTTTTATTATTCTCTGTTTAGAGTATGGATATTGAAATATCAAAGGAAAAAATGAATTTCTTATAAAGTACCTAATCCTCTTACAGTAGTTGTTGCCTGCCTTGTGTTTTCATTCGGTGATAAGGGAGCAACTGTGGCTATGTCAATATTTGCGACGTCAAGTCACATGTTTGGTGTCGACGAACATTTTGTCAATATTGTCATATACTCGTATAGTAATCTCAGAGTGTCAAGTGGTTATTGTCTACTGGTATAGATATTTTTTTTTATGCAACTTAGAATGGCATACAAGTTGATGACCCAACTAGTGGAAAGTGGTAACCGTCATCAATAAATATGTTATACTATATTAGGTCGACTAGAAGGAGACTTTGTACAGAAGTCGTTTGCTTGGACACCTCTGTCCCATTCGTGTTGATTGCCATTATAAAATTCACGCCATATTCCACCCTTCAAACCGAAACACAGCCATGCAAATACAACTGCTTCACGGTAGATACACGAATGGGACAGAGGTACCCAAGCAATCGACTTTTGTACAACTATTTCCAGCATCAACAATATCTATATAAAAATAATTCTTCAATGGTTAATATCGATTAGATTATATATACCACCCACCGGCAATACACTTGAAATATTTTTCAATACTTTAGTTTATATTTGCAGGCTTTATTCAATTTATATTTGCAAGGAGACCTATGTCCTCTTATTGGAAACTTTTAACAAAAGTAGCCACGCTTGGCAGGCGGGTTGGCAACTGCAGTTTATTTTTCTTTTTGATGGGTTTAAATAGCATGGTAATCTCGCCTGCGCTATCGGGATACACTGGCGAGGTACTGGTGAGAGGTGATAGGTGAGGATGAAAAGGCGGATCAGTTAGCCCATCGTGACGAATTCAACGATACATTAGTCACGATAGTTTCCAGGTGCAAGCGTGTCAAGGTCAACCTGATAGGGTATATTGATAGCAATGGGGGACTAACCTCACAATTCCTTTCACCCTGGCAACCGCAGTTAGGCTTTGGTGATATTTTAAGACGGACGCTGCTGCCTATCCCTTGACCATTAATTTTCATTTACGACATCCACGGGATGGGGGAAAGGGATTGTTAGTAATGGAGACTAAGAATCCCATTGCTAGCAATATACCCAACCAGGTCGGCCTCCTCGCGGTTCCCCCTGGAAACTATCATGGTTAATTCCTGATGAATTCATCATGATGAGTTAACTGGCCTGTTTTCATTCTAATCTATCACCCTTTACTTGTACTCCGCCAGCGTATCCCGTTAACGCAGGCGGGGTTACCATACCATTTTCACCCATAAAAAATATCCACGGGATAAGAAGGGGTGGCCCATTCTATATCGCGACCACACGACTATACGTATACATCATCATCTCGGCTATGATATGTATACATATGTATATATTTAAATTTTTAATAAAAATTTTATATAATAAAGTGATCGACAACCCTACTGGATAATGACTACTGGATGCTAGTATTCGGCGAGGCATTCGAGCGATATTAATTGGAGTTTGATGGTTGACCTCACGGCACACGAATTGAACCCCAATAAATGATAATTGTGAAATATTTTATGTCAATTAATGCATGAATACATGTACTTGTAACTACATCAATGCGGGTGGAAAACTATTGTTAGCAATTAGGTTTATTGCACCATTGCTAGCAATATACCCTATTAGATCGACCTCCCAGCGGTTCCCCTTGTCCATCATCGTGATTGTATTATTATTGAATTCGTCATGATGGGCTATGACCTGCTTCATCTTCACCTATTATCCCTCACTGGTGCCAGTGTATACCATTAGCGTAGGCGGGGTTACTATTCCATTATCATCCATTAAAAAAAATTCATCAATGCAATTATTCTTACGTTATTTGTACAATTTTTAATGTAAAAGATAAAGTTCAACCGTTTTGTAAACGACGGAGACTAGTACCTAACTATTTTACTAGTTTACAAGTAAACTTATAGATTTTTGTATTTTATGCACGAAAAATTATACCTATGTGTATATTTCAACCTGTATTTGTTATTGTATTTCACTTGAATTATTCACTTGTCATTGTATATTTTTATTAATGGTGCAATAAAGAGTAATAAATAAATAAATAAATACTAGCAATATGTTCTACCTACTTGGCTAACATGGTTTGCTTGGAAACTGTCACGATGGACCAATTAACTTGACCTTTATTTTCATTTATCATCTAGCAAAAACCAGTTCTGTAGCACAATCATCGTCATCATCATATCAGCCATTAACTGTCCACTGCTGAACATAGGTCTCCTATTGGGGGGTTTTGCCAATAGTTGCCATACTTGGCAAGCGGTAGGCGGGTTTAATTAGTCGTGTCTGACGATATTTACGGGCAGAAAAGGGGTGGCCCATTCTATGTTGGGGCCACACGGTGAAACACTATAGACTTTAGGAATGACAACGCATGTACCCCTCATGCGTATGGTAATTGTGTATTCTGTCTGTGGCGCTGTTCATGTCTAGTGATGTCATGGCGATGGTTACCACTTTCTATCACGTGGTCCGTCAGCTTGTCTGCCATTCTAACATGTCTAAGACAGGAGTATCCTGAATTTTGTTCATAATATTTTAATTATCTCTGTGGCTAATAATAAATAAACAAATTTATTATTAATTGCGTTAAGCATAATAAACATACTCAGCGTATAAATAAATATCGATAAATATATTTTGTAATATATTTTTATATCGCAATGAAAGGCTATCAGAAGTTATCATAGGGTAAATGTTATAACGGATACCACTCTATGAATTTAAGTAATTGTTGACTATTTATATAAGTAGGTATATTATAAATATTTTTTTATATTATTTTCGTTATACTATTATGTTTACATATATATAATATTTATACTGCGTTTAAAAATTATCCGTAGCCCCATTTTTCTTCTTTTAGTCCTATTTTTTTCACTCCTATGCATTGACCAGACGCAACATTAATTACTCCTCTCCAACCTAAGGTTGCCTGGAAGAGTAATAAGATTGCCCATTGTTGTCTCTTTATCTTGCTTTTTGCAATTAATTTTTTTTATCTTTATAATCTGTATCATTCTTTGAAGGAAACCATAAAGAGTTTAACTCATTCCTTCAAGGATTTTTTTTTAATTTATTTGTTAAGATCTGTCACAATACCGAATCTATTACAAAATTTTTATTACAATAGTTTATAGATATTGACATTTAAAATTTTAAAATAAACATTAGTACACCGACCAAAGAAAGTTTAGTTAAACATTGTTTAAATAGGCAATGTTTTATATTATATTATTTTTGTACTTAGATATTTAGGTCTCGTATATCCGAACACGTAGGTATTAAACATAATGTGAATAAGTATATGTGTAGTGTCTCACAAGACATCTTCGTCCATAGCTTTTAATTAGGCTGCGCCTCATGCCGTCAAACGTGCTCGGAATACGTCTCCGAGTGCGTCTACGTTAGGGTTGCCATCTATTATCAACGAAACAGGACAAAAGGTTCAAATTTCAGGATTTTGAGCTTAAAACTGCTTTGATATGTAACAGCTATTT